ACAATCCCTTTAATACAAGAGAAACTAAAGGAACCACCGTCTGACGCCAACGTCATCCACTCTGGAAGAGGGATTTCACATCAAAGGTAAGGATCAAATGTTTGAGAACAACACAATACCCAGCATGCAACAGGAGACAAATACAGGCAAAAATACATCAAGTTTAATAAAGCCAGTGCCGTTCTTCACAATACTAGTCAACTAAGATGTTCTGGAAGAGTTTGAACTCAACATTACTTAAATGCCCTCTGTATATAATCTTTTTACAGTCTGGATTACTCTGGATTATTATCTAATACAGTCTGTATATCTGCGCTTAATTATTGGCACGGCTGATTAAGAGCCTCTGTGCTCATTAAATTTGAATTTAAAGAAGTGGAAGATGTGCAGATTTTGTTCTGTTTTAAACCTGTATGTCAAGGTAGTCATCAATCATTTGTTGATTCAAAACATGTGAATATTTACAACGAAACAATGACGTTGTAGCAGAGTGGACATTAAATATGACACGTTTGTAGTGTGACCAGTTGAAAACATGTTGTGGAGGATTTGCAAATGCAAACGTTGTTGTGTTTTTACCTTTAACATAATGCCCAAAATAATAGCAATTAGGTTTGGAATGACAGCTTATACCTTTGGTTGAAAAAAAGGGTATAAAAATTCAGTTACTTGGAAAAACTTTACACTTATTATTTGCATAAATATTATAAATATTTTTTTAAGTTTTAATATATTTACAAGTTCAATCAAAGCAAATTCTTTAGTGAATTCATCATATTTCAAAATGCCTTAATCAAGCAGCCCTAAACCACATTCAACGTTTGACACCCATCATCACTTTAACATAAAGCTGTCTATAAATGATTAAAATTAAGACTGTAGTACAGATCACTGGAGTATCATGTCGAACATTTCTCTTGTATTTTGTCATACCTGAAAAGGTATTCCTGCTCATGTGTATTACTACTTTACATTGACGTATGTTCAAAAGACAAACAAAATAAGTTCAACTAATCACAACTAATTTGATGATGATGATGATGATGATGATGATGATGATGATGATGATGTGATGTCCATGTATTCCATCTCTGTTCATGCTGTTTACATTCAGTGTGTCTTCAGACACTCTGGCATGAAGTCAGCCTCTGATACACTACTTAACAGCTCAGGCTAATTAATATGGTGTGTTTTTCTAATTCTCCAGCCGTCTTGTTTATTCACTGCTGATGGACAGCATGGAGGACACCATACTGTTTGGGGTAATTGAGACTTCCCTGCACATGTTGTAGTGTAAGGAGCAATTAGCAAATATGCTTCCCCCACATGTCCAGTGCCATTTTACAGACAATGTTTCGTGTGTTTTTTTTACTATAATGTCATTAACAACGTTACACAACAGGGGTGAAAATGTTCTACAACGACTCTGGTTAACAAGAATGTACATAATTAAGTTAAAAAGTGTATTTATTTGTTCCACAACCGTAAAGAAAACCGTAAAGAAACTGAACCACTGCACCGCTACACAATGGTTTGATCGACGTGAGTTCAAACGTGAATTCTCTCTCATCTCGGACCCCCTCCCACATCCGTCCGATTCCTCCTTCCGTACCCCCCAAGGATCCATCAAATAATATTTATGTCAATTAATAATAACCAACTGTTGGATTATGCTTTAGCTTGATAAACTGATAAAGAGCTAAGTCTTTATGTGCGGTTTTTTAAAGCAAAATACATCGAGCGACGCGTTAGAGAAAGAGAGAGAGGGATAGAGAGAGAGGAAGCAACAGTTGGCGTAGCATCCTCTGAAAAACCCAGTGAAGTGAAGAGTTTATTTGAAAACCTGCTTCGGGGTCGCTTTTATTCAGCTTTCTGAGCTTATATCTTACCTTTTGCTGTCTTCTAGCCATATCAGTTGGTTGTTTTGCGTTGAACGGATAAGCGATGCAGCGCATCACAAACACATAGAGCTGTAGTCTTTTTTTCCTCTCCTCCTCCTCCCTCTGGATATTCTCGAGGTCTTCCTTCTCTTTGTCGCTGTCCACCGACGGGCTGGGGCTGCAGGGACGTTCGCCACCATGGCTCGCACGACCCCAGGTCTGAAGCCCAGTGCTGCCTCCTTGTCCTTCGGCGACACGGCCTGGCAACAGGCGAGCTTCTCCCGTGGTCTTCGGGGCCACCACCCAGTTGTCGCGCACAACCTCTGGAACATCATCTCCTTCCTCCTCGCTGGAAGATGGGTCCAACATGATGTTTGACGGCTTTTGAGGCAGAGACTCACTGTGTCAGGGCCTTTCACAACTGCAGCGAAGGTAAATGACACAGAGACAAGAGAAGAGAGGAGAAATGGTGCCGTTCAGGTTCAGGGGAACGCTCAAAGGGAGGGCGGAAAGGAGGGAGGGATCCAAGCCGCGAAGAAGACACACGATTTGACAGACAAATGCTCCTCACTGCTTCTCAAGAAAAGTTTGAAATAAAGAGAAAACAAAGACTTAACAAAAAAGATACCTTATGAAGAACATACACAGAGAAGTGGCGAACTGGTGCTGCTGTGGAGGCGGAGGTGGAGGGAGCTGACGATGACCACGGTGCTTAAACACAACATCAGTGCTGCCCTGGGATCAGGTCTAACATTCTGGAATGATCCACCGAGTTAAGGACTGATCTGGACAGTAGTAGATCGACAATCAATGATGTAAAAAACACAATAAAACCTTACCATTTAAAGGAAAAAGAGTCAAAAAATACACAAAGTACAGTGGTTTCGTTGTAAAAACATCAATTAAAGTATTTCCTATATGGTAGTTTCCTATTGAAAAAAAACACAGTAGTAAATATAAAAAAGCTTTCAACATTTTTAAGAAAGTTCACATATTAACGTTTAATTTATACGTTAGTTAAGATACAATACACATATTTAAAATATTGGAAGTATTGGACTTAAAATTGGTGTAATTTGGTATATTTTTATGACAGTCTATTCTGTGCAGATTTAACTTCATAACCATGTCTTTAGTCTATTCTGTGCAGATTTAACTTCATTTAACTTCACTTTAGTGTCTTAGCTTTTCCTTTTTCTTCTGCGTATCTTTCAGTGTTTGTACTGGTCTCTCTGTTTGACCAGGATTGGATGTGCTGTATGTTGTGCTTACAATGTTCAAGTCTTTGAACTATACCCAGGCACCATTATCAGAGATGTCAAATCAGGAGTTCCTTGCCTTGCAAACATTGATTTTAGTGCATCATGACACTTCTGTATTTGTCTCCCCCAACTATGCTAGCTCAGGGAAGTTGGAGAAATAATCAATACACAGCAAAAACTGAGATCCTCTGAATTGGAAGAGATCAGTCCTTACTTCCTCCCACAGTCTGTTTGGCACTGGGTGTGACCGTAAAAGTTCTCTTGTGTTGTTGTTGTTGTTGTTGTTATGATCCTCATTACTAGTAGCACACCAAGATTTGTGTCATTTTTAGAATCTCTAAACTGCAGTAACATCATTAATGTTACTGCAGATGAAACTTTTGAGTGTTCTTGTCTTTTAAGGTGTTTGATATATAAATGTATATAAATGTAACATGGAGTTTAACAGAATTGGGGGTAAGAACTCCATGACAACATCAGAAAATGTAACATGGAGTTTAACAGAATTGAACTGAGTAAGAACTCCATGACAACAGTCAGGGTCAAGTCCCTGTATTTCAATCAAAGAGAACAAAGCTGGAAAATCTTGCTGAGGGCCCACATTTTACACAGAGTCGGTCCTGTGCAGGACAGGACCCAATCAATGGTCTCATGAGTCATTCAGTGCTTTCAGCAGCCTGGTTAGTGGTTAGCACAGACGAGCATTGCATGGCTAATGGAAGTGCTGTTTTTCAGGCTTTGTGAAGAAAAGGAAATGAATCTGGAGAAAAAATGTGTTGTTATTGATATCAACATACATCAGTACAGCAGTCACCAGGAAAATTTTCAATCATGACTAATGAATAATTCAATATATATATCTAATAAATTATTTGTTGAATTCTGTGCAACATGAAATGCATTCAAAGTAATGTATTGAACACATGCATTTTAATATCCTAATGTATATGACCAAATAATACAATACACAACAGCATTAGTTCTATTTACTTTTAGGTGTTTTTGGACCGTAGTATTAACTTCACATAGAAGCAGTGTACTTAGAAATTTCAAAATCCTGAGGAGCTGGATTTTCTGTGTTGTTGCATACACTGATACAGTGGTTGTTTGGTTGTTTGGATCGTGCTTAAACCGCACATACACATTAATACAAGAGTCGGGGTCACTGGTGTCATCATTGACTTTGCTTCCTTGAACCACAAACATGATTTGCATAATGACACCTGAACAAAAATATTTGCAGTATTTACTCCTCTTCAGGCATTTGTTAATCACTAGTCTTATGATGATAATACAAAAAGCCTTAACGTACATAGTTGTGATCAAGTAACTTGGAAAATAATCAAATGATTCCTTTAGAGGTTTTTTATTGCCAAAAATTGCAATAACCATCAAAATAGACCACTGTTGTAATAATGTGTCATAGGCTTTTAACATTTAAGTTTTCTTGTCTTTGTAAATAATACTAATAATTTAGTTCATGTTTTCAAAAACAAAAGCAGTGGAAATCGTCATCGCATTTCTTGAATCATACCCACAAGAGGGCAGTATTTCCAACCCAAACTCAGCATTAATGTTTTATGAAAGGTATAAAAAAAATGAAAATAATATAATAACAAATATCTCTATGCACAATACTTTCATAAATTAATAAACCAAGCATTCCCAGGTCAGTTTAGCTCATTGTAGAAACAGGAATATCTGAGCTTGGCTTGTAATTGTCTTTAAAATGTAGTCACAAATGTATAAATATAATATTTCTGTTTTCTTAATAACAAAGTCATGCGTCGTTTATGTTTGTTAAATACACATATATTAATGTTTAACTGTACAGCGTTCTTCAAGTTCAGTTAATTAGTTTTCAATTAGTCATCTAAAGTTTAAGGCTTTGAAAACGTGGGGATGTTGTCGCGTTGTCATGGGAACAAGTCACGTGAGCATACACGTGTATTCTTTCTTCCCCTCGGTCGTGGTCTTTGTAATAATGATGCTGCGGACGATGACGGGGATAAAGCTGACGATGAGTCCGTGTGACTTACAGCTTGACCACTCCGTGCAGGACGTCTCCATCCTGTGAATCAAGTTTTTGTCTGTTTTACTTCCACCGAAGATGATTGAGGTTCAGAGAAAGAGCTTCAGGCTGCGACGGTTTTTCGGATTGATCGCCTCCCTCTGTTACATGACGTTACACTGTTCGGCCATCGAGACCGGTATGTCAATTAACCCTTTATCAGCGACGGACATCGAATGTTTTTCTACTCACGTTTACATCAATTTGAGCAGGGACACTAGAGGAGTTGTACCCTGGACACTAAGTCACTGAAAGTTTAGCACTTACTTGGTAAACTGGTCAACGAGCGACTTGAATGTGGCTGAATATTCGGATATTCTGACTGTTGTTCGGTATATTGCGCTGCGTTGTTTGTTTCAGTGCACCGCATTTGCTAAAAGCTAAGCTGTAGAGACCACTGTGAATATGTTAATTTGAACCTGAGGACAGTAGCTTGAAGTAGATTTATTTTAAAAAAATATATTTTAGATATATTTTCCTTCTTAATTGTTTTTCTTTCTCTTTTCTTTTTCTTTTTGAACAATTTGTTCTCATCAACACGGGGCTTTAATTTCACTTATAATGGGGCCGAAACATTTTTTAAGTAAATATTCAAAGGGAAACGTCAGTCATTCTTACATGTACGGAGGCAAGTCAAACATTTTAGGACTTTTTGTAAATCCTTGTTTATAAAAATAACAAAGCTATTTCTCAACATAAACATCATTTAAGCTTTAACAATATTCATGCTTTGAAGAATTCTGTCTTATGGCCAGGACTGATTATTTGATCATTGTTAGTAGTAAACCAGGAGACGATTTAAAGTTTAAAAGTAGAAAATAAGATAGTTGTATTTAAACAAAAAGAAACTCAACTGTTATTAACGGTAAACTAAAAGTACATAGTGCATAACCTAAATAGCAAATTTCTTTTAACCAAATTACGGACATGTTTTGTAACGCGTCCAGTAAAATGTAACTGCTGCTGATACTGCATTGTGTTTAAGACTAAGATTTTAAACAGAAATAATACCTACCAGGAAAAAAGTGTTGTCCATGGTGGTTTGATCAACTTTGCTGCAGTGAATTATGTAACTATTTTTATTATAACAGAAATGATGAATAAGACAAAACAAAAAGGTTTGTAAATGTAGTTCATGCCAAATTTAAACTCTCGTTGTATTTGTTTCATGTTGAGAGTGTGTGAAGATTACACCTGTGGTGGAAGACGACCCAGTCAGAGTTTTACTGCACAAATATGAAGCAAGAGAAGGAGCCGTCTGTGTGCAGCAGTCAGAGAACAAAACTTTATCTGTCTTGATGTCCAGACAAAGGTTTTGGAGTGGCTGTATGAAGCTGTCAAACCAAACATTATTGCACCTGATTTACATCAACTCCATGAATTTAAAACTCTCAGGTCTGAGGACGCAGAGCTCATAAAACAATTTCAAACATTAACATATGAATGGTGGAGACGCTGCTTTTGTTCTGATAAATGTGCTGCTGCAGATGCAGCTGCACAGACCACCCAAAAACAGTCAAAGCTGGCAGCCTAAAATCTGACTCCTGAAGTAGAACCCTAGCCCTTGATTCAGTGGTGGCTGGGCCTCGACGTAGCAAACGTCTGTGCCGCTCATACATTGTTAACATCTGTAACTTTCCCCAGAATACGATCATTTTAGTAAACTTGTACAGTACTTAGGGTAACATTTTTGATTTGATTTGGTAACGCTGGTATGGTGTACTCGCCTCTTCTAGTTTCCATCCATCTGCCTACTATATATTTACCATCCTAATCCTTTTGGGGGGTCGCAACAAAAAGTGAGAGCAATCTCATCAACCACATATAAAAAGATGACCAACCATTCACACACAGTGGCTGTTTGCACCAGAGAAGAAGTGTCATGAGCCTCCCTCTCACCCTGTCACCTGCCGCCTCTGCCTGTACAACAACAGTCTCCATGTCCTCGTCCACGAATCGTCTCCACTTCTCCTCTTGTCTGCCATCACCAACCTCAACATCTCAACCTCTCATCTTGTGTGTGTGTGTGTCTTATTAAAAGACAAAGACAGTTCAGCAAAGTTTTCACCAGGAAGTTTGGTTTTCTTCAAAATGTTAAAAACATGCACCTGGGAGATCAGGTCAGTTGAACAAAACTGCAGTAAGTTTGAGTTTGAGTGTAAATGGTTGTTTGCGTCTTGTACGTGTGTGTCCATGTGATGGACTGGGGAACTGTCCAGAACCTCCTCCTTGCCCAGTGACTTCTGAGGCCCCCGGTTTGGTGTAAAATTTGCTGTAATAATAATATGAATGGTAAGTCAGGTTCATGCCATTTTCTCCACAATATCAAGTGAAAGAGTTTGTTGACACTCCCTTGACTTCACCTAGCTAACATCTAAATGTGACGTTGGGAATCAACTCACTTCACAGTCAGAGTCTTTTAAAGACCGTCTTTGGAGCTTCAGGTTTTTTGTGCAGTAGAGAGAGATTGAGCTGATTCCTTCTATTAGGGGTTCTCAGGCTCAGGGTCATTCCTGGAGGTCAGTGCAGGAGAATCTACTTATCTCCCATGGTAACAGAGCTAATAAAATCCAGGGGTGACTGTAAATTTTCTCATTATTTGGTCTGCAGCCCAGAGGCATGGAGCAGTGAGCGGTTCGGTTTGACAAGCCAGAACTTCATCTGCCCGTTCACTGTGTGTTGTCTGTCTGTGGGTAAGATGAGGACTGAGCGCTTGTTGAGTCCGTCAGTATTTTGAGGACACAGTTGTTCTTGTTTTGCATCATGGTCTCATGTCCTCACAGTTGGAACTACTTTGGCTTTGTGCTGAAAATGTCTGTAGCTTTGTTTTTTTTTTTTTAAATAAAAAAATAATTGAATTTGTCCTTTAAATAACATGAACACCTTTTGCTTTTGCTAATGTGTTTGCTGCACTTGTTGCCGTGACTACAGCATCTTCCTCCTCATGTGATCTTAATGTCATATTATTCTTTTCTACAGCATCTTCCTCCTCATGTGATCTAAATGTCATATGATTATTTTTGTATTATTTTATTTACTAATAGGTGTATGATTTTTTATTATAATTTTACCCTTTTATTTTTATTTATTTTGTTTAAATAAAAACAAAAACAAAAAATCCAAGGAGCCATTTGGGGACATTTGTGAATTGTTGTCTCTTTTTATGGCTCTGAGGAAAGGAAGGAAATCCTGAACAGTAAATCCCAGCTGTGTGCTTTTATGTGCTCAACCACTTCACCTCACTATAAAAGGGACACTACTAAACAAAACACAGAACGAATGGAGAAAAGGAAAAACCGATTTCATTTCCTGTTGCTGCTTGTTATAATATTATTTTATATCCTGATTCATTTGATAACGTTGATTCTTAGGTTGACAAGTACAAGTATGTACTGCGTATACAGACTTAATCTGCTTCTGTCAGCTGTCTCCTTCAGGGGTAGCCACAGGCTAAGAGGCTAACTGCTAACAATAGGAGCATCAGCAGCACGTGACCCAGAGAAGAAGTGTCATGAGCCTCCCTCTCACCCTGTCACCTGCCGCCTCTGCTTGTTCAACAACAGTCTCCATGTCCTCGTCCACGAATCGTCTCCACTTCTCCCCTTGCCTGCCATCACCGTCCTCAACATCTCAACCTCTCATCTCGTGTGTGTGTGTGTGTCTTATTAAAAGACAAAGACAGTTCAACATGTGCTGATGCAGCTCAGTGCTCAGACCCTCAGTTTAACAACGATGAAAAGCCAACAGTGTGATGTCTGTTCATGTGCCAAGAGCTGCAGAAACACAAATGTCTTTTTGTATGCACCAGCTTGTTCCAATACAGCCTCACTCACTCATTACATGAATGTTTCCTGTTTTTATACACACTTTTCAATAATAATTCATATTCATTTGAACTTTATTGATGCCATATTTGGGAAATTCTTGTGTTGACAGCAGATCTGCTGCAAAAGGCTGCCCCCATCAGGCACCAAGCACATGGTGTCGCTGGGAATTGAACCCCGGATTCTCTGCTTTTGCAAAAGTGTCTGTTCCCATACCGGGAGTTGAACCCGGGCCGCCTGGGTGAAAACCAGGAATCCTAACCGCTAGACCATATGGGATATAGAAACCTCTCAGGCCAAAGATGTGAAAGAGCTGTGCTCAACTGTTTTACTCCATTATAGCCCTACAATATATAATATTATAGATTGTTAGTATATAGACAGAAGTATAGATTTAGTTTATTATACTAAATCATAAAGAAGAATACAAAGAATGCACCTCTGTAAGGATTAAACATGTTTTAATGGGTCCATTATTTCGGGCTTACATCATTTGGTTTGACCTTTTTGATATTGGTAATTTGTCCAAATAAAATCATGTTTGTACTGCACTGGTGTGGTTTCAGTCACACCAATAGACACAGGTTTAAACAAGACAAATTCATCCCATATCGCCCTCATCAGTGTTTATTGAGTTTAAAGCACTTTAACTGATTCAGTGTTCTTCTGTTTATCAGTCAACGTGGTGGACTTCTGTGGACAAACAATCCAAGCCGATGGAATGATAATCAACTCACATCAGGAATCCAAAAAGTACTACTTTGTCACCATGGGGACTGACTGCCACATCACCATGCAGGCCATCTCCCCCAAGGACAAAGTGCAGTTTCATTTCCGCTTCTTCCTGGTGTACAGTTTGCTGCGAGTGGCCCCTCTCAGTCCGGCCCCTTTTTCCCCACAAGAGACTGACCAACCTCACCCAAAACGGGACCACTCCTCTGGAGAAAGTATAGGTGATCCCTGTCACGCTGGCTCATATGTTCAGTTCTACAATGGACGGGATAGGACGTCCCCTCCCCTTGGACCTCCACTGTGTGGAAAGAGCCCACCTCGGCCAGTGCTGTCCACAGGAAACTACCTTACACTCAGACTGGTGACCAGAGGGACTCAGCCCAGGGTGGACTTTGTCGGAGACTTCACGTCGTTTAGACTCGGTAAGAAAGATCCATCCTTAGTGCAGGCCATTTATTTGTTTGATTTCTTTACATTAGTCACTAATTGGTTACAAGACTTACAACACAGTCAGCTGTTTGCAGTGTCTCTAGAGTTTACAATAGTGCTATTTACTATTGCATTCAGCAGACACTTTTATCCAGAGAGACATACGGGAGGAGGATTAAGTATACAATTCCACTGGGACTCGAACCCAGGACCTTCTGCTTTTAAGGCGTAGAGTGAATAGTAAATAATTACTATTATTTCCTGCAGTAACTCAATACTTTACTCAGTTACTTCGTATTCAGGTATTTCACACCACCGGCTACTACATGAGTTTCCTTTTCTTTCCCAGGTTTCAACCAGTCTGAATGCAGGCCCTACTTCAACTGCAGGAATGGGAAGTGTATCCCTGTCAGCCTGGTGTGTGATGACAAAGGCATTGACAACTGTGGCGATGGAAGTGACCTGGAGCAAAACCTGACCTCTGGCTGCAAAGGTCAATTAGGTGATGATGAGGTGCTTCTGAACTGTTAGTCTTCAATAACACACAGAGAATTTAACATAAGGCGCCCCCTGCTGTAACAGCTGTGACGCTTTTTAACCAATCAATGTTTTAGCAGAGTTTACTAAGATATGAGGGGGCGGTCCAGGACGATTGTCTTCACTGTAACAATACACAGGGTTGCTGTGGGTTGATCACATTTATTCTTGATTAGTCATGATGGTAAATGTATTATGATTAATCAAAGGAAATCAACAAACTACGTAATTCAAATGTGGGGCAGTGGTGGTTAAGGTTTTAGTTTTGAATCCACCAGCTGCCCCGTTGGCCAACTGAGGTGCTCTGAACATGGCCCCGTCCCCACACCTTCACCCTTTGCTTGTATCAAAACAGAAGAAGAAAACCCCACCTACTGAGACACTGTGGGCATTTTCTATGTAGATTACAATCTGGACAAACACATTTAACAGCCGTTTACTGCAGCTTATCACCAAACAACAGTGTCCAACTTGTCTCGTTACTGCAGCTTATCACCAAACAACAGTCTCAGCCATAATAACTGTGTATTAGCATAAAAAGGTCTCAGTCTAATCTGTGGTACCAGACTGACATGTAGCTAAAGATAACATATACCACCATATGACATATGACCCCAAACTGTCCTCCGTCCGCAGGTCGGCTTTTTCCATCTGAACATCTACCTCACATCCCTACTTCACCTGCTTCCTTCGTGAATCCACCCACGTTGCCACTTCCCACCCGTATGAACTGTGGTGTGCCTGACAGCGCTCCCAGTCGTGAGTCAGTGACAGGTGAGTGAACAGTGTTAATGAATATGGCCCACGGCTTCAATGTTCCAGACAAGGATCATGTGTAATGTGTAAAGTCATCACCTTTAAACTTTACCTCATCAGGGACTTTGAACCTCAGCCTGAACCAATAGATGAAGAGATCCAGCTAATCTGTATTTTTCTTTTTAAATGTAAGAGTAGTAAATACTCCCTGGCTGTCTGATTCTGAATACTTCTATGGTAATAGCCATTTCCCAGCTCATGTTTTTACTCTGTAGCTTAGCATCTTTTTTTATGAACTCTCATTACCTCATTATTGGTAGGAGAACTTTTTTTCACTTTTGACTTCCAAACCTGCATCTGTAAGAAAACCATAATGATAAACCTACAGCATGAGTTGTTTTGAAAAAACAGTAACTTGTAGCAACATAGTTCCAGGTCTGTGTAGTAATGTAATATAATTAGATATATGTCACCTAATAATAGTCTTCTCAGTTCTCGGCTAAAGTCTTGGTTTAAACCCAGTAAATTATTGATCATTAAATGGATATTTACTGTATTCTTCATCTGTTGGTATTTGTGATAAAGCCCACTGACTGATTTGTGTTCTAATATTTATTATTAACGATGACCTAAAGTGCCGTGCGTATGATAATGTTCTGATGAGTGTCTTCAACCACAACCTTCACCTGTTGTTGTTTCTTCTCCACAGATTATCCCGCCTCCCTGTCCCTGTTCATTCTCTACATTATCCTAGCTGTTGTGGCGTGCTGCGTGCTGCTGTGTTGGTGCTGCTGGTCACCTGGCTGGTTCCTGTGGCGTATTAGCATTTGTCGATTCATACCCTGCTGCAACCTGGCCTGTGCTTCTTGCCAAATTTGTCACCACAACTGTATCCACCGCAAAGAACACCGACTGGCAAAGGTCATGCCTCAAACACCTGAGAATGGGTTCCCGCCTGGCACAGCTGCGGCTGGAAACATCATGGAAGAAAACATTACTGTAGCAGGTATTTAAGAGAGCGACAAAAGACGCAGAGACTCTTGTGTCGAAGTGTGAACGTGAATCGTAACTGCAGTAGGTTGTGTATCGTAATCGGCTGCTGTTGAAGTGTTACTACTTACCTTCGTTTATCATTCTACAGCTTACATCAATCCCAGCAGTCAGTGCATGAGAGCAGGGTACAGTTTGCTTGAACATCCCAGGGACACACGGAAAACGTGAAAAAGTTACACTCACATTCAAACTCACATCTGCATGTTTCAAGCAACCAGAGTTCTGGACAGAAAGACCGCAGGTCAAACCAGTCAGCTGGGGATCTAGTTACAGCGTGATTACCACGTCCTTCACCATGCACCTTAATTCCAGCATAACCAAATATATTTTTACAAACACTGTAGGCTGTCTTTATCACTAAATCTAAGAATACACTTTAAGAGTTCATTTGGAAATCTATAAAACAAACTCCAAGGTCGGACAAAGTACAAACATATAAAACCTACCTGTAATATTTTTTATGCCAAAATTTCTCAACACTACACTGCCTGGATTTTATGTTGAAGAAATAAATGTGTTACAACTAACAGAAAGGGTGAAAAGATTTTGAAGAAACACGTGTGTTTTTTATCGTCATCCTCGGTCAAAACCAACTGTTTTCCTCTATTTTTATTTTTTTTGATAGTTCCAGTCAGTCTGGAGCTACACTCTCAGTGCACTGCTTTGACCAACTGTCTGCCACTACAGCCAGTAAAGAACAGTCACCCCTGCAGTGTCTTTTAACGCTCCGAGGTTTTTCCAGCTTCAAACCAATGTGTGCCTCGTCAAAGGAGTACAGAGTCTTTTAACTTTTCAGTGAATTACAAAAGAGTTTCCAGTTTATTCACTGCTGTAAATGTTTGTGACATGCTTTTCAATACGTTTGACTCAATTCAAGTCAGATCTGCTAAGACCTGCACATTCTTACAGGTTCAGGAGGGATGTCTGTCAAATGCAGTATTTTCTCAGTCCCCACAGACGGAGAGGTTAATTTAACGTAAATGAACAGTATTGATGTGATTTCATGACAAGCCCACAGAACTAACTGTTTTTTACCTGTCAAGTATTCTATATGTGAATGTTAATGATGTGACATTTTAGAGATTCATATAGAATGTGTGTTGTATCTTTGTTGAACTCTTATCTAATAAATACCTTGGAGAACACCGTGCTCAGGCTCCTCAAACCACTGCTTTACAGTAAACTGGACCCACTCCTGTTTGTGTTTGAGAGTAAATAGGACAAGGCCAGAATCAACTGTGACCTGGAGGATTGGATTATCAACTCTACTCGATGTCTCCAACATTGTTACGTCTCATGACAGTGAGTGAGACACTGAGTGATGTTGTGATCAGCATCCAAGGGTGGGCTCTGTTGTTGCTTCAAGAGTAAGGCTTTTTAAATGGGACACTACAGAGTGGTCTGAAGTCAAACACTTTCCAAAGCCTTACCTAAACCCACCACAGTGTTTGTCAAAACTACTGTTGATCCACAACACATATGGATCCCAGAATTACAACAATGGCTGTAGTTCCACTACAGAGGAGCATAACGCTACATGTTCTATTTCTGTTGAGAAATAAATAACAACTAACTACGAACTTTGTCTTCAAAAATATCTTAATAAAGTGACCTGTGATTTAACCCATCACCTTAGTCAGCAGGGGGCAGCTCAAGCTGAGTGGGGATCATGCCATGCTCAGTGCACCACAGTGGCACAACCTGCAACCTTCTGGACACAAGTCCACCTTCTTAGCCACCAGGCCACCACTGCTGGGAAACAGCCTTAGGCCACACATCTAAAATACAACATCTACAGAAGTCAGCTGCATGGCATTTAAAGAATGTTAGCGTTTCTCTGCTATTCCCTGAAAACGGTGCCTGGTAACACACACTGAAACACGTTTTGTGTATTGTGTATATTTACATCAGTGATAATCAGTGGTCTTAGGCTTTGCACAGGTTCCAGAGCAGGATGTAGCCAGATCCTGGTCCGCAGCTAATGTCTTTATGTTACTCAGAGACTGTGGTTGACCCTGGAAAAGGATTTGGCACCAGGACAGCAGCTCACACTGTGTTTTGTCATAGGTATCCACTGGCAACCTTTCAATCTGAAACCGTATTCCAATGAATGGCAGAAGAAAAACAGATTGCCCAAGCTCTTTTGTTACTTTTATTTGAATTTCTGTAACTGACCTGTTGACCCACTGTGGCCTATACTTGCCTAGTATTAACTCTTCGTTTAACAGTGTCACTGACACATATATAACATTATATTGAACCATATTAAACCAACAGGGGGGTAACAATTTTCAAAATCTGGAACTGATTAAAGAAAATATATCATAGAAGTAACTAATAATTTTAGATTAAAGTAAAAACAAAAACGGCAGCTTGTTATACCCCATTGTTGCACCATATTCTGTCACTTTTGTGGCGATAATACCTCAATTCTTTTATTGTTGTATCATTGTTTATTTCACCCTGATACACTGCAGTTGTTATCATGAAAGTTGCACCTTCATTAAATAAGTTGCCAAATCCAGCATGAATGAGCTGGACTCCAGTTTCATCCTACCAATAAAAAGCATGCCATCTGGGTATCATGTTTTTTTGGACGCTCTAAATTGACCTTAGGCGAGAATGTCGGTTCTAGATTGTTTCTCCTGATGTGTGGCCCCGTGAGCTGGCACCCTGCCTTTTGTTTAGTGATGGTCTTGATTTGCTCCAGCTGCCTGTGGAATCCTCGACAGGATAAAGCACTGAGAAGAATCCTTTTAGGCTTGTCAGGGGTCGCCATAGTGATTTGGCATATCACACCAGATGCCCTTCCTGATGCAACCAAAATAGGGGTTGTGGGGAATCAAAGAGCACCATTTATAGCAGAATTGTTATTTTTTTAATATGTAAAAATATACTACTACTGTACAAATAACGTTTTATTTGTGGAAAATCCAAATTACGTAATTATTAATATTAAAAACTGAATCTCAGTCGTCCTGTCAGTCGTGGACCTTGCTGTACGTCTGACTGTTTGGTCAGGCTGGTCTGTGTTTACCTAAAGTTGAATCACCCACAAACACACACACAATGCTGGGCTTTGAGATGGTAATTTAAGTTTCGGTGAAATGAAAGTGAATTCCCCCAGTGTAACATATTTGGATTAGAGCAATGATAAAATGATTGATGGTGGAATTATTGGATATTATTCTGCCGATGTGTGAAAATGAGTTGAATTTTTCATCTGATTAAATTCACAAATTGGTTAAGGCAAGGTAATGCATCAGGGTTCTGCACAGGATCACCCTCCCCTTGGGGGTGCTGTTCTATCTACACCTTACAGTTGTTCCGGCGTCAGTTATGTAACAATGTCAGAGTTCATCCAGGTGGTAGGCACCTTACAGTTGTTCCGGCGTCAGTTACAGTGTCAGAGTTCATCCAGGTGGTAGATGGCAGCCAAATGCCTACCTGTAGCTCGTGCTTCAACTCAACAATCCGCGTTTCACCTCTTTTACCATCGGCTTTGCAGTTTTCAGTTTAAGCTGGGTGGATGAGTCCTGAAGCTGCCCGGCTCACAGCGGTAAGCATCTCTTCAAACTGTTCAAACCGCTGTCATGTTGTCCGTGGTTGGGAAAATAAGTAGGACATCAGGGTAACTCCTCTCTGTGTTATATATTAGACATATGCAGGAATATTATCAGAGAACCTTCAATAAATAATCATTTCAAACACAGCAACAGACCAGAAGTCACTGAGTTTTGATTCGCTGCCAGAATTGTTTGGTGACATATAATTTCCATTGACACGATTTTTCAGAACTTTAATTTCCGACAGTGAACGCCACAGCATCGGCTAAAAGCTTTAGCCTCACTCCCAGCAACAGCAGGAAGACACCCGGCAGTTAGCCTCGAACATGCAGAGCTATAGAGCTGAAACGGAGTCTGTAACTTCATTATAACAGTGGACACAGTAATGAGTAAAATGCCTTAAATGAGGCTATTTAAATCACCGGGCATTTTGAGGTGAGCCGCTTTCACTCGGAGGACAAAGTCCATAAACACAGGTGCCGTACTGCCTCCTCCCAACGGTCGTTGTGATGACTTCAATGGACTGAAAGAAAAAACAAAAACTGACAGAGATGTGTTCGGGTTTACAAATACCGGTACGTAGCCTCCTGTGGTCAACTCCAGGTTTATTTCAGTAAAAGTACAGGAGGCCACGAAGTAACAGACATTATTTTCGATTCGTAAATCATGTAACTGAATTTAATTTGTATAGCCCAATTACCAAAACACATTTTGTCTCAACTGACATTACCACTTTTATACCAATTACCAAAACACATTTTGTCTCAATTGACATTACCACTTTGACATTTAAAGAATGAAGAAGAAGAATTCGGTATTATTGTCCTAAGAATATTAAATATAAAACCCCTTTGAGGAAACAAATAATAAGGAATTTACTTAGAGCCAATATTATATTTTACAACTGTCAAATTACATCCAATTTAATATCACGCTGAGCAGGCATGGAGGGAAGTAAAATGCTCCCTTTACACTGGAATCAAAAGTGATAAATACAGGGGAGAAAGTAGAGGGAACGTACTGTCAAACAAACTGTTTAAATCCCAACAGTAAATTTGTGGGAACAGCTCTTCAGTAGTGTTATACAGTTATGATANTTACTGCAAACTATTCTCAAATTAAGTGATTTATCTTTTGTTTAGAAAAAATTCTTAAAATAAGCTCAAAAGGCTTACCTAAAATGTCTGAACACTGGACAGACACTCTTATATTAACGTAAATGGATGTCATTATTAGCTGTTGAATTGAGTATATTATTTTAGCCCGCATTCATTATTAGCTGTTGAATTGAGTATATTTTAGCCCGCATGAATTACCTTCCCTGTTGATAACATGTTGTACCTGGAGTTTTGATCTTCATATTTCAAAGTACATTTTTTATATTTCCTTCTTTTCTGAAGACTGTCAACCGAATATCCACCCAACTTTTTTTTATTGCTGTAAATCACCTCACACCCTGTGGCATTTTTCTCATTTCTCATGTCTCCCTTTTCATTTTCTTTTCTTTGATACATTTTGCAGAATACTTAAGATTTTACATGACACTTGGTCGAAACAACTGCCCATAAAAACCATAAAGCCAAAACGAATATAAAAAACATAGATACAAAAATGGAGTCCTTTAGAAAGTTTGGAAACAGACGGTTTACACTAAGGACATGACAGTACGTGTTCCCCTGAGTCAGTGGACACACCCTATACCTACGTGTTGTGTCTCAATGGTGAAAAAACATCCTGTGAATTCATTGAGCCCTCGGGCTACTTTTTTGGTAGAGGTGTTACAAAGGGCAGCTAAATGAAGACATGCACACTTCACTTTGTTTGGGTGTTTTTTGTCAGCCTTGGGATCATTAGCTTAGCTAAACCTGCTAACATCAGAAGTATAATGATGACAGTTTTCTAGATTTACAAATAAACATCTAGCTCCATTGGACACACATGGCTGAGGCTGTGGCCATGTGATGAGATTGGAGTTGACCTCACCATCACCCCCAAGACTGCTGGGAATTGAACTTGAAAAAAGAAATCAGACGTGTTTTTTTTTGTTTTTTTAAGTCAAGTCCATTTTATTTGTAAAACCCAAATTCATAAACACATTTGCCTCGATGGGCTTTACAGTTTTAGAATTAGCATTAAAACTGTAATGTACATACAGGTAATATTATATAGACTTCACATTTACAAAATAAAATACAGCAGTGTAAGTTTCACAAATATTATTTAAAAAATAATTTAATCAACCAAGCCTTTGGAAACAGTGTGAAGAAGAAGAAAAAACCCTGAGAAGATGAAGGATGAATAATTTTTTCAGTTTGCAACAATTAGGTGTCTCCATCTATCGGTGTAATTGTTGATTCATAGTGAACAGGGTGCGGTGTTGAAGGGTGTGACTCTGACACACACTGTGTCATATACTGTAGAGGTGAGACAGTGTCTATAAAGCAGAAGGCAAGTCCAAACGTACGTTTAAACACTGCACATACCTGCAGTCATAGGAGGCAGCTGTCTGGTGAGTTTGCGATAAGAAATATCTTTAAGAAGCTGTTGGCTGACTTTTCTGATCATGTTTTTGTTTTTCAGCGTCCCCTACCAGAGGAAAAAAACCATGTGGGCACTTTTACTTTTGAGTGGTAAGACTTCACCTCTTTATCAGTTGTTGTTATTGCTGGTTCACTTTCCTTTCAGTTTCTGTAAATCACTGTTACTTAACAGTTCATTTTGTTAATGATTTGAAAAATAGTTTTGTACGTGTTGTATTTGTTAAAGTATTGCTGTCTGTCCGTTTCTTCCTTGCAGCAGTAGCTACACTATCACAGGCCCAGACTGACTGCTCTCGAGGGGCCTGTTACCCACCCAGCCAAGACCTTCTCGTGGGTAGATCCCACCAACTTCATGCCTCTTCTACCTGTGGCCTTACAGGCTCTGAGGTCTACTGCACTTTATATCGCCAGGTAAGAGCATGTTCAAATATTAAGGTTATTTTAAAATATGTATCCATAAAACTTAAAAGGTTTTTTTTTAAATGATCTATTAAAAGTTGTTTTTATTCATCAAAGAGAGCAAGATTTTTATTTCGCATGTTTGTAGGCCAGCTAATGGATGACTGTGAATAGCATGTTCAGGCAGCAATAACAGTTTGGCTCTCATAGAGAGCTGGTTTGAGAGGTATTTAAAAAGACACTTGAGACTTGAAGATTGTACTTGATGGTTGTCTGAATCATCACCTCTGTGCCAACAGGCTATTTAACGTGAGTCCTGGGCAGTGGATGATAAAGTGTGCCATCCCTAGTATTTCAGATTTTTATAGCAGTAATTGAATAATGAAGTTTTTTTCCCACTGGTGTATGGTTGTTGTGTGTTATGATGTATGGTTTAGAGACAGTGGCTCTGCCGAAGGCAGAGATGAAGATGCTGAGATTATTTTTTTTTAATTTGTAGTGTTATATATTGTTGTGTTTTTTGATGCACTTTGTGGACATACTCATACGTGCTTGTGGACAGTCTGCCCAAACAGCACTGGAGCACAGACAGAACATTGTTCGAGGTAATGTTCTGTCAGTGTTCATAAAGGCTGTTGATTAACGCCTCGGGGGTTGAATACTTGTCTTAGGTGTGGACTTGAAACCTGAGCTGCATCTTCACCAGACAGTGACTGAACCTGACATGTTAAAACACACCGTTACACCTAGCCAACATTATATTTCAATGGTACACTGAGTGCAGCGGTTACTATACAGTTTGGTAAGTCCAGCCTATTGGCAGTGGCTCCCTGATGGCTCCAAATGAAATATCTCAGAATATGGCCACTAGCTGAAGTGTAGAAAATTGGTTATTTGTTATTGATATCAAGTCAGTTTTACAGTGTAGCGCAATATCACAAAATATACATTTTGCTGCAATGGACTTAACAGTTTTTGCAATAAATTAGAATCAAGAATACTTCTTGAAAAAACTTTATATATTATATTGATTTAAATAAAAACAAACCAAAATAGTTCACACACTGAGCTAGCATGTGGACACACACATTATTATCCACACTCAATTAATTCCAATCTAGCATGTGGACACACACATTATTATCAACCACACTCAATTATTTCCAATTCATATATTGCTTCTTTTGATTCTTAGGGAAGCATGAAGTGCTGTCCATGTGACTCAAGAGACCCAAATGGTCCTCTGGCACACACTGTCCAGGAGGTACTGTCTAATGCTGGACCTGGAAGATGGTGGCAGTCCAAGAAAGGTGGGTGTAGTAGAGAGAGAAATAAAACTTAATGATAAGAATTGGCAAAAGAACAAATACGAACTATATGTTAAATATTAATTCAGTCAGTCAACATGAATGGATCTTCTTGTTTTCCTATAGAGCTGAATCCTGTCAGCCTCCAGTTGGATCTCAACAGCCTGTTCCAGCTTGACAACCTGGTTCTTCGCTTCAAGGTTTTGTATAATACTCTGCCAGACTCTTTATGTGTAAAACACAGAAGACTGGGGCAGCAAAAAAGAAAGAACCGTATTTATTGTTAATGTAACCATTTCAATATTTCTTTCCTTTTACACACAGGGTCCTCGACCCAGTGCTTTGATTATAGAAAGGAGTCTGGATAATGGCACAACATGGAAGCCTGCCCTCTACCTGGCCACGGACTGTCAGAGCAGTTTTCCTGACGTGTCCACAACAACACCTCTAACTACAGATAAGACTTATTGCCATGCACTGCCCCCCACTGGATTGGACCCCTATAAAGACCACACAGTAAGAATCTGCAGTGTAATAAAAAAAAAAAGCTGTTTAAGACCTTTTTTAACTTGTGTTAAATTTGTGTAACGTTGGAGTGCAATTATTTTATAAATGTGATTCTGGATGTCAAACCAATAACTTCCTCTTTCCTTCCAGATAGAGTTCAGCCCTTTGCGTCAGTACACTTATGTTTCAGCTCCAAACAGCCAGAAAATTGAAGGTGATTATTTTTTTATGTTTTTAATGTTGCAGAAAAAAATTTCAAAATGTTGTGGTTTTCTGATTTTGTTGCATCATTGACAGATGTTTCTGGATTAACTGGGCTGAGGGTACAGCTAGTCAAACTTGGGAATCCCCCACACCTACCAGGCAGAACTCTAAGTAGGTTTTATGCCCTGAAAGAGATGAGTGTGATGGGAAGCTGTATGTGTCATGGACATGCCAACCGCTGTCTGCAGGACACGTCAGACAGACAACCATCTGTACAGGTAAGAATGAAGAGCTGTTTAAAGGAAAAGTGATAGATAGAGAGGTGACGCAGGGCATTTCCTAACAGGACAGCAATATATTACTGTACATGTGTCTGTATATATGTATAACTGTATATGTTTTTTAGCTGTGTTGATAAAAATCATCAAATTTTAGAACCCATTTTTACCTGCGAGTTTGAGAGCTGTTTAATTCCTACTACTTCCTCCTACTACAGTAGTCTCAACAGTACCTCAGGATAACAAGAGTTGATTTGCTTCACTCTAATCACACATCTGCTCAACCAAGCATTCCCATGTCTCCTGGCAGGTGTATCCTCAGTGTGACTGCCAGCACAACACAGCAGGTGTCAACTGTGAGCGCTGTGATGATCTCTACAATGATCTGCCCTGGAAACCTGCCGAGGAGGGACATACTCACGCCTGCAAACGTAAGAGATCACTTACAGCACATACGGGAATAGTTATGTTTTTAGCATTATTATAAAAATTGCTCAAAAATGTACTTTCAACATACAACCTGCAGGTTCTAGAAAACTAAAATATTTACTTTATCAAATACTTTGATCATGTTTTTTTCCAGAGAGTATAGAAATCACATAAATGTTCTGTTGAATATTGAAGCTTCATCAAAAATATTAAAAAGTCTTTGAACACAAGATTTCTTTTTTTTTTTGCTAATTGCCATAAATCCTCTTCTCAGGCTGTGAGTGCAACAACCATGCCGAGCGCTGTCATTTTGATCAGGCTGTGTATGAGGCCAGTGGTCGGAAAAGTGGAGGCGTGTGTGACAGTTGTCAGCACTTCACAACAGGACCTAAGTGTGACCAGTGTGCAGCAGGATACCAGCCCAACCCCTGGAGCAGAATGGACCGTCCTGATGCCTGCATCCGTAGGTTGCTCCTCAGTAAAATAACAAAGTATTTACAACAATATGTCATAGCATAGAAAGACTGGTACAAGTCTTTGGTCCATTTTTGTAACATTTTTTGTACAAACAGTATTATGATACTAGTGATGTGCGACCATCCCTCTTTAACAACCATTGTTATTTCTTTCTTTTTTTATTATTGTCTTGTACTGTAATTTACAATGGTTGTTTTGCCATATTTTTTCAGGATGTCCCTGTAGTGCTGAGGGCTCGGTGAATGGCAAGTGTGAGGACAGCACAGGTTCATGTCAGTGTAAAGTAAATGTGGAAGGACGTCATTGTGACCGCTGTAAAAGGGGCTTCTATGGTCTGAGTGAATCCAACCCTCAGGGCTGCACCAGTAAGTCCACACTCATCGATTGCTCCCTGGTTTTCCTTTACTAGTTTTGTTGCAATGTATTTAGAAGTACTTAAAATTGATTGGATGTTGTGTCGTTCTTTCACCTGTTTAGAATGTTCCTGTTCTCCAGACGGCTCTCTGTCAGACGTCTGTGACCAACTGACCGGCCAGTGTCGCTGTCGTTCCCACTTTCACGGCCAAAACTGTGAAGTGTGTTCAAACGGCTACTGGAAGCCGTCTGGGTCGAGTCAGTGTAAACCCTGTGGCTGTGACTCAACCAGGTCGTACAGTGACACATGTGATCAGGTATGAACGTTCAGATGGGGTTAAATACAAACAGGCTGTGAAGTAGTACTAAATTAGAACTTAGAAATTTATTTTGTCTGCAACAGTAAAAGCTTATTGACATTCTCTAATATATCATATGTATATATATAAATATTAAGTATAATACTTGACCAAACAATTCATACATCAAGAAAACAAATTATGTCTGTTTAGTCATTAACATGTTACTAATGAACTGTGATTGTTATGAATCATCAACCTTCAAAAGGCTTCGTTTAGAGTGGTTGGATGTTGCCTGTATAAACATGACATCCACGTACAGTGACACATGTGATCAGGTATGAACGTTCAGATGGGGTTAAATACAAACAGGCTGTGAAGTAGTACTAAATTAGAACTTAGGAAATGTATTGCTTGAAATCAGTAAAAGCTTATTGACATTCTCTAATATATCATATGTATATATATAAATATTAAGTATAATACTTGACCAAACAATTCATACATCAAGAAAACAAATTATGTCTGTTTAGTCATTAACATGTTACTAATGAACTGTGATTGTTATGAATCATCAACCTTCAAAAGGCTTCGTTTAGAGTGGTTGGATGTTGCCTGTATAAACATGACATCCACAAAAAAAAAAAAACTGACCATATATGTACAGGTAACTTTAACCCACCAACAGACATAAGACGAGCTTAGTTTGCTATGGAGCCGCTCTCTCTATGCGACTTAAACAACCGAGCGATGCGCCCTCTGCTGGCATGTTTGAGCACTGCGTCAAATGGAGGCCAAAACGTTGTAAGCTGATTAAAATGATAATATTAAAAAAATGTATTTCTTTGGTGAATTGGTGTAAATCAAAGCGTCTTTACAGAAACCTTGTTGAAAGCAGAAACAACTACTGAAATAATAAATCAGAGTTGTAACTGTTTGTATATGTTATTCTTTCTAAAATGACTTACTACAGTGTTTGATAGTGGGGAATAATAAACTCCTTCTGTTTTCCCTAGGTCACGGGTCAGTGTCGATGCCGACCAGGCTTTGGAGGCCTCACATGTACAGAGTGTCCAGAAAACACATACGGAGACCCTGATGTTGGCTGCAAATGTGAGTTAGACATCGAATGAATAACATTCACTATATAATATAACATAATATTTCTCTTTTATTTGTTCTAACACTATTTTAATGGTTTGTGTCTGTAGCATGTCGGTGTGACAGAGAAGGAACTCTCGCTGAGGTTTGTGACAAGCAGACAGGAGCTTGTTTGTGTCGACCGGGTGTCACAGGGACTCGCTGTGACAGCTGCCGAAGAGGACACTGTGACCTCTTTCCAGTCTGTGAGAAATGTCCCTCCTGCTTTTTCACCCTGGATCAACAAAGAGAGAACATCAGCTTGGCTCTAGGAATACTCACCTCCAACCTCCTGCCTTCACGTCCATCTGACTTTGGGCCCAAAATCTTATCTCTGGAGATCAAAGCAAGAAGGATTCAGAATTTTATCAATCTTCCACCAAGTATCAGTCAACAGATTGAAGAGGCTCTTTCTACTCTTCATGAGCTCGGGTGAGAGAAAGTTGGGTTCAAATTTCTTAAAGTGTTCACCATCCATTGTACACTGTGATGGAGGCAATTTCTAACACTTTATTTATTTTTTTTGCTCTTCAGGGATCATGTAGAACGGGTTGATGATAGTCTTTCACCTTTTACCTACACTAATTTTGGCAAAGATGTGGACAAGCTGCAAAGTCTGCTGGACAGCCTCACCAAATTTTACAACGTACAAGTAGATACCAAGACCAACATCACTGATCCCAGCGTTGTAGGTCAGAACCACAGACACATCTAAGCATCGGGGGTTTTGGGTGCACAGATTATTTCAGTCCAGTTTTTTTTTAAATGTCTCACATGTTCTTTTCTGTCTCTTTAGGAGGTTTTTCTGAAATTAAGAACAACTACGATCGGTCAACAAATGCATCCAAGACAGTTGACGAAAGTGACGACACAGTGAAAAGTTCAGCTGAAAACAGACAAGACGTAAATAATCTTACAAACAAGTTTCAACCAGCTAACACAGAGGATCTGAACCGACTGAACCAACACATCGGCACCCAGCCAGACCTCACTCCTGTTGCCAAAAAGGTGAAACTGCTCTTACTCGATGATGTCATTTTTAAGTTAGGGATTTACTTCAGGTTTCTGTGATTTACAATTAATTTCATCGTCCCTACTGCACTGGGAATTGTTCTCCTTCTATTACCTCCCACCAGCCACTCACTTTCCTATCAAACTATTTGAATTTAAACTTTGGGTGAAAATCATTGTTTTGACAGTTTTGTTGTTAGTGTTTTAGTCCACCAGATAATTGTTGATACTGAGCGGGATTTTTTCTTTTTTAGTCAACATATTTATCTTTGTTTCCTTATAGATTTGTGCCAGTGACCGCACAGAGCCCTGCACTCCACTCAAGTGTGATGGAACTGACTTGTGTCGCTATTGTAGAAGAGGGGAAAAGTGCGATGGAGCTGTTCCTTTGAGCAACAAGGCAGAGGCTGATTCCAGAAATGTCAAAGATCAACTAGACAGGCTAAATAAAAAGATCATAGAAGCTGAAGAAAAGGTACACACATTTACCTGGCATCATAGTCACATCACACACTTGTTCTGTTGATTCCTGATACAGGTGATTAATCTCTTCTACTCCTCACAGCTCCAGGAAGCACAGGAGACAACCAATCAAGTTAGAGTGTCCACAGAGAAGCTGTCAAATAAGACGAAGAAAACCAGGGATAAGATAGAACAGGAACTTAAAAATGCAGAAGACATTAAAAAACAGTTCATAGACTTCCTGTCAGGTGAGGATTGTATTACACGTCAAGCACTGTTCATTCTGCTGCTAACTGTCGATCTAGTGCAGGACTGTTGGACATCAAGCTAAAGGATATGTACTCTTAAAACACATCACAAATCCATCACTAGGACACTAGTAAAACAAAGTAATGCCAACTACTTAATTCTCTTCAGTTCATCAATACGATTGAATTACTGTCAGTCTAACTGTTTAGTGTAAATACTTTGTCAGTAGCCTTCAATGTGAACAAGTTATTAGAGTTTATTGATAACAAATAAAAAGCATTTATAACATGACAGCACCATCAGGTCCAACTGTTTATCAGCTGCAGGAACCTGGAAGGTGCAGAAGGTAAGAGAAGAGAATCCAACAAAAATTCAGCAAATTTTTCATTTGTGTTTGTGCAGATCCATCCTTAAACCTGAGCAAGATTCAAAGTGTCAGCGACAAGATTTTAAAGATTAATCTGCCTCTCACCCTGGCTCCTCTGAAAACTAAGCTGGAAGAGATGAAGAACCTTGCGGCTAGTTTGCCAGACAGCAGAGCAGTGTTGAAGGAGGCAGAGTCACAGCTAGAGGCCGCTAGAAACATGTTAAAAGAGGCTGAGGCTGCCAGGTACTTTCAGTATTTATTTATTTATTTATTTATTTTGCAGTAGTGCTCTATACAGTATTTTTTTTTAAATATCTACATATCCTTAACATCACACATTTCATTTGCTACTCACAGGGACACCGCAATAGGAGTTAAGGCTGATGTCGACGGTCTCCTGTCAGGTTTCAGCTCAACAGAGAACTCCCTTTCTGACCTTGAGGACAGACTTCAGAACAGTATGGATCTTATAGACAACCTGAAAGTCAACCTTACACAGGTAGGACGCCAGAATTGAATATAACCAGTGGCGTGGCTGATAATTCTTTGTAGTAACGATGAATGCAATTACAAATAGGGATGTAATAGTGACAGTGTTTCAGTGTGTCTTCTGAAAACTTCGATTCGATGCCAAACAATAATGACAGAAATATAGCATCATTATTTTTGTTTTATTTTGAAGTGTGATTTTCTTTATACAGGTCAGAGACAAGCTGACCCCTGCAGAGAAAGCACTAGAGGATGCATCCACACTAGTGAAACCCATGAAACCTCAACTGGAAAAAGTAAAGGACCTGCTTTTAAACGCAGAGCAACAGGCTGAGGATGCACTAGAAACTGCAGCTAATGCTACAGACGAAGCAGATGCTGCTAATGAGGTAAGACAGTTACCATAGCTCTTCTGTCAACTTCCTCAGTCTGGGATGAATTAAGGACTTCTTAATCCTAACCTTAAACTAAGATTTTGATTATTGTACCAATATTAGGACAGATATTGCAAGTTGATGGCTATTTTAGGGCTAGTTCAGTAGATTATATTGAAGGTGGGAGTTACTGTGGACCCTGTGGACTAGGCCACACACACACACACACACACACACACACACAGACACTGCTTAAGGTAGAGCAAGGCAGACATGATGAAGGTAAGGAAGGTTTATATTTAAAAATAGTTAAGAAAGTAGTAAGTCAATAAATATTTTTTAGAGAATGTTTGAAAAAAGTGAAGCAAATAATAAAAAATCTCAATTAAAAGTTCAGATTAAAACTGTTTTGCATTAATGTTTCTGTGTTTAGGACCTCTTGTCCCTGGAAGACTTGCTAGACCGACTTAAAGACAAGCCTTCAACCGGTGGGGACATGGGTTTGGTGGGAGAACGACTGGCAAAGCTGCAGCAGGATGCTGGAGCGCTGGCCAACACCACTGCCAACATGATGGATGCTATAAATGGTATTTCAGTCATTCTTAATCATTCAGAGAATTCTTAATGTTTTCTCAGCAAACAAAACACATCTGAGTAGTCAGGCAGAAATCCAACAACAACAACAATTCACTGCATGTGAGACAGAATTACCGGTATGGAAACATGTCACATATCAGAAACTCAAAATAATATCCCCAGAATTTCTTTGTATCCCAAAAGGCTCATTCGGATTGAGATGTTTTTGTGTCAATGATAAGATGATAATAAGGCAGTATTTTCACTTTGACACTAATTTGTTCACAGGTAAAGCAGATTCTCTGAGGCAACTCCAGGACCAGATCATCCACAAGTCCAAAGGACTGGAAGGACTTGATAATAAACTCAAAGATATTTTGTCTAAACTTCAAAAGAAAGGCATGGACCTGAGCACTTGTCGAGGCTGAGGCCTCACACCCTTAAGCAGCTGCTGTTACTACAACAAGCACCTTGCATTATTTATAGACCCCGCTGTCACACACATGCTCCTCCCTAGCACTGTAACACTGGCCTTGAGTGTTTTCTCATCTGTGATTTTGTACGTCATATATAAATCTTTTAGGGAGAGATTGGGGAGTTTTAAGTATGTGTTTTTACTAACAAAAAATGTCTGAGTACCTTATTTATGGGATAAGATTGCATTGGATTTGTACTAGGTACTGATGTAGATTTATCCCAAGTCATTCTTAGAGAGTTTTTCATTTCATTAATCTATGTTATCTCAAGACTCACTTTTATTAGCAGCTCAAGTTTGTCAGTATTCTATACCCCACACCAAAGTCTAGAGAAAAAGTAATAATCAAAGTTTATAACTCATGTGGATGCAAAATCAGCTGGCCGTCTGCTGCCTCTCACTGAATTGGTGAAGGTAAATCTCTGAACATTTAAATGACTTACTGATGAAGGCCGCAAAGGACTAGAAACTCTATGACGAGGTTACATTATTGTCAGGTGGACATAATGTGTTGTTCTGTGTTTCACCACTGAATGGACCCTTACCACGCAGTGCAGGATAGAAGCTGTATTTGTACTTGTATAGTAATACAGTAACAAAGGCAACGTCAACCAGTGGTTCTAACCTTTTTTGGCAGCTCTGCCAGAACAAACACTTAAATTAGCCTTTCACTTTACAGTGAACATTTCAACACACTGTATTTTTGTCCTTGTTGTTGTCAGTGTTGTATCTATTATTTTTTAGTTGATGTACAAGTCCTGTAATAAATGCATGTTTGCACTTTGTGTCGGTGCTGTTCATTTTGACAGATGAGATTCTTTTACTTTGTTATGACATTAGTTACCTGTATGTATTAGATGAAAGGACAAATACAAAAGAGATTTATTATTTATTCATAAGTTTCATCAGAAGCAGGGGACGTCAGTGGATATAAGAGGAAACCAAAGAGATTTATCTCAATATATCCATCTATCTTCTGCCACTTATCCAAGGCTGAGGCAGCAGAGAAACACAGACGTCTCTCTCCTTAACCACTTTGTTTATGACTTTCAGTATCACTTTGAAGAATTCCTCCAGTATGGCCTATCATGCTTTTTCAAAGTCCACAGTGACACGATACAATTCATATTTTCTGTTTATATATTTTATTCACATTTATTTCACTACATTTTATTTCCTGCTAATTTTCTAAAAATACATTTGTCATTATCAATTTTTAAACAGAAAGAAAATGCATTTCGACTTCTTTTGAGCAGTGTTATTTACATAGAGAGAAAAAACATTTTAAATTAGGGGTTTTGGAAGATTATTGTTCGTAAATAAACAGGTCGAGGAAGAAGTCACGTTGTTATGATTGTAAAGGACGACTTTCTAGGGGGGAAATCGGCTCAGGGTGTAAATAAAAACCCAATTTCTTGGACGGTGCAGCAGACTCTACTTTCTGGTAAGGGGTTGGCTTAATAACAACAGTTGATTTATAACGTGTATAGAACGTATGTTTGTAAACGGAATATATCCAATATATTACAGTGCAGAAAAACAAGGTGCACTAATTCATGTCTCCGCACACGTTCATGAGAAAATATTGTGAGATACATTGTTTTTATCGCACGTTTGTCCGCCCATGGTCCATCCCCCGGTCACGTTATGTCACGCATGACGTCGTATTGAGCCAAAGCAGAGACGTTTACATACTACCGCGAGTATGCTTAATATAAACAATTCGTGAACAAATGTAATATTATAAATATATTCTGGTGAAGCAGCGCCACGTCTGAAAGGTTGGATATCAATTACCTCAAAAATGCTTCTTGTTTGTTCAGGTTTAAGCAGTATTGACTAAATTACCTGTTTAACGCCGGGGTTTGCTACATTTTAGCCACGTATTTTGCTAGACTGGTAGCTAATGTTAGCACAAAGTAGCCTGTAACTCCTTCGCTATCGTGCTAATATAATCTGTTGTAGTTTATTGCACTGTATGTTGTTTGTACGTGAACGGAGAGGATTGTTTTTTAAATTGTATTAACAAACAGGCATTTGAATTATAGAATGTGGTAAGATTAAGTAGCCCCTGCCTGTATGATGCTTCGTAAGAAGCAAGCTACGTCTTACGATTTTGTCTGTCTGCTATGTAAGCATCCCTGCCATGGTTTGTTTCACTAACCGTGGACATTTTTCCACATGTTTATATGCGACTGTGTGCTGAAAGCTGCATCATATGAATATGGCACCGCGATTACAGTTGGAGAAAGTGGCTTGGCGTTGGGTGGAAACGGTGAGACCAGAAGAAATCGGACAGGAGCATGTCGAGCTAGCATACCGAGTAAATCTCCCAGCCTGCATGATGGGAGCCTGCAGGTACAAAAATAAGTTTCTGAATGTCATTCTTCTCTATCATGCCCCAGTAACATTTGTTTTTACACTTGCGTCTAGACCATCTTTTCAGAAATATTTATTTGCGGTAAACGACCGATGTGCTGCCCTAAACAATAGGCTTGACACTGTAATCTGTAAAGCCACGCAGCTGACTTAATATGAAATGGTCATCATTAATGTAGCTAACTAGCTTTAAGCTATGCTAAAATTGTAGCAGGAAACTACAGACATGGTTCTCAACAAATATGTATGACTGTCTTCCAGAGGAAAAATAATAACAAAAGATGCATACACATAAGTATTTCACAGCCTTTGGTTTCAACATATCTAAACATTATTCTCTAGGTTTTTTGCCTGACAGAATGGTTTCCCATGACTGTTTTCTGTAGGAGGAACTGCAAAGGAAATCCCAACTGTCTGGTAGGAATTGGTGAGCAGGCATGGCTGGGAGACATAGATGAAAATGCTTTCCACAATATTGATGACCCAAACTCAGAGCGCAGAGACAAGGTATGTCATGTCTTGGGTTGTCACCTTGACAGATTGTATTGTCACTTGTGTTAATTTGTTGTTGTTTTTTAACATGACTATATGTTTTCTGGAGAAAGGCTGATAATGTTTAAAACCTATGCTGATACAATGTGTAAAGACCACAGAAAAAAACAAATTAAACAACAGGGCCCTCAACTGTGGTTGCATGTCTCACTGCATCCTAGTGATAATATGTTCCAGTTTTACAGCATCTGAATTGGTTTACCTTAATGCACTTTTTTACTCTTTTGTGGTTTGACATAGGACAAAAATCTATATTATATCTAGATATTTTTGTCCTGTGAAACAGTAAGACAAGATAGGAAAGCCATATATTACAATAAAATTACTAGATGAAAATACACTGAAATAGAATAACATTTTGTTTAAACCATGTGCTTAAAATCTATTATTTGGGGAATAAACAAGTTAACAACTGTTATTAAGCCACAAAAGTTGAGAGTACAAATTGTTGTTACCATTGTATTTATCCTCTTCTCTGTTAAATCTTTATCCAAATGATTAAAACATAAAAAGAAATTTTAACACAAAAAAAGTCTAATTATAATGTTATATTTTAATTTATTCCTGCTTTGCCTTTCACCCCTTTAGAACACATTTGTTGGCCTGACCAACCTGGGTGCAACCTGTTACGTTAACACATTCCTGCAAGTGTGGTTCCACAACCTGGAGTTACGAAGGACACACTTCCTTCGCGAGCACAGGAACATAACGTTGAGTCTGGTATTGCGCATAACACAAAATATGCTCCTTCATTTTTTATTGCTCTCTCAGTTCACCCTGTTTGAAACAGCTGTTTCTTTAGACTTTTCGTCTTGTATATATTGTTCTGCTAATGTAGGATTGTCAATATGACATTCTTTTAAAAGTATCGAATAATCAGCAGGTACTTCAACATCATTAACCAAAATAACAAATATCCCACAAGAGTTAATCAAGTATTTCCCTTCATTTTATTTACATATACTTTTTTTAAAATCATCATCAGCAATAATGTAGAAAAGTATATCCAAGTATAAAGTATATCCAAGTGGAGTCAGTATAATATATAAACATATTTTCTGACGACGATCTATTGTTAGGAGGACGTTGATTGTATTTTCATTAAGGTTATTTAGCATTATTGTTTGAAAATAAAAGTATGGATGTACTTAATGTATTGTGTTATAAAATGTGATTCTTTTCTTACTGTAAAGCTGTGCTAATTCTTTTTCTCTTAGACTGAAAATCTGTGTCTCTTTCAGATTATGAGCCCGAGTCGATCTGTGAACATCTGCAGTATCTCTTTGCACTTCTTCAGAACAGCAACAGAAAGTACATTGATCCTTCTGGGCTAGTGAAGGCACTGGGTCTGGATACCAGGCAGCAGCAGGTGGATCCCTTTACACATCATTAAAACATTTTAAAGCTTTAAATACAAATAAGTGTTGTAATTTAGTGTCAGTTCAATACCACAGCCAGTTTCTGTTATTATTCGCTGTAAAATTGTATTCATATTTACAACCCTATCATTCGTAACTCTTCTGTTAAGTAGTGGAGACTTTGTCTACAGACAACTGAATTCTAACTTTTCTTCACCAGGATGCCCAGGAGTTTTCAAAACTCTTCTTGTCATTATTGGAAGTCACACTGTCTAAGCAAAAGAACCCCAACATGCAGAATGTTATTCAGCGGCAGTTCTGTGGCCAGTTCTCTTATGTTACTGTGTAAGACCTTTCAACTTTTAAACCTGTGACATGTTTGTAGGCTAGTAAGAAAGTGTTTCCTGTCCTCAGAATTTCAGAAAGTTAGTTTTCAGTGATTTATTTTAATTATTAAATTTTTCAGTAATGTTTAGTTCCATTCATCACTTGTTGATATAGACATTTGCTTTTTTAAAAATCTTTTTATAACTTTATTACACAGTTTTTCATTACCAGCCATAGAAGACAGATTATATATATTAAATTGTTGCATTGCTAATCTTTTTTTTCTTTTTCTTTTTTTTTTAAGCTGTAACCATTGTGGACGGTCGTCTGCTCGGCCATCCAGATTCTATGAGCTGGAGCTAAATATCCAAGGTCACAAAAACCTCACTGAGTGTGTGACAGAGTTTCTGAAGGTACAATTATTCAGTCAGGAAATCTTGGTAGAATGTGTATTTTAGTGTAATATAAACTGTGGGGTAAATGGAAACATCGACAGAGTTTGGATACTATTCAACTGCTATTTCAACAGTTTTTATATAACGTGTTCCTTGTAGCCAAATGAGTCAACATATACAATATCAACTGAGTGTTCATTTTAGGTATTTAAATTATTTTTGTCTCTGTCTCAATCAAAGGAGGAAAAACTTGATGGAGACAACCGCTACTACTGTGAGAACTGCCTGAGCAAACAGAGTGCCACTCGAAGGATCAAACTGCACAGCCTTCCTCCAACTCTCAACCTGCAACTCATGCGCTTTGTCTTTGATAGGTCAGATATTATACACTTCTTTTGTTGGTTTGGTGTTTATTCATGAACATGGTCATATTTAACAGCGGTTCTCTGGCTGTCAGCTGTCAGGATCTGTCAAGAGGCGACAGATCTAAGAAGTCGACCTGTGATGGAATGTTGTGTTCAAGGTCAACAGGCGGAGACCAATCCAGTGAACAGATAACGACAACAGCTCTGTTCAGTTGACTTTGTTTTGAGCCTCGTCTATAGAGCAGTGACATTGTGACAGGACTGGTGTTCTTTGCTTAAACAGGAGTGTCTGCAAAGAAACATGAATTTATTTGAGGGAGAAGGCAAATAAGGCTTACATCACTCGACACACAAGTCTTTAGTACGTCACTGGCACAGGTTCTAGGCCTAATGTCCTTTCTAATGAAACCCTCAGCAACAGTGTTTGGACTTTTTGCAAGTTTTTTAGTGTAATTGTTGAAAAAAAAAAACATTCCATTCCTTTACTCAAAATGAAAATAATTCAGAAATTCTCTCTAGAATCTAGTCTAGAATTCATCTCAAAAGCCCTCAGAATTATTTTGAGAAAGTCTCTGAATTGTCATAACTGCACATTTAAGAATAAAATAATTATTATTGTATTTTTGTTCTAGTTTGCCATTCACAAAACTCTTTTTAAAATTTTAAAATGTTTAGATCTTATCTATAATTTTAAGGGAGCTGGAGACCTTTTTATAGATCTAGTTTGCCATTCACAAAACTCTTTTTTAAATTTTAAAATGTTTAGAGCTGGAGACCTTTTTATAGACCTGATCTGGTTCCCATTCATATTTCTGAACTATTTCAAAACATGAATAGTGTTTGTGTACTAAACTAAACATTTAGTAAGCTGCACTCTTTTTTTGTTTTTAGACAAACAGGACACAAGAAGAAGTTGAACACCTTCATCTGTTTTCCAGAGCAGCTCGACATGGGAAGTTTTGTTGAAGAAAAACAAGGTATTAATCATGTGACATCATACGATAATTGTAATAGATGTGGACACGTGCTGACATACATGAAGCACATATACTGTATTTTGATGTTGGTGTTCATGTGACAGCAGGGTCACGACCTGCCTGATCTGCCAGTGTCCATGTTAATGTTCCTGCTTGTTTCCCCAGGTCAACAGTGTGTTTATGAATTAAGTGCGGTGCTCATCCATCGGGGCATCAGTGCTTATTCAGGCCATTACATTGCCCATGTAAAGGATGCGTGCACAGGTGACTGGTACAAGTTCAATGATGAAGAAATTGAGAAGATGGAAGGAAAGAAACTGCAGCTTGGAATTGAGGAGGACATTGGTAAGTTTTATCTGAAAGAGCACTGCTCTGCCTGTCTCTCCAACGATGGACTGAATGAATCCTAACAGTTGTCAAATGAGACTGTCAACTGTGTACCAACCCTAACTTCTGCACAAGATTACTGACCATCAGTCCAGCCCCATACAAACAGAACTAGCCACCACCTGATATGCTTAAATCCAATAAGCACTCAAGTTTGTACAGCCTAGAGTTGGGAAATGTGCCTAAAAATGATGAAATGGTCAAAATACTCACTTGCCCAATAAGTGTAGATGCAGGATATATACACAGCAAAGGGATTGAAGAGCTGCATGTGGGTCACAAGCCATAAGTTGTCAAACTTTGACCTAAGGTTTCATGCAAAAGAATAGGCTCTAAATAAGTTTGTTTTCCTCTTCTGTGTTTTTTTTCTTTTCTTCTCGTAGCTGAGCCGGTGAAGTCTCCAACACGAAAGCCAAAGTGTAATAAAGGCTACCACTGCTCCAGAAATGCCTACATGCTGGTGTACAAGATCCAGGAGGAGCAGAATTTGGATCCCTCAAAGAATAATATAAAGTTACCAGGTGGGAAATGTATTGAAATAATTCCCAGTCTATTTTATTGGACCAATGGGACTGTGTGTATTATATATAATGTAATATAATGTATGTACTTCCACACATTCTACATTTCATTCCTATGACAGAATTTTTACCTTTACTACATTTCATTCCTATGACAGAATTTTTCTTTTACCTGTATCTTACTGAAATGGCTCCCCCTGTCTCAGTGGTGAACTCATGCAGTTGATCTGGCTGTCATTTCTGATGCATTTTTTTTAAACAAATCTGCCCTGCCAGCCTTTCTTCAGAAGCTGGTCGACCAAGACAACCACAAATTTGAAGAATGGTGCAACGAAATGGCAGACATGAGACAACAGAGTGTCAACAAAGGCAAGGCCAAGCATGAGGAGGTGAAGAAACTCTACAAGCTTTTACCCACAAAAGATGGTCAGTAATAACACTTTGTAACATTATTCACAGATTTATACAAAAATAATGAACTTTTAACTGAAATGTTTGCTGTGACCTTGGATTCAGTAGAAAAATGACTTCAGGTAAGAAAAGTGTGATGATGGAATAATCCATGTGATGAGTAACAGTGTCACAAATGACTTTGGCTGCTGTTATGATAGGATATATTGATATGTTATTGTGATGTATCTTTAAGGTTATGGCTTCACATTGGTTTTACACCTAAACAACTGTCAAACAACAGTGATTAGAAAAACCCACCCCTAACATATAGACACTTTATAGTCAAAGCTGTCATTTCACTAAAAGATGATTTTTTTTTTCCTCAGGTGAGCTGTATGAGTTCATCCCACTGGAATGGCTCAAGAAGTGGCTAGATGACTCCACTGCCACAAAAGAAATTGATAACACACTCCTCTTGTGTTCTCACGGCAAACTGCACCCAGACAAGGTGGGGGATTCAAAGAGGGTCTCCCTCCAAGCTGCACAGCAGCTATATGAGCGTTATGGTGGGGGGCCAAGACTGAGCAGTAAGTGTTACCACTTATTTATCTTATGCTGGAATGCCATTTTGGATTTTTGTTTTTTTTTTAAGCCTTGTGTCCTATCGAGTATCACGTCCTCTCTGAAACATCTTATCTACGTAGTGAACTGTGTTGTGTTTTTCCATTTCTGTTTTTTAATAGATAAGGGAGTGCCATGTGTTTTTGTTTTTAATCTCCCTGATTTTTACAGGAACAAGACTAGTCTCTATACACAGTCTTTAATAGGATATTAATAATATCATACATCCAGAAATGTGCCCTTTCCTTTGTTATATATATATTGTTCCTATCGAGCAATAATGAAACCAAAACAATGTACAAACACATCGACAGATCGGAGGGTTTTGCAGCATAAGGAAAAATTCAAGTAGTCAAATCACAGATGAAGAATCACATGACAATAATCACGTTTTTTTTTGTTGTTGTACATATAAAGCCCTCTGTTTTTAAAGGTTCAATGCTGTGTTTTTACTATTTCACCTTTGTGCGTTTATTTAGACTCCTCTCTGTGTAGCAAGTGTGTAAGCCAGCGCTGTCGTGTGTTGCGACTGAAAAAACAGCTCAACGATGACTACAAAGAAGTCTTCAACCTCCTCAAACGTAATTTCAGGTATCTACTGTCAGAATTAGTGTCATATAAAGATTTTAGGTCATATAGTCACCTTATTTTGTTTGGTTGTCTTTGTTTTCTGTGTCCGTGTTGTGTTATAATAGTTCAATCTTATCTCAATAATTCCATATCATTTTTCAAATAATGGGTTGATTTGCACAACCAGAAGGAAATAATCATGGATCAAAGATGGACACAAAAACCTCAAGCTTAAAATATATTTAAGAAAAACCTGCATATGCATGAATTTATAGTGTTAAATGCACTAACACTGGCTGATAAATAAATAACTAAAGCAATGTATGTTTCATAATTATGTTTTATGAGAATACAATTTTGCACTGATGACTTGACCCTTTGTCTCAAAGGTCAAACATCTGTCCAAACTGATCTTCAAGTAAAAACAAATCACTATTTACAAAACAAAATAGTTATGATTAGTCATTAGGAGGATAAATGTAAATTAAAATAATATTAATAAAAACTCTTCCATTTGTTTAAGTGGTGACGGTTACTGGGTTAGCAAAGCATCTCTGCGTAGCTGGAGGCAACTGGCTTTTGAACAGCTGAAAGAAGATGAACAAGAAACCAAGCACAGCAATGGTCTCAACAGTGAGCAGGAACTGCACACGGACAACAGCACTGGTAGGTTGTTGTCACTGTCAAAGTCACACCGAATTTACCCCTGCTGGGGATTGTTATACAGTTGTACAGTAATGGTCTGCATCAAACCTGTGGTCTGTGTTGGTTGGATTACAGTGATGTTAAAATGACTTGTGCTCACAGACAAAAAATGAAGTGTGTTTATATTTATCTTTTAATAGTAATTAAAATACACAAGTGACGTGTAGGAGGACATAAACAATGAGGGTTTAATTAAACTATTCTAATGTCCTAGTTGAACAGATGTTTGGTTCGGTACGAGTTGTATTTTTTCACCTTGTTAAATTGTCTGATTGTAGATTTTGCGTCCGAGCTGTCAGAGGGCAGGGAAGAAGAGATGAAGGCTTTCAATGAAGATATCGTCTGTACTCATGGTACTTTTCCCATTTTAGAATCTAAAAATCTACAACACTGCAGTGGTTGTGTTGAGAAGTGTAATAATGGTTTGTTTCTGTTGTAGGAGGTCTCAGTATCATGGAGACTGAACGGAAACTGGTGTCATCTGAGGTTTGGAAAAAGCTAAGAGAATACTTCCCCAAAGCCCCAGAATTCAGTGGAAACCAGCAGCCTTGCCAGGAGTGCCTAGTAAGACCTTTGCTGTATTTCCTACATGAAAGTGAATGAACCTTTGCTGTATTTCCTACATGAAAGTAAATGACTTTTCTTCCTGACAGACTAGAGAACTTTCCTTCCTGACAGACTAGAGACTATGTACTTTCCTTCCTGACAGACTAGAGACTAGGTCCTCAATACTCATCGATCCAACTAAGAAAAACAAGAGACTTCATTTAAGCATTTTATATACTGGGGTCCTCAACTTAGTTCTGTTCCTACAGTACGACGTAACATTGATTTTTTTATTGCTACAGTACGACGTAACATTGATTTTTTATTTGACTCTGCACCAGACCAACTATGGTCTGTTTTAAGGGTGGCCAAGTAGACTTTTTCTAGCAACAAACAACAACAGTCGCCATTCTTGATTGTTATAAGAGAAAGCCCATGAATAGTTATAAAATAAACTGATGCAATGTTTTCTATGCAGACATTAGAACAGGAGGAAAAGGACAATGAAGCAGTGAGTAAGATGATGGCCCTGCACCAGAAGAACCAGCTGCTCAACCTCTTCCATGAGAAGAACCGGCCAACCCTCACTAAGTGGCCACAGGTAGAGACACAGTCACAAAACCAAACTGTTGTCTGCTCAAGTCATGAGACCTATTTACATTAGTAAATTCTTAGCATTAAATTGATAAACTTGTGTTTAATAATTGTCTCAGGTTATGATAATTCTAGTTGAGATATATTACTAATTCATGCTTCGTGTTATGCTTTGTTAAATCTTAATTGATAACCTAGTTGCTAAGCTTACAACTGCACAGCACATAACTTTTATAAACCAATAGGAAACATGACAGGAACAGTCTACCAATCGACATGTTATGGTTAATGTTTGGAACTTGACACACATCTCTGTATTGGGCAAAATGTATAAATCCAAGTGTCTTAAGAATAAAAAAAAGGAAATACACTTACCTGAACTCTGACAAGACAGGAGCCACTCATATTAAAGATAAAAACACCACTATACAGGCGAGGCTGTGATGTAACTGTTTTTCTGGCATATCACCCCAGGACACTGATGTACTGTACATTGTGCCTGTATTTTTTGTGGAAGAGTGGAGAAAATTCATTAGGTAAGTTGTGTTTGTCAGTAAAATGGACACATTCAACCAAGTGTGAATTCAGCAAGTAATATTTTTCCTCCTGGTTCCTGTTTTTTAGGAGGCCCACAAAATCATCTCCAGTTTCTAACGTGGGTAACACCCTGCTGCTCTGCCCACATGGGGGTTTCATGTTCACCTACGAGTCCCTGATCAGTGGTGATGCAAAACAGTGAGTGATAAACAAAATGATAAGTTTTGATCATAGAATTGGAACAATTTCCAAAATGCAACAAACTTTTCTAGAAAGACATTGTATTGATGATACAATGAATCAACATTTGAAGAATGTTCAACAGCATATTGATTTCTCACTTTAAATACTCACCCAGGATAGCTCTGCTCTGGCCTTCTGAGTGGGAGGTGATTAACAGACTGTTCATTGTGGATCAGGCCATTTCCATCCACTGCTTGAAAGATACCAAATCACCTGGTATCACAACTCAGTATACTACCCAGCCTGGTAAGACTGCAAATACAATTCTGGCCTATTTATTTAGGCCTTAGAGTGGTAAACAGCTGAATTGATTGGTGTTGTGCTGTAATTACATATTTTGATTTGTTTAGATCTGTGTTGGGAGTGCAGAGAGAGCTTTCTCTTCCAGCAGCAGAGGGATCTCAGAGAGTACACACAGGCCACGGTCTACATCCGCAAAGTCATAGAGGATGAGATGGTATGAAAAGATGGAGGTTTCATGGCAATTCAAAATTGAAGGCTGAGGAGTTTTTTGAGTACACATATTTTCAGTTGTTGGTGTTGTGCATTCTTTAAATGTAGTTTTTGTTTTTTGCACCAAGGTAAAAAAAGTGGCTACTGAGATAAACGCTAGTAGCTCTGAGGCAGAGGAGGAGAGAGAAGAACAACCTAAGGTGGAAGGAGAGAAGGACCCAGACTTCAGCCAGGTATGATTATCATGCAGGCTTTGCTAAGCTGCTTGGAACCTTTAAAAAACTTGGCCAAAATGAGAACCACTTCACCTGGACTAAAAGTTTAAAATGAGTAAAAGTAGGAGTTGAAGGGCTTCAGAGTACGGTAAAACTGTATCAATATCAAATACGCTACACCTGAAAGCCCCTGTGTACAGCAGTTATAGGTGGAGCTGCTTCATCACCAGAGACACACTGGAGCAGTGATCATCAACTGGTGGCCTGCAGGCAGATTCCAGCCCACTAAACCAATTCAATCCGGCCGGCAACTGGATTCTAAAATGAACATCAAATGATAATTCTATACAAAAACATAATTTTTACTTTTAACAGGCTGGCACCCTAGGTGTCTGTCTGGAAGAATTCTGGCCCACCTACAAGTACAGTTGGTGACCCCTGCACAGGAGGCAGTTATGCTTTTGTGAGTGCAGAACTGCTGCTTTGTCTTATCTTTATGTCTGATAGTTTTTTCTCCAATGGACAAGTGAGGTTTATTACAATACATGAACAACAATCCATTAATTATTAACTCAATAAACATGACAGAACTCCACAGGTCTGTTTAGTCAGCACAGAGGTCACAGTAATATGAAAATGTTTCCCTGTGGATGAAGGGGTACAAAGACCACTTTAGTCAAGGCTGCAAAACCAGGATGCCAAAGTGTTTGACCTAGATTTGACATATATATCTACCTGACAGTAGAGTGTAAAGTTGAATTAAACCAGCAGCTGCAACCTTGAACTTCTGCCTACCTACCAAGTCAGAGTCACCACAGAGGTCTTCTTCACGAATTGTAAATCCATTTTTCAGTCCCAGGATGGTGCAAAAAGACTAAAGCTGTGTGACGGCACAGCAGCACCAGCTTCTCCTGTGTCTGTGACCAACTTGGCCAAAAAAGGGGGGATCAGGAGAAGCACCCGACACAGAAAACTCCGAGGAGAGAAAGCCCTCATTGTTTCAGCCAATCAGACACTGAAGGAGCTGAAGATACAGGTGAGGGACAAACATTTCTGAATACAACGATCAACAAATGAGTTACCTGCATAAGGAGAACTGACATTACTGTCTTCCCTTAGATTATGCACGCCTTCTCCGTGGCTCCATTTGACCAAAACCTTTCTATTGATGGAAAAGGTCTCACAGATGACTCGGCTACACTGGGCAGTTTGGGCATAGTTCCAGAGAGTGTCATTTGTTTGAAGGTTTGTTCTTTGTTTCCTTTCTCACTGATCTCCCATACCTGAGTCTAGGTTTCATTTTTCTGTGTGTGTGTGTGTGTGTGTGTGTGTGTGTGTGTGTGTGTGTCAGTGAAGAAGAAAAGGTCATGCATTAAACATAAAACCACCTCAAACAACAGAGCCTGGATGAACTATAATTAGTGAAAGAGCAGCCAAAGTGTGTGTTTTGTTTTGTTTTGTTTTGGTTTTTTTGTTACCAGTATCAGAATTTTACAATCGGGCAGTACATATCATACCATATCTTATCTTCTGACAGTATGCTGGTAATGTGAATGTTTTTCTTTTTTTTTATTCTTTACAGGCAGACGAGCCAATCACAGATTATGCTGCAATGGATGATGTATATGACGGTATAAAAATTTCCTGTGGGTCATATATTTGCTTTAATTATTGGAAAAAATAGATGTAATTACACTATTGTTTCTAAATAGAACTGTTTTTCTCCTTTACAGTGAGAATGCCAGAGGAGGGATTCAAAGGTGAGCCCTGTTTTTTAATCAGGTAGTAAATGATCTAGTAGTAAATGACTGGCCTTACTGGATACATTTGAGATGACAGAGAAGCTAAATTTCAGACTGGCATTTGAGATGACAGAGAAGCTAAATTTGATCAGACTGATTTTGCACTAGCACTTTGGCACTGCCACATGTGAAATAATAGTACCAAAAGTCACATCACTCACAATTAACTTGGTTTGAGTGTATTTGCTAGAAAAAAGTGCTGTACTAGTTCAACCATTTGAGCAAAAATGTCCTTTTGTATTTTTTAAGTTGTTAGTTAAACTTGGTCAATTCAATTGGTTGTTGTTGTTTAAAGTTGGTCAAATGTATTTTTCACCTTGTATGTTTTTTCTTTGTTTGTTTGTTTGTTTTTTTGTCTGCAGGCACTGGGCTTCTTGGGCACTGAAGAACCTGTACTGGGAAAATTACAGAGATACTACCATGTAATTTCAAATGCCCATATAAACTGATACGTCCTGTATTTTTATTTTCTACTTTCACATTTTGCTTAGGGAAACTGGCTACATTGCAAAACCACTGCTTGTATCTACATTAAGACAGCTAGCGATATATATTTTTTTGTTTCATGCTACAGGAAGAGTTTATGTCTAGTACAAAGTGACTAAAGTGGATTTGAGATTATCTATTGTGGAAAATGGTATTGTTTAAAAATAAAACAAAACGAATGGCAAAAGTCATATTTAAAGTCATGTCTCTTTAAATACCATTTGAAGAGTACTCAGTTGCTGCAGTTTTTAGGTTTACCAAAATACACACGTAATTGTCAAGTGTTCCAAAATAACTGCTTTTTAATGTCACAATATTTATTACTTGTACAGCAAATATATACCAGTAATCTTCCCAGGGTTATTACAGATACAAAGTTCTTCCTGTCGACTGGAGGCTGACTCCAAAAGGCATTTCAGCAATACAACCATGTGTGCTGAAAGTGAATATGCGTGACAGGAAAACAAAGAAAGCAATGTAATGTCCTTTTCTCTTGAGACATATTTGATACTGACAATAAAATCGTTTTCAAAATCTTCCTCCGTAAGATATCTAGCTTTATTTAAAATTCTGCGATATTGGTTGTCAAACGTAGGGCTGTAACAAATACACAAATGGTTGACCTATGAATAGTGCATTCATCATGTTGTTTGTGAAGACATATGATTTATCAAGAACAACTATCACATTTTAACCGCACAACACTGTATATCCAACAATTCCACACAGCAAAACGAAAATACCATCTCAATGTCCAGCATATATTTGTCAACAATTCCACACAGCAAAACGAAAATGCCATCTCAATGCCCAGCATATGTTTGTGGAGGCTTCAACATTGGGTCAGAGGTTGGGTCTGACCAGCCTCACTGAGGCGTGACACTATGTCTAATGTTGACAAGCTGATTGTGAGGGACTGTAAACTAAAATAATATTGTTGAGGACAGCAGCTTGCTGAAGTTTTGGAAAACCATATGCTCCACAAGCCTCTGTCCAGCTGCACAGTAATCTCTAAACCAACCCTATAAGGCTAAACTTTGAGATGCATATTTAAATACTTTTCTTTACACTTCTCTCTAAATTCATAATTTCTGTATTTGGATGTCACTAAAAAAGAACTAATATAGACTTGCTTTTCAGTGGTCACTCAGTCTACAGCCCTGATGAAAGATGAGCTTCCATACCCTTGGGTAAGTGTTTCTGACCTGACTTAATTTTTTCTGAAGTCCAATTTACTCAATGAAATAAACCAGTGCCACTGTGTTATGACTGGACAAAATTATTTTAAAAAACCTCCAAGTTTGTTGATCAAAATCTGCCTTTTCTATTTTTGCAATGGTTGGTAAAAATAGACAAATGCTATTAACTGCTATAAAAAATTCACCAGGGTTTTAAAACTAAAACAGTGAGACGTTCCAAGTCTGATAATGTAAAAGTTTATTGCTAATGTACAACAGGCGAGTCGTAAGTCAGCGGATCCATGGACGTTGGAGTGAGGCCACATCAGCTCAGGGTCAATACTTTCTCACTGTCTAGGCTGCACAGGACTAGACATTCTTGCTCTTTATTTGTAGAGACAAAACCAGAAGCTACAATCTCAAAGTCCCCTCCCAAAAAACAATAATGGTATGCTACAGTGAGCGGTAGCGCGTGTGTGTCACTAAAAGTCATGTAGATGTAGAATGTTACTATACAAATACCAGCAGAATGTGCTAAGCTGTGTTTTGCTACTTGCTAGCTTTCCGGTTTGTCCCATGATGCAATGCGTGTTTATGACGTTTTTTGCCCTATTGGTCACGTGCTCTGGTGAGTTTTCACAGCGCGTCCTGTGCACTATTCATGGTATTAATAGGGTGTCTTTTTAATACATTTTTATTTTTGACTGGCGGTGCCTGTGTTTTTGGATATCGGCTTGTAATAATACACTCTCAAATGAGAAACCTTACACGCTAGAAAATAGTATAGTTGGATTAACATCAGATATTATGAATGTGCAGCCCAGTGTTGACCTAAGTGGTGGTTTGGAGCAAGTTCCCGTTCTTATCGAAAGGAACTCTCGGGTGGTGTTGAAGACTGAATTTCAGGTAACGTAAAAACAGTATATTTTTGTATGAAGTGTGAGTGTGTCCACAGTAACAGTTTAATAATTATTTCGAACGAGTGCAAACATGATAGAAGAATTTTTAAATGCACAAATAACAGTGATGTACACTATTTTATTCATGTTTAACGTTTTACGTCAAACTAACAAACGTTATCCATGGTTTCATAGAATTAGCTGTGGCTCAAAAACGTTTGGAAACACTGGTGTACACTTATGTGTATGTAACACTACTGACAACTTATGGGAAACACTGGTGTACACTTATGTGTATATAACACTACTGACAACTTATGAGTTGGGTCAGTGAAATATTTTTCCAACAGATTTTTTCTGAAGCCACTTTGCCATGGTCAGGATTAAAAGCTATTCCTTTAGTTTGTTTTAGTCTAGCTGCTTAGTTGGTACTAACTGTTGGAATGGATGTTTTAGGTTTTCACTCTGAAAAATGGTGAGTCCCAGCCCTATTTGATGTACAGAATATAATAGTAATTGTCTTCTGAGAATCCTTATTGTTAAAATGTTAATGTGTTTTAATGTTTTTAAGTGACTTGTCTCTTTTTACAGTACTCTCCAGACAACATAAAAGGACCTGGCTGTACAGTTGACCCCTGTGAAATAACCCTTCCAGGATGTTCCTGTCACTTGCAGTCGTGCTGCACTGACACCTGCTCCTGCTTCCAGGCTCATGGCCAGGCATATAATAGCAGTGGAACACTAATGGACCTCACAGCAGTGGACTCCAGTTTCTGCTCGCCTGTGTTCGAGTGCAATGTTCTTTGCTCCTGCAGTGACACCTGCTCTAATCGTGTTGTCCAGAGGGGTGTGAGACACAGCCTGGAGGTTTTCACCACTGACAAAAAGGGCTGGGGAGTACGGACTCTGGAGCCAATCCTAAGTGGAACATTTGTGTGTGAATATGCGGGAGAGATGATTGGTTTTGAGGAGGCAAGGAGCAGACAGCTTTCTCCTCGATGTGAAAAAAATAATTATATCATCGCAGTGAGGGAGCATGCAGGTCCTGGCTCGTTTGTCGAGACATTTGTGGACCCCTCTGTGGTAGGAAATGTAGGCCGTTTTCTTAACCATTCCTGTCTGCCTAATCTGTTCATGATGCCTGTCCGAGTGCACTCTGTGGTTCCAAGGTTGGCTTTGTTTTCAAGAAGGGACATAGATGCACAAGAGGAGCTGACGTTTGACTATTCAGGAGGACACAGTCAGCAAACTTCTGGAGAGTTACTGTCTAAAAAAGCGGCACAGGACAGTAGAACAGATGGACTTCAGAGGAAAGTATGTTATTGTGGTGCCAAGACTTGTGCAACATTTCTGCCGCTGGACTTATCAATTCTGAGGTGAACTAATCAATATTTGTGTTGGTTTTATTTTAATAGAAATGTTGTTTATTTAACATCAACATTCAATATTAAGACTAACTAAATAAAACATTAGGCTTTGAACAGTTTAAATAAAAGTGCCTTCATACTGCTGTCTTCCCTGTTCTCCCTCTGCCTCCCTGTCCTCCTTGATCATATACTGCTGTCTTCCCTGTTCTCCCTCTCCTCCTTGATCATCTTTGACCAACAGCAGTCCAATTTGTACCAGCACCTTGTTACTCAATGGCACCAGAGGCAGACATTGGTGATCCAAGCCACAATTGATCATGTATGGAAACCCATTCCCGTTTGTTTTGGGATACATCATGTCAGGTATACACATAATGTAATTGGTCCTCTGCATTTAACCCATCAACACTTTCCTGTGGAGCAGTGGTCACTTTGTCCTGGCAGCAAAGGCTGCTTGCTGAACACCACAGCCAGCCAAGGTACAAACTGTAGTGGCTAAACCTCTGGCCTGAGGCCAGGATCATGTCTACAAAGAAATGGTGAGCTTAGGCACCTGAGTTAAGTTAGTTCAGTTACTGTTTTGTTGGGTGTTTTTTGTAAAGATACATTTTAGTAAATGATAAATTCAACTTGGATGAGGACTTCCACAATGGATACTTTATATAAAGACCACCTCTCTGAGCAAAAGGCACATCTAGCATCTCAAAAAACCACAGACCAACATAGTGTGATTTGGGTAAGAATATTGAAATGACTGTTATTTAACTGCTATAACTCTAAGTAGCAAACCTGAGCATTAGGTAATTGGGAACATAAACAAGGCCAGGCTTTTTTTCAAATAATTGAAGCAGACATTATTTCAATGCAAAGAAGAGATGAAGGTGTCCTAGTTTAGTGTGACCATTCTGAAAGCAGAACTTATTTCATTCAGTTTGACCCATTTTTAATCAGGGTCTGCTGTCAATCTATTTATATTTTTCTGGGTTAATTAGGTTAGAGACCACATCCAGGATTTGGATCAGTGCTGCAGTCGCACTGGGACAGGATAGATAAAGGGTGGTAGAGGCTCGATGGCAGATTGGAGAAAGCTGTCAAGGTCATTGACGTGAGACTTGATAAAAAATAAAGGTATAGACGTTGCTCTAACAAGTTCTTTTTTTTTTTACATATTCAGATTGCACAACCAAAATTAAAGTAGTCCGTGGTTTCAATAAATTACCAAAGTTTAATTCTTTTTTTTTCTATGTAGGAATTATTTCTGTAGTCTTTAAGGAGATAGAGAACAGAGATTTGTTTACCGATGGATCACATCCACATTTCTTTGTTAATATTTTGGGAATTGTAGGAAATTCTTGTAATTTTCAGATGTTTGAGGAAATGTTCTCCACTGAATGTCCTGAATAGAAAAATCCAAAAATGTTGAGGAAAGACTTCTTCTTGTTTATAAAGACCAGTTCAGAAGAACTGAATAGAACAGAACAGATTAGGTGGGAGTCAGTTGTCTTTGGCATGAGCTACGTCAGATTTCTACCTCCTTCCTTTTACCCCACACACATGAAATTTAGATTCCACACATTTGGGTTGCACTCATTCTACAGTGCCTGGGTTATTTTTAGACTGCACCTGCACTACCTTCAGGAGAGCAGGGGTGGAAAAGGGGGGTTAGAGAGAAGGGTGGATAGCAGATCTGCTGGACCTGATACAGGAAAAACAAAAGATTTTTAGTTATTTGATTCTCTTTTTGTTTGCATGAATACGTAGTACCTGTAGTACTGTTGATGAGCAGCTCATACCCTGTAGACACCACTGCAAATTCCAGCAGCTCCTGCCCAGCAAGCCAGCAGAGTATGGGCTGAGAATCTGGGTCACCTCAGATGTAGCCCCCTCATTTGCCTGTAGATGCCAGAAAGTGTCTGCTGCTAGAAATGAACTAAACTAAACTAAATTAAACACACACACGCACATCTTCTTAACCCACTTATGTGTTCTCTCACACTCACATACAATACGTCACATATTTGAAGCCTGGATATTTCTACTCCAAATTCATTTATATTTAATATGTTCTGTTCTGCTCTCTTTTTGTTGTTGTTTGTCTAGTTCTTTACTTTAAAAAATAAGATGCGGAGTTCAAAATTATTATAAATGTCATGTATCAATATCACTAGAGTTCTAAATGAAACAATTGCATCACACAATGCATTGTTTTATATGTTTTTGATTCAAAAGTTTTAATGGAAATGAGAGTGATACCACATAAAATAAAAGGCAATGAAATGACTTAATTCAGTAGTTTTCCCCCAAAAAAAGTTCAAAAAAGGCCCTTTTTTGTAGCACATTTTCCCTAATTTTGTAGGTCTTTTGGGAGACCTGTAATGTCATAGAGACAAAAGCCTTGGTATGTGTCAAGGGCACCTAAAATAAAGCATCCTTAAAACTCATTATCAATTAATTAAAAAATGTGTGGATTTGTGCTACAAATACAACAAATGTGGAGTGGGAAAGAAATAAAGTGCCCTGGTTTTTAATATTTCAATTTCTATTTCTCAATATCATTAAAATGTATATAGGCTATATTTATTTGTTCTAATTAGCAGTCTCTGTAGACTTTGATAACTTACTGCCTACTGTAAGTCAACTACACAACCTGGTTAGTGTTAGGGCGGTTTGTGAATTGGGAGGCGTTCCCATACTGACGTGGAGGAGGTTCTAGCTTAGACCTCATTTAGCAGAGGTAACGCTTCAGTGTCCTCTTACCTGGACGTCACTGTCATGGACTTAAGGATGGACCGTGCTGTGGACACGACTCTGTGCTGACCCACATGTTTGTCCGCTGCTTCACTTTTGCTTCCTCTGCCACTGACGCCTTTCTTCATCTTTGAAAGGTAAAAACTGATTTACAAATAGACGAGCTGTCTGTGAACGATGTGGCTCAAGAAGCCGTAGCTGCTCAAACGTCGCTCATCTGAGAATACTTTTAATTAATACGTTCAAACAGAGCGACGTTTGCTTAAGTTGGTGTTTCTGTTCTTTTCGGGTTACTGAGAATGTTCTGGAACTGATAAAATAATTAGTAACTGCACCTCTGGCAAGGACAACTGGTGCTGCATTTCTGTCCACAGAAAGGGTTCGTTTACAAGTAAATTAAATTAATTAAATATAAATATATAAATACTGAAGTCGTTTTGTGTATAAAAAATCGGATAACATCTGAGCTAAGTGCATCGGCAACCGTTGAAAAGAACCGAGTATAATTATGATAAAGAAGTATTCAAATTAAACATTAGTGTCTGTGAAAACAAGCAATATGACATGCATGTTAAAGTTTAATTGAAGTTTGCTTAATGGGTCTTGGAGTTTTGTTTTTTTAAGGCAACGGTAAATTAGTCTATGTTCTTTATAACTGGTGTTCTTGGTGATCAGATATTCTGGAATGATCGATGCCAGGGGATATTGAACTGTACTAAACTGACACCTGTGACAACTTAGTTGTTTTTTTCTACGTTAAATTTTCTAAAATGTTTTTTAGTATATTCTAAACTGTGGAGTGAATTCAGAAATGACAAAAATACAGTTCTTGGGTTTTGTTAAGCAAGTTTTGCAGTTAAAGGAAGGAATATGATGTTTTTAATTTTTTTAATTTTTTTTGTTTTTAATGTACTAAGGAGCTATGGAGAACATTTTGGACAAAAGAATATGTTTTTTTATTTTATTTACGCACAATACAATACTGTAATACATCCTTTTGATCAATAACTTTTAACTTCTAAATATGAACAAATATGACTTAATTATGTCTGAATTAAATTGTGCTATTGTTTAACAGGTGTTGCCATCCCAGAATAGCCATGTCGGACAAGATGTCCAGTTTCCTCCACATTGGGGACATTTGTTCACTTTATGCTGAAGGATCCACCAGTGGATTTATTAGCACTTTAGGGTAAGTGGCTTTCCTTTGTACGACTGCTGTGTATTCATGTTTGCTTTGGAAGTAGGTTGAAAGTACTTTGTTTTTATATTTAAAATATCTTTGTCTAAAAGATGGTAAGAATCTGGCCTGTATTAATTCTTTTAAATTTATATTTATTTCAAATTGTCCTCGTCTCTAAAGTCTTCAGAAGAATCATTTTACTTTTTACAGCTTTATGTAACAGGAATTCTTTTAGAAATGGTCTTCAGAAGAATCATTTTACTTTTTAGAGCTTTATGTAACAGGAATTGTTTTAGAAATGAAAAAATACTTTTGGTGACTCTCTGTACTGTACTGAATTATAAACACCTTGATTTTAGTCTGGTGGATGACCGTTGTGTGGTACAACCAGACACAGGCGACCTTAACAACCCACCCAAGAAGTTTAGGGGTAAGTCTTCATCTTATTTTTAAATCAAAGGCATCTTTGTAGTCAGTACATAAACTAATATTTAAAGACATAAATCCTGCAGAATAAATTGAATAGTTATAGTCAATCACTATCAAATCTGACAGGGTGTCAAGAGAGTAACTTCAGTTACTACCTGTTTGATACTGTGGAGATGCAGTGAGTGTGGTAGTGATGTGACATAGAATAGCACCAATAAGAAAGGAAAGGTGTACAGTGGTATACCGTGTTTGTTTCATATATGGTAAGAAGACAGAAAACGAAGTAAGACAGAAGTCTATCTTGAGTTGAAATTCAGAGTAAACTTAAATCAGCCAGGCTTTGGGGGTAGCATTAGCCATCATCTTGCATCTCATTGACACCTTTTGGTTTCTGGCCAATGGGTCTTAAAACAAGCTGGCAACACGTGTTATGAATTACTACTGTTTATTTCAATAGACAGAAAATTCAGGATGTGTCTTTCACCTGGCCTTTGTGGTTCTGCGTTTGACAGATTGTCTTTTTAAGTTGTGTCCTATGAGCCGATATTCTGCACAAAAACAGTTTTGGAAAGCAGCAAAACCTGGAGGCAACAGTTCTACTGACACAGTTCTCCTCAACAAACTCCATGTAAGTCCCTCATCTCAAAATACATAGCACCTAAGTAATACTAACCAAGGGAAGCTACAATATGCAAGAATAATAACACATTTTTGGTTCTGTTTCACCGACGAGCATACATGTGTCTGTTCTGTTAGCATGCTGCTGATCTAGAAAAGAAACAGAATGAGTCTGAAAACCGAAAGCTTCTCGGAACAGTCATCCAGTATGGAAATGTCATCCAGGTGTGTCTAGAAAATCACTGCATACACTGTAAAAATGTACATTTTTGGCTCTCAGGTGCTGTTGTGAACATTTGTGACACGTTACAATATAAGGAAATGTTCTTTCTGGTTTTTCTGTAAATATTTCCACATTGAACTCTGTACATGAATTTCTTATTTTGCTGACAGCTGCTTCACTTAAAAAGTCATAAATACCTGACGGTAAACAAACGCCTACCTGCTCTTTTGGAGAAGAATGCCATGAGAGTGACTCTGGACTCAGCAGGTAATGAAAAATGAAGGATCCTGGTTCTACATACAACCCTTCTACAAACTGCGCTCCCTTGGAGACAGTGTGGGTAAAATGAAGGGTCATGTTACACTGTGCTCAGCAGAGAAGATTACACTGTTCACTGGTTATGACATTACAACAGTGGTAGTTGTTGGTCTGACAGAGGAAGGTTATTTGGCCAAGTTGTCTAAAGAAGAATCCGGCCCTATAAATATAACCAGTAATAAAAAGAAATATCTCGAACAAGCATGATAACTACAACTTGCTATTTTTGTTACATACATTTGATAAATACCTTGACTCTAACAAAGGTAATCTAATATAAAGGTAATTACATTTTTTGTAAAGGCATGACTAGATGTAATTTAATTGCAAATTCCTAGCTTTTAGAAAACTTTGCTTCCTGTATTTTCTGCCTATTCTAGGTGGTGATTGGAGATAAAGTGGTTCTTAATCCTGTGAATGCAGGACAGCCTCTCCATGCCAGTAGCCACCAACTAGTTGACAACCCAGGATGCAATGAGGTACAAATAGTGTCTGTCACTTAAAGGGGTGATAAAACTAGAATGTAACTCAGTAAGTTCAATCATCTGTCAGTGATAGGACATGATCGTTCGAGATTAACATTCTCACTCTCTTTTCTGTTTGTCAGGTAAATTCTGTAAACTGCAACACAAGTTGGAAAGTTGTTCTCTTCATGAAATGGAGCGACAACAAGGAAACAATACTGAAAGGGGTGAGTGCCTGTACACAACGCAATATTTGATAAGTTGTTTTTGTTTTAGGTGGCCATCAGTAGCAACTTGGACATTTGTATAAATGACCACAATAAGGTCATACCCAAAAAACACCTAAGACTAATGGACCATGAGTTGGACATTAAACCTGCCTGTTAAAATAATCAGTTTTTGTAATTGCAGGGGGATGTGGTGCGGTTATTCCACGCAGAACAGGAGAAGTTTTTAACATGTGATGATTACAAAAAAAAGCAGTATGTTTTTCTCCGTACCACGGGTCGGCAGTCTGCTACATCTGCCACTAGCAGCAAAGCATTATGGGAAGTAGAGGTAAGCAAAACATCATATTTATTTGTACATGTGACTTAACCACGCAAATGGCTAAGCAGTCTGCAATTCAGTATTAAAGGCACTACAGTATCTACAGTGTGTCACTGCAGCAGGTGTAAAAACACCATTCACAACATCATGTAGTTTTTTGCAGGGGGAAGCCGAGAGGAAAAAAATCATCAACAAGAAGGAAGCTACAGCAGACACAGAGTACAAGGTTTTTTTTTTCATTCATCTGCATTTTCTATTCTTCTACCAGGTGGTTCACAATGATCCGTGTAGAGGCGGTGCAGGGTACTGGAACAGCCTGTTTAGGTTCAAACACTTGGCCACAGGATGTTATTTGGCTGCTGAAATGAACGGGGTAGGTTTTATCTTTTAAGCCATAGACCACACTTCCATACATATTTTTTTATTTTAAAGATTAATGGTGCTTTATTGCCTGTTTGCACATTCACATGAAAACTCTTCGTTAGATGTAAAGCGATTACTTTCATTAGGACCCTAAAGTATTTTAATGAGGAATAGGGCCAACACCATGAATATTTGATGAGTTGATTTAAGGGATGCAAACACATTTGGATACATGCATACATGTTCCAATCCAATCACCTGATACTCTGGACCGGCTTTTTACCACAACTTGCTGTTCACTGTTCTAGTAGTTCAAACAACAAAGTCAATGTGTTTTGTGATTGTTTGTATTTAACATTTACTGGAAAGTTAAATTTAATTCATCTATTTTTTTGAATATTCTTTCCTTTGATTATTTTCCATCCTTAATTTTATTGTTTTATTGTCTCATATGATATGAGTCACAGTGTGACTCTCTCTGTGTTTGTGTGTGTCTGTTTATGAAGGTGAACCAACCTGTTGAGGAGGACAATGCTGAGCAGCACTCTTTGGTAAGATGGCTTGATATCTTGATTTCTTTTTTCTTTCCTAATGGACTCTACTGTTAACATGTAATATTAATAGTGTCTTGCACCTGCAGGATGCAGACAATGGAGCATTCGGAAGTCGTTTGGGAACTCGCCAGGATAAAATCATGTACAGTCTGGGTCCCGTTCCTGAAGGGATAGACATCTCCTCCATCTTTGAGCTTGACCCTACTACACTAAGAGGGGGGGACTCTATGGTACCCAGGTAGGTTCTGTGTTAGAGCTGGGCAATATCTTGATATTTTAATATATGTCGCTATATTTCTAAACTAGATATAACATGTGATAATAGCCATTGTATCGATACAATTCATTTAGCATTAAAATGACAATACTGTACATGAGTTGCAAGTTCACACCTGTTTGTCCTCTCCCTCTCGCTGTGTCCCTACACACAAACAGCTTTTGGCTCCATCCACATGTGACATTCCACAGTCTGTCTAATATATTTAATGAATTATTGTGACATTTAGTCTTTCTTATTGGCTATGAATGGACAAAAAATGTTGAGGTATAGGCAGAAAAAAAAGCCAATAATGCTTTAGGAAAACCTAGAGGTAAAATATGTTTGAGTAGTTTTTTTTGTTTTGACAAATTTAAAGGATAGGTTTACAAAACAATTCTGACTTTTTTGCTTGTTGTTTTGTCTTGCTCCCAATACTCTGTCAGGAGCTCCTATGTGAGACTAAGACACTTGTGCACAAACACCTGGGTCCATAGCACCAACAACCTCATTGACAAAGAAGATGAGAAACCTGTTATGCTACAAGTAAGTATGTGCAGTTGTCAGATTTGTGGCAGGAAATGTTTTTTGCACAGGTGTAAGAACTTACTTTTTTCTCAGATTGGAACATCTGCAGTAAAGGAGGACAAGGAAGCTTTTGCTATTGTACCAGTGCCACCTGCAGAGGTGCGGGACTTAGACTTTGCTAACGATGCAAGTAAAGTGTTGGCGTCTATTGCAAGCAAGTTGGAAAAAGGAACCATTACACAAAATGAAAGAAGGTATATCTAAGAGATAGTACTACACTATGCATGGTTTCTGTCTCAATTTATTTTTATATAAAAATAATTTAATTATATATCTATATAGTTCAATTAAATAATTTCCAGTTGGTGCAGTTAAAACTAAAGTTATTTGTAACCACTGCAAAAATTAGTTTTCTTATAAATTCCTTTCAGTAAGTACCACTTAAAATGCAATTGTTGCCCAGCATCATATATATTATCAAAAGTAAATGTGACTAAAACAGATGTTTTGACATATGCATATGCACTTTTCAGGTTTGTGACCAAGCTACTTGAGGATCTAGTTTTCTTTGTCGTTGACATTCCCAACACTGGGCAGGATGTGTTAGAGGTCATGGTCAACAAACCCAACAGAGAAAGACAGAAACTTATGCGAGAGCAAAACATCCTTAAACAGGTTGGCCATAACCATCATAAAAATCTAAAATGAGACAGTCATTTATGTTTATTTGGATTATTCAAAAAAAGATTCTTTTTCATTGCAGATTTTTAAACTTCTCCAAGCCCCTTTCACAGATTGTGGCGATGGTCCCATGCTTCGATTGGAAGAACTTGGAGACCAGCGTCATGCTCCATTTAGACACATTTGCAGGCTTTGTTATAGAGTCTTGCGCCATTCCCAGCAGGATTACAGAAAAAACCAGGTTGTGGAGTCAACTGTGTAGAGTATAGGACTGTCATGATGTTTTTGGGCAGATATTTATGCAGTTACTTACTTTTTTCTCTTGGTTGTGACAGGAATACATTGCAAGACAATTCAGCTTCATGCAGAAACAGATTGGATATGACGTGTTGGCCGAAGACACAATAACTGCTCTGCTACACAACAACAGGAAGCTGTTGGAAAAACACATCACAGCTGCTGAGATAGATACATTTGTCACTTTAGTAAGAAAGAACCGGGAGCATAGGTATGCTTCACAAAAAGGAATTAAACTGAAAAAGCTGAAGTCATTTGGACTAGACCATGAATTCAGTGGTGATGCAAATTTAAAATACTAAAAATGTATATAATTAATTAAAATTAAAATCATAATATGGTGGTAATCGAGAAAATAAAGTATTGTGGCTGAGAATTTATCACACAAGTGCTGCTCCTTATGTTTTGTCCTGCAATATTGGTTACAATACTAATGTTTTGTTATCTTGTATTCATGCTCAGGTTTCTGGACTACCTGTCAGATCTATGTGTGTCCATGAATAAGTCTATCCCCGTCACCCAGGAGCTCATCTGTAATGCAGTACTGGATCCTTCCAATGTTGACATCCTCATTGACACCAAGTGAGTGCTTCATTTTTCTCATATCTGTCACAGCCTTAAAAAGCGTGATTGAGTCATTTTTATGGCTCTTTTGCTAGATTGGTGTTGTCATTGTTCGAGGTCGAAACGTCTACCAGTGGAGAGAAGCCAGTAGAACCACAGGATGAAGAGGAAGTTTGGTTGTTTTGGAAGGACAATTGTAAGGGAATTCGAAGTAAAAGCGTCAGGGAGTTGGCCCAGGATGCAAAAGAAGGCCAGAAGGAGGACCAGGAGGTGATCAGCTACTATCGGTAAGATTAATTACACACATTTATTTCTCCTCTGTCTTAAAAGACAATGCTTTCATTTAATATTGATACTACCTAGGTGTCAGCTGAACCTCTTTGCCCGCATGTGCCTGGACCGTCAGTACCTGGCCATCAACAAAATTTCTTGTCAGCTGGATGTAAAACTGATTCTCTGCTGCATGTCTGATGAAGACCTACCCTATGACCTGCGCGCGTCTTTCTGCCGCCTGATGTTGCACATGCATGTGGATCGTGACCCACAGGAGCAGGTTACACCTGTGAAATATGCTCGTCTTTGGTCGGAGATTCCTTCTAAAATTGCCATTACTGAGTAAGTTTTAGTAACTTGTTTTTAATATATTTGTACTGTGTTTAGGAATTTTTAAAAAAATTACAATCGTTTGTTTGTGTAAGATGTTCTGGTAATTTTTGAAATTGCAGATTTTAGTTTTGCGTGTTTTAAAATATTGTGTCCATCAGCTATGACAATGATGGAACCAGCAGAGATGAAATCAAAGAGAAGTTCTGCCAGACGATGGACTTTGTGGAGACCTACCTGAGAGAAGTGGTTTCACAAAACATTCCTTTCTCTGACAAAGAGAAGAACAAGCTTACCTTTGAGGTACGTCCTCTCAGTGGATATAATTGTTAATTACTTATGTTTTGGTTTGAATTAACCTATTAATTTAGAATTCTCTCATCTGTAGGTAGTACACCTGGCAAGGAACCTCATTTACTTTGGCTTCTACAACTTTAGTGACCTACTTCGACTTACAAAGATCCTGTTAAACATTTTGGACTGTGTACATGTCAGTACTTTGTACCCTAAAGAAAAGCTGGAAAAGGAAGAAGAAAACAAAGGTAAACATTTAATTAGATAAGTGCTGATTAACGTTAACAGCTATTTATAAATGTACAGGTAAATCTACAACTATCTGTGTTTAATGGTACAATATGGCAATCAATAAAACATTGCATAAACTTGCAGTATTACAAAAAACAATTAATTTTAAATGTATATTCTTAAAATCTTCATTCTTTCTTGCTATGTTATACCAGTATGACATTTTGCATCCTTTTCAAGTTAGCAAAATATTTAAACAAAAAATATTTAATTAAATATTAAATTAAATATTTGTTTCTTTTGCTCAATGTCAATCTTTTTTTTCCTTCAAATTTGACAAATCTGCTCCTCATATGTTACAGCAGGCAGCAATGTTATGAAATCTCTTCATGGAGTTGGAGAGCTGATGACCCAAGTAGTGCTGCGAGGTGGTGGACTTTTGCAGACCACACCAGCTCATCCACCAGAGGGTGATGTTGTAAAAACTCACATTGACACAGAGAGAGAGGACATCATGGTCATGGACACTAAGCTAAAGATTATTGAGATCTTGCAGGTAGGGCTTCTACACTTGTTCTCTATACTCCTAACCCACCTAACATAGAGTAACAATATTTTTCTCTGTTCAGTTCATTTTAAGTGTACGTCTGGACTATAGGATCTCCTGTCTGCTCTGTATTTTTAAACGTGAGTTTGAGAACAACACACAAGGAGAAAATGCTGATGTTCAAAATGGAACCAAAAATATTACCTGTCAAATACCAGGTAGGAAGATCATTTCTTTAGAAGATCAGCATGTGATCAAAAATGTATTTCAACTTGTATATATATCATTTATATCAATATATATCAATCAGATTGACTTTTTTATACTATAGGTGATCTTGACATTGGGGTTATTGAGGAACAAGCAGAGGGGATCTTTGGGGGAAGGTACGCCACATTGTAATTTTAAACAGAAAAGAAGATTTAAATAGCTTCATGTTGTTACTGTTCGACTGTCTTTACAGTGAGGAGAACACTGTACTAGACCTGGATGACCATGGTGGCCGTACCTTTTTAAGGGTCCTGCTGCACTTAACCATGCATGACTACCCACCTCTAGTATCTGGAGCTCTTCACTTGCTTTTCAGACACTTTAGCCAGAGACAGGAAGTTCTCATGGCTTTCAAACAAGTAAGAACAGCAATAAACTAACAAACTTGAATTTGCGATTATGCATTAAGGTGATATTTCAGTTCAGTGCTAGAACTCAATTTCAATAACTTTTAACAGAATTATATTTTGTGCACTTACCTGAGATCATTTCATTGAGGAGCAATCTACAATTGGATTGCAACGGGAAATCTTCGTTCACTTTTGATGTACTTAAATAACCTATGAAATAATTCATTCTCTTTGGGAAACGATTTTCTCCAAAGATCCTTATATTACCTTACCATCTTTATTTACCTCTCACTGTTCATTACCATAATCTTTGATAATTGTAATGGATTAAATGTTTTTTTTTTCAACTCTATCTTTTAATCGTATGAAGAACACCTGTATAAAAAATAATGTGTTTTAAAATATGTACTTTGTTAAAAGTAATTTTGAACAAACATGTCTCCCTTTGCCTTATCTCAAGGTTCAACTGCTGGTGACCAGTCAGGATGTAGACAACTACAAACAAATTAAGTCAAACCTCGACCAGCTGCGATCTATTGTGGAGAAATCTGAATTGTGGGTTTACAAAAGGCAAGGAGAGGACGGGCTCGACGCCGATCAGGAGTCTGACAACAAGAAGGTTGTCATTGTCATTGTGCTAACCTCCCAATAAACAGCACTACAAAGCTTAAGAAATAATTTTATAAATGTAGAAGTAAATACTCAAATGGTGCTTCATTTTTTTGTAGGGGGATTCACTTGTTTCTGACGATAAAAAAGAAAGCCCAAGCAATTACAACTACAGGGTTGTGAAAGAGGTAAGGCTCTTTGGAATGCTAACAATATACTTTCATATATGTCATATTATCTTTGATTTATTTTTTTTTTAGATACTACTATTTCTCAGTAAGTTGTGTGTCCAAGAGGGGAGCTCAGGGAGAAAGAGTGAGAAACAGCAAAGGCTTCTGAAGAACATGGGAGCACACATTGTTGTATTAGAGCTGCTGCAAATCCCCTATGAGAAGGTATGTGACATGTAGAGTCATTTCAATTGTTTTTTTAATTAATTTTTACATTGCAATAAACATTGAGATATGATATATGTAAACACACTGTATGAGGCTATATATATTTGTGTCTGAAACTTCCCTCACAACCATCAGTAATTCCCTCGTTGATGAGAAATCATTTGAAATATTTAATTCATTGAAATCCAGGATGAAGATGTCCGAATGCTGGAAATCATGAAAACGGCTCATGAGTTTTTGCAGAATTTCTGTGCAGGGAATCAACAGAATCAGGCTCTGCTCCACAAACATATCAACTTGTTTCTCAATCCTGGGGTACTGTTTGGGATTTCTATAGCTAAACCTTCCTATTTTTTTCTGTCAAAGTGATACGTTGACACATCCCTGTCCTGTTCTGTCCCATAACAGATCTTGGAGGCTGTTACCATGCAGCATATCTTCATGAATAACTTCCAGCTGTGCAGTGACATCAGTGAGCATGTTGTGCAACACTTTGTTCACTGCATTGAGTCACATGGTCGTCATGTCCAGTACTTAAAGTTCCTGCAGACTATTGTAAAGGCTGAGAATAAGTTTATTAAGAAATGTCAAGACATTGTCATGGCTGAGGTCTGTGTGATACTGTAATATATTATGTTATGGACTGCTTAATATGTTTTGATGCGTAACTGACTACTGTTTTTGTTGATTTCTTCACATCCTGTAGATGGTAAACTCTGGTGAGGATGTTCTAGTTTTCTACAATGATCGGGCTTCCTTTCAAACACTCATTCAAATGATGAGATCAGAGCGAGACTGCATAGATGAGAACAGCCCCCTTATGTACCACATCCACCTTGTGGAGCTGCTGGCTGTCTGCACTGAGGGCAAGAATGTGTACACTGAGATCAAATGCAATTCCCTGCTGCCTCTGGATGATATTGTTCGTGTTGTCACAGATGAAGACTGCATTCCTGAAGTATGGACTTCTCTTTTTCCCTTTCTTATGTAAGGTGAATCCATCCATCCATCCATCTTCTATCGCATAATCCTTCACAGGGCTGTGGGGAAGGGCCCCACAGGGCGTGCCTTGTACAGTCACAGTAATAGTGAAATCACTTTCTACAATGCAACAAAATGTCTTGAATCCCACTTTATCTTTAACCACAAGGTTAAAGTTCAGTTGCAGTATTTCCGTGTCACATTACCCTGCCTGATTTAAATTTGATGAACTTTCCAACAATAGTTATGGGTAATTGGCATTATTGGCTCCTCTGTTGGACTTGTCCTTGAATGTTTAGTTAAGGTTATGACCTTGTTTTTGTTGTGAAAATGTCTTAGTTGTTGTGTTTTCATCCAACAGGTTAAGATTGCCTACATCAACTTCTTAAACCACTGCTACGTGGACACAGAAGTAGAGATGAAAGAGATTTACACCTCAAACCACATGTGGAAATTGTTTGAGAACTTTTTGGTGGACATATGTCGGGTAAGGCACTAGATTTCTTACTTTATTTTCTTGCCCAGGAGGTGAACCCTGGGGTTCCACACCAATGACAGAGCCTCTGGGCCAAAGTGCCACTTTGCTATGTTATCTTTTATTATTATTACATTTTTCACCGGAGTAATACCTTGTTCTTTTGCTGCTTATGCATTTTTAAATTGAAGTTTCTCTATTTGTAGAGTATGGTTTATCACCTCCACGTGAAATTGTCATAAAGTGTAACCAGCTAATTTGGCAGGATGTGCATTACACTAGCCCTGCCTTAATTATGTGTTTTCTGTCTTTTTTAGGTGTGTAATAACACCAGCTGTAGGAAGTATGCAGATACAATGCTGGAGAGTTATGTAACAGACACAGTAATGAGCATTGTCACATGTTTCTTTAGCTCCCCTTTCTCTGACCAGAGCACAAGTCTGCAGGTAAACCATTTTCTACTGTTTAGTATTTTATATATGTATATATATCATGTTGTGAAATGTTACTTACATTTAGGGTCTGTGAAAACTGACTGTGCAGGGCATATTTTCCTCTTTGCCTGTTAAAGCTTTATGTTTTGTATCAGTTTTGTTTCTGAATGTTTTATTTTGTCCTACAGACTCGTCAGCCAGTATTTGTACAACTGCTTCAAGGAGTGTTCAGAGTTTACCATTGTTCCTGGCTAAACCCTGTCCCAAAGGCCTCAGTAGAGGCTTGCATCAAAGTTCTTTCAGACGTTGGTAAAATGCTGGTTTGAAACCAGAAACCAATCTCTTGTAGGGCATTAGAGACGCAGATTCACAGTGTTTAATATACTTTCTTATCTTTGCCTAGCTAAGAGCAGAGCCATTGCCATCCCAGTTGACCTAGACAGCCAGGTCAATAACCTGTTTGTTAAGTCTAATGCTGTGGTTCAGAAGACTATCCTTAACTGGAAACTGACGGCCAAGAGCACTTCTAAACTTCAAGATAGTCAGGCCAAAGAATCTGGCCTGACCATTACAAAGGACTACAGAAACATAATTGAGAGGCTGCAGGTCTGTATGAAGTCAAAGTGGTTACTTTAAAGTATTTCATATTGTAAATGACAAAAGTGGTTACTTTAAAGTATGTCATATTGTAAATGACAATACTCACAAAATCTATATACATATGTATGCATACTTCATGTTTAAGGGTGCATGATAATTATTGTTATTGTTATTATAATGCATTAAGTGCTACACTGTGTAATCATTTAATAATCAGACCTTTTAACTCTGCAGGACATTGTGTCGGCACTAGAGGACCGTCTAAGGCCACTAGTCCAAGCTGAGCTCTCAGTTCTGGTAGATGTACTACACCGTCCAGAGCTTCTCTTTCCTGAAAACACAGATGCACGCAAGAAATGTGAAAGTGGAGGATTTATATCAAAGTAAGTTTCATGTCATCAGATTTCAACAAATTTATGTCAATTTTTTTCCTTCCATTTTTTATTTGTATTTTGGTGCAACCAGCTCTTTATGTGTTATTCCTTTCATTTGACAAAACTAAACTATACTGCAGTATGCCAGTTGTAGAAAAAGAGTTAATGTAAATATGGTCCTTTTTCTCCTTCTAACAAGACTAATCAAACACACCAAGCAGCTACTCAGTGAGAATGAAGAGCGCCTGTGTATCAAAGTGCTGCAGACATTGAGGGAAATGATGGCCAAAGACCACGACTATGGAGAGAAGGTACACACACACGCCATTTCTGGTTAACACTCAATCAACAAGCTAAACACTGTATCCTATCAGACCATCTTTATGTTGTTAAGTGTTTGACACTAACTCCAGTGGAGAAGAATATTACCCCCAGTGTAACAAAAAACTGTCTAGGGCAAAGATATGAACCAATATAATGAGATTCTATGCACTAAGCAAGGTAAAGCCTGATGTAAAGAATCACATACATGGACTAAGAAGAGGGGTAAGATAAGTCACTCACAATGTCTCAAGTGCAGAACAAATGTTTTGAGTATTTTAATATTGTTTTCTCTTACAGTTTATTGTTTAACACTGTTTTTTTTTTTCTTAAAATAGTCCTCTGTTAACGAGAAGAAACAAAAACTGTCTGTATGTATTTTCCTGTTTGGTGTCCTCACTTGGGTTGAGCTTCCACACACACAGCACATTTCCATATTTCCTGCAGAACTTCTAAACCAAAACTACTTCCAAAACTAACAAACTAATTTTTCCTGCTTTTTTACTTTTCACGTTTCACTGTGTGCAGTCATTTGCTTTTGTGTTTTTCTCACATGCTGTATTTCTTACACGCATCAATGAATTCATCGATGACTTGCTAATCTGCTGCTACTAACACTATGCCCTCCTCTATACTTCTCTTGCAGCTGATTGCCTATGATGATGAGATGGATGTGGCTGAGGTCAATCATTTTACTAACTTTTTTAACATATGTCTTTCTGTCTGTTGCTGTCAGTGCAGGTCTGCTTCTGTACCTCAGTACTGCCCGTTAATATTCATGTCCATATTGCTAAATCCATTTAGCATTGCAAATTAATAGCTTATACAATATATGTATATGTTTATATATATATGACTTATATGTATATATAAATATATGCAATAGAAAAATGGAAGTGCTTTGAGCAGTTATTTATAGATGACATTATGTCCATTGTAGCTTGGTTTGCACACTACACAAATTCAAGGGGTCCTAGTTTGCATAGTGTGCAAACCAATCCAGAGAGGATGCCGTCTCCACCACAGCCTACGTACAACTTACCCACTCAGACTCAAGTGACTCACTACATGTTTAATCTGATATTAATTGATCTTTAATAAAATAATGTTTTTTCCACACAGCTTGCACCACCACCAGAGCCTAACGTTCCTACGGAGGTCTGTTTTATATTTTACTGCTAATCAGAAATGTTGTGCTTTACTCTATATTCAAATAACGCTGTCCTATTGCAAAGGACACATTTAAATATTTTGCGAAATCAAACAAAACATGTTAATCCACAAGGTCAATGTCATATTTTCCCTTTCAATCAATCAAGCATGTGATTGCAACAACACCTGTAACAGTATTTTGTATTTTCATACAGAGAGTATCACCTTCTTGCACTATAATAATGTAATTTTACCTTACAACATTTCGTCAATTGAATGATTTAAAATTTTTTTCTCAATTTTTCTGCATGCAACAACTTACTGTCTCTTGTCTCGTGTTTTCTTTTTTATTTTCCCTTTGGTAATTCATCTCAATGATAACTAGAACCAGGAACTAGAGCCACAGCCTCAGAAGCAACTGGATGATCAAAAAAGGGTAGGTACTAAGTTTGGTTCTGGCTGTTTTCAATGAGAACATTACCAGCAATTTGGACGAGCACTTAGGGACTGACAATATTTATCATCATGGTCATCCAGGCCAAACAAGCTACTTGGGGAAAGTAAAAAAAAAAGGTGTCTACAATAGGATCTATTTCTACCAAGTCTTACCAAGTCTATGCCTGCAATTGTCAATTAAATCAATATATGTGGATTCTGCTTAAAGGTTACAATGATGTTTTGGTAATGAAATACAAAAAAAAATTATAAGAAGGTTATATCTCTGTTGGATCTGTTAGGCTTACCATTAACAAGAAACCCTTTAATTTCCCTAGTTTGCTCTTGGATCTTTTCGATAATTTTCTTTTCTCTTGTGACAGTACAGAACTAAAAATTAAAAACAGTAAATTAGAAGAAGATTAAAACCAATTTAACTGCTGGTTTCCAGTTACACGTTAAAGCAGTAACTAGACTTCATTTTCCTCTGTCAATCTTTGATCCAGGGTGAAGCTCTGCGGCAGATCTTGGTTAATCGATACTATGGGAATGTAAAACCTAGACAAAGGAGAGACAGCGTTACAGCCTTCAGCAATGGTTCAGTCACTTCAAGAGCACAGGGGAAATCTCCTACAGGTCTGTTTAATAGCATAGAATTATTGTGTATTATATAAGCTGAATCAACAATTTAAAACCCCTATACCATTCCTTTTAAATTGTGTACCAAATGACTAGTGGGATCTCTCCTACAAGGTGTTGGTTGCATTTGTATGTAATCTGGCTACATCTGTTCCCATAGTTGTCAGCTCGGGGGTAGGAGGCCGAGGGGACCTGAGTCTGGCAGAGGTTCAGTGTCGCCTAGACAAGGAAGGGGCCTCAGACCTAGTCATTGACCTCATCATGAATGCTACCAGTGACCGAATCTTCCAGGAGAGCATCCTGTTAGCCATAGCCCTGCTGGAAGGTGGGAACACGGCTATCCAGGTAATTTGGGGCTGATACAGTATGTGGGGGGTAGCCTGATGGTAGCCTTGAGACTTTTAAAAATTGGAGAGGCTGTTTTTTCAGATTTTGTTTTACCTTTTATCCACATGCGCTATATATAAATATAGGTCTACTGTTATTAACAACAGTATTGGCTCTAAACTTCCTGTGATGTACTTTTTGTTAATCAACACGTTTTTATTCTTTGCTCACTGTTACATGCATATTCATGTGAGTGTCTCTCTTGTTTGTTTGTTTGTTTTTGTTGTTCTTTTGCTCCAGGCATCATTCTTACAACGTCTTACCGGAGACAATAAGTCCGAGAAATTTTTTAAAGTAATTTATGAGCGCATGAAGCTGGCTCAGCAGGAGATCAAGGCCACTGTAACAGTTAATACAAGTGATCTGGGCAACAAAAAAAAGGATGAGGATTCATCAGATAAAGACACACAAGGATGCAAAAAAGGTCAGAGGTCAAGACTTTAGGAACGTTACTTTGTGCTGTCTAGTGTTAGGGTCATAGTTATTTTTTCCCTTAGATGTTCTTTGAAACTCCCCTTTAATGAAAGGGAAACAACCAGATCACTGTCACTATTGAAGAGGTAACTGTTGATATACAGTGTATGCCAATGTTGGTGGTCATATGTGTTTGGTTGGACATAACTCATGAACACATTTTGTTCTTTTTTTCAAAGGAAATGACACATTATATATACAATCATAATTAATCATTATATATGGATTTTTTTCCAGGAAGTATTTAAGCACAGAAAGATATGTTTAAACCAAGATGGTGTGTCTTTCTAGATAAAACATTAACAATCCATAAAGAATTTTTAAAATTTGAAAACTACTGTATTTTTCAACCAATTCTAACCTAGACTTCTAGCACAAAAAAAATGACTTAACCTTTAATCTTGCAATTTACTAACAACTTTACAAACTTACAAATTATAAATTTTGATTACAAAATCAATATATATATATACCCGTAACAATGTTTTTGGTTCAGTAATTAACAGATAATCCCACAGTTCACTATCTTGACTGTTTGCTCCTGTTTTGTAGCCAAGGATCTGCCTGCATTGACAGATGAAGTTAAGGAGCAGCTGATGGAGGCCTCCACTGTCACCAAAAAGCCTTTTACAAATGACCGCCATGAGACTGAAGCTGAAGAGCATCCAGTGGCTTCTGATGCTTCCCATTTGCCAGCTGCTAATAAGGGTCAGGAGGAGAGTGAGATGAGCACCATCATCACTATCATGCAGCCTATCCTGCGCCTAATGCAGCTACTGTGTGAGAACCACAACAGAGACCTGCAGGTCAGTAACAACAGTTTGGTTGGAACACATTCACATTAGAATAATGACACATTGTGGCTTTTCCTACTGGCCAAGTGCACCAGAAAAAAGAAGTCTGGGAAAGTGTTTTTTTCTTTTCTTTTATCTCTTATTCTCCAGAGCTTTCTGCGCAACCAGAATAACAAGAACAACTTCAACCTGGTGTGTGAAACATTGCAGTTTCTTGACTGTATATGTGGTAGTACTACAGGAGGACTTGGCCTGTTGGGACTTTACATAAATGAAAAGAATGTTGGACTCATCAACCAGACTGTGGAAAGTCTTACTGAGTACTGCCAGGGTCCCTGTCACGAGAACCAGGTGATAATGTACACACAAAACATATTAAAAAGCCCTTGTGTTTTGGAAACAATAGCTGCAATAGCTTTAGTCTTTTGCATTTGTGTCAGGGTAAACTTTTTAGCCCTTGTTCAAGATAAGGATGTGAATATTACTTGTATGTTTGAAGCAAAGCTCTAAATCTGAATGATAAAAACATTTTGTTGAAATAAAGAGGAATTTAAGTTACGTGATGATATTGAAAAATCTCAGAGGAAAACTAAACAAAATGTATCTCTCTTCATTTTTATTATTTACTGATCATGTTTACATTCACCGTCTTTCACAGAACTGTATTGCTACTCATGAATGCAATGGTATTGACATCATCATCGCTCTCATCCTAAATGACATCAACCCACTTGGCAAGAAAAGGATGGATCTAGTGCTGGAACTCAAAGTGAGTTTATATTTGATAAAATGTTTAAGGATTCCCCTTCATTTGCCTGGACGTCTCCAGTGCAGTGGTGGCTTGGTGGTAAAGGAAACAGACTGGTTTCAGGTTCGAGTCCACCAGCTGCCAAGTTACCACTGAGGTGCTCTGAGCATGGCCCCGTCCCCACACACTGCTCCCCTGGTCCTTAAAGCTGCCCACTGTTCACTTTGGTGATGGGTTAAAAGCAGAGGACACAGTTGGTTGTGTGCAGTGGTGAGCTGTGTCACAACGACAAGGAGTTCACTTTCCTTTCTTAATCTTTTGTGTCTTTTTTAGAATAATGCATCCAAGCTTCTTCTTGCAATCATGGAGAGTCGCCACGACAGTGAAAATGCTGAGAGGATCTTGTACAACATGAGGCCAAAAGAACTGGTGTGAATTAATCACTTAATCACTTAAATATGCACCACATGCCTTCTGAGTGCCCTGGTTTGTCTCGTCCATGCAGGTAGAAGTGATAAAAAAGGCATACATACAGGGTGAGGTGGAGACACCACTGGAGGGTGAGGAGATAGAGGAGGAACATTCTGCCTCCCCACGAAATGTTGGCCATAATATCTACATTCTGGCACATCAGGTAAGCTGAGCAAAGGTATTATTATCTGACAGCTGTCATTAATGCACATGTTAAAAGATCAGCCACTCAATGGCCACCAACGAACCCTAACCATTTATTACTGACCCGGTTTCAGTTAGCTCGACACAACAAGGAGCTGCAGGCCATGTTGAAACCAGGTGACATGTATGGAGAAGGAGACGAGGCTCTGGAGTTTTACGCCAAACACACAGCTCAAATTGAGGTCAGGTTAATCCAGCATAAATTGTTGGATTTTCACAGGCTTCTCCCAAACCTTTTTTGTTTGTATTTTAAGTAGTAGTTATCTTGTAATGTATTAGACTTTGTTCTATTGTCACTGTTAGTGTTATATGTAATAGTAGTAATTACAATGAGATGCCGTGTCATTTAGTGGCTGATTGGTTGTGTACAGATTGTACGACTGGATCGGACCATGGAGCAGATCGTCTTTCCTGTCCCAAACATCTGTGAGTTCCTAACCCAAGAGTCCAAGCTGCGTGTTTACTACACTACAGAGAGAGATGAGCAAGGCAGCAAAATCAATGATTTCTTCTTACGCTCTGAGGATCTCTTCAATGAGATGATCTGGCAGAAAAAGTTAAGAGGTACAAAATAGAACAATAGAGTTACTAGAATACTAGTAACAAAAACAATATTACCTGTTTGTTTTTTCTCAAATAATTTATTAAGTGGGCTCTGGTTTATTTATCTTATCATCTGAAGTACCAGTTAAATTCTGCTCACAAGGCAACTCATCTTTAAAAGCATCTTATTGTTTAAAGTGTTTGTAAAACTCCATTTTATTTCACTCCCTGCTGTGACTTCAAAGCAGATAGAGAAGTGCTGCCTGTCACATGTTTTATTTGCTGCCCTTCTTCTGCCCACAGCCCAGCCCATCTTGTACTGGTGTTCCAGAAACATGTCGTTCTGGAGTAGCATTTCTTTTAACCTGGCTGTGCTTGTAAACCTGTTAGTGGCCTTTTTCTACCCTCTGGAGGGCATCGGAGGAGGTAAGTTACCCGTTTCCCAACACACGTTCAAACTTTTCTGAACATGATGCGTGATAATGCTCTCCAAGAATAGTGTTCACTTGGGGTTCTGAATGTGTGCTTCACTGATATTGTAATATGAAAAGAACTCAAAACGTGAAATCATAATTTGTTTGTCAATAAACATTTTCTGTTGTCTTACTCCTTCTTAGGTACACTAAAACCACATCTGTCTGCTCTGCTGTGGATGGTAATGCTGTTCTCTCTGGGTTTAGTCTTCATCTTACCTCAGCCTCATGGAATCCGAGCAATCATTGCCTCCACCATCCTGCGTCTCATCTTCTCTGTAGGATTGGAACCCACTTTGTTTCTCTTGGGGGCTTTCAATGTGAGTTGTCATTTGTCATCCTCAGACTGTAGAAAGATATTTAACATATCAAATAAATCTCTAAAGGATGTTCAGAACACTTGTGGAAAGTGGAACCACACAACTATGACTACTGAATATGTCAGATTATCAAAATAACACATGGTTTTCCATTACTCTACAGTTTATTAATAAGATCATCTTTCTGATGAGCTTTCTTGGAAATCGAGGAACCTTCAGTCGTGGCTGCAGAACCATGATCACCGATGTTGAGTTCCTCTATCACCTGCTCTACCTGATTATCGGCACCCTGGGGGTCTTTGTTCACGTCTTCTTTTACAGCTTGCTAGTATGTGTAAAACCCTCATACAATATAATATCAAGCAGCAACGTTGTCCCATTTAACATATTGACTAGCAATAATAATAATATAATAAAAGATTATGATATGCTCATTCAATCTTGTAAACTCTACTGGTACTTTTACAACAAAAAAAATATCTTCCAATATCTCTTTTCCCAACTGTCATCCATAAACATACTAGATAGATCGATAGAGCATTATTAATCCTTCGGGAAATTAGGGAACTCCGGTGCTGCAGATCATCCAGAAGGCTGCTGCCATCAGTATCAGCGCCATCTGTCAGCGTCATAAAGGACAAACATCTTTGAATCCTTCCTCTTTCTAGCTCTTCGATCTGATTTACCGAGAGGAGACCCTGCTGAATGTGATTAAAAGTGTGACCCGCAATGGCCGCTCCATTGTCCTCACTGCCGTATTGGCTCTAATACTTGTCTACCTCTTCTCAATTGTGGGATTTATTTTCTTCAAAGATGACTTCATTTTTGCTGTTGACAGAATACCCAACCAAACACTGGGTAAGTCAACATACATATATGCAGTTTCTTTGCTTTCAATTTTTTTAATTGTTTCTGTCACATTTCTAATTGTTTTCTTTTGTTTTTTTCTCCTTTTGGTTCTTGTTGAAAAGAACAAGGAGTCAGCATGGTGGGGGAATTCTTCTCTGGTGGAGATCATCAAACAAGCAAGCACAACTATTCTGAAACTATGATGGACAGTGAGTTGGATGTGTATTATGTGTATGTGTGTATACACACATTTATTCTGCAATTCCAAAATTGATTTTAAATGTTGCTGATTGCTTGTTTTAAAATCCACGTGTTCCATGTACCGTATTTGGGTTGGGTTGGGTCCTGTCACAAATGTGTGCCGGGGAGGTTAGGATTTTTGTTCCACTCCACATCATAGCAGATCTCACTACTGTCAACATTCCTCTATACAAAAACAAACCTGTGTGCTCATTGCTTATACAACCCTATATTTAACAATATCATGTTTCTCCTTAGCCTCTTTTGCCATTCAGCCATCAGCCATGGTCATCGAAGACAAGGAGAGAACATGTGACTCCTTAATCATGTGCATCGTGACAGTACTGAGTCATGGACTTAGAAGTGGTGGAGGTGTGGGAGATGTCCTGAGGAAACCATCCAAGGAGGTATAATCCTGACTGATCAGACTTTCAACTAAAGACACACCCAGAAATTTTAATTTGATACATTTATATTTCTCAAAGGATTTTATTGTCAAAACAGCAATTGGTTGATAAGTACAAGCTTTATAAACTAATAACTAATTCATTGTTAATAAACCGATGCACCGATTTTAAAATCCTGGGTTGATAATTCTCATTTTTCTTCTTGTACAGGAGCCCCTGTTTGCAGCCAGAGTACTCTATGATCTGCTCTTCTTCTTCATGGTCATTATCATCGTCTTGAACCTCATCTTTGGTGTCATCATTGACACATTTGCTGACCTGAGGAGTGAAAAACAGAAGAAAGAGGAGGTCCTAAAAACAACATGTTTCATTTGTGGTGAGAGATTCATTTAAATGAATGAAAACTGCCGAATAACACAGTGCTTTACTGGCCACGTCTTCAATTCAGTTTATCTTAACTTCCAAATCAAAAAGGACTATAGATTTGAATACTGTATTACATGAACAATGTGTAAACAAAATTAGATACACTAATACACGTTGGACCAAATAATATAGGTTGGGCTTAAGTTATTCTTTTTCAAAAGCATCAAATGAAATCTAACCTCTGACATTCTGTTTGTCCTTTGTGTGGGTTTGTGCCATATTTGAACAGGTCTGGAGAGAGACAAGTTTGACAATAAGACAGTCACCTTTGAAGAACACATCAAAATTGAGCACAACATGTGGCACTATCTCTTCTTCATCGTTTTGGTTAAGGTGAAGGACTCCACGGAGTTCACAGGTCCAGAGAGCTACGTGGCTGAAATGATCAGGGTAGGCAGCACACTACACCCACCAAGGTCAAGAGGTTTGGGCCAATGTTCCGCTGAGTGGACACGTCAACAACTGTGTAAGGTCAAGAGGTTTGGGCCAATGTTCCACTGAGTGGACACGTCAACAACTAGTAGAAAGAGAAAAGATCTGGGATGAATTTTCTTAGTGACAGCACTATAATAATAAGTGATCTTTCAACTTGAATTCAAACTAAGACCTTAATAGCAGAACAAACAGGTTTCAGTAACTTTTATTTAAATAAAAATATAACAATTATTTCAGTCATGTTTTGGCCTGTTGGAGATCTAGAGAACCTGGGACCGTGCATACTGAGAAAAGGCCATCAACAGTCACAGTCGGCGTGACTGGCTGTATCACAAAATTTGACTCCAGAACTCTAAACACTACTACTACTACTACTTACTACACTCTACTGGTACTTTTACAATTTACTACTACTACATACTTATTTTTTACAATAACTTTTTTTACTTCTCCTTCATTATTTACCAGGACCACAATTTGGACTGGTTCCCACGCATGCGGGCCATGTCCTTGGTCAGCAGTGATGCGGACGGGGAACAGAATGAGATCAGAAACCTGCAGGAGAGGCTGGAGTCCACCATGAAGTTGGTGTCTAACCTTTCTGGTCAGCTAACAGAGCTGAAGGACCAGGTTTGTCCTTAAAGATGCCTACATAAAAACAAAAACATGATCAGGGGAAAACATGTTTTGGTCAAGTAGGTTGCTACTTATCTTCTATCTTATAAGGTTTCTTAGTGTTATGGACCTTTTAGGTCTCTTTTATTATGACCATATGACCTAGAAATTAGTCAGCAAGAAAAAAACAGACGGTTCTCTCCTGATTTGTTCGATGACCTGTTGTGTTTTGTCTTTAGATGACAGAACAAAGGAAACACAAGCAACGCATCGGCCTGTTGGGACACCCTCAGCACATGAATGTCACCAACACTCAGCAACTGGCATAAAGTCTTGTTGCCTGTATGATGTTTCTAGACGGATGTTGTTTTTTGTTTTGTTTTTTGTTTTTTTAATAGTTCAAGGACATGTTTTCACCAGAAATAAATTTACAGAAAGTATTTTTTCTTGTTAATAGTTCCAGTATTATCTTTCAACACTGTTCAAATCTTATAAATATTGCTCCTGGGTATCAAACTCATTTTGGTTCACAGGCAGCATGCAACCTAATGAGCTGTCAAGTGGGCTGGACCACTACAATCATAACTTAACTAACTGTAAATAACAATAAGTTCATGTTTTTTTGCCTTTTGTTTTCATCCAAGCCAGTATGTTAGATATTTATTATTATTTATTCATATTTAATGAAATATAGGTTTACAAAATCCTGAACATGAAGTGATTGTGTATTTTTTTATTTTTAAAATTAATCAAGCGGGCAGGATTGAACTGCCTAGCAGATCAGTTCTGGCACCGCATGTTTGCCCACCTGCTGTAATCAGTTCATCGTTGGAATCACAGTGATACAGATGATTGATTGGATTTGTGATGTAACTGATCTGGTCTCCTTGTGTGTCCAGATCAAAGCATATGGTACAGGAGTACTTACTAATGGAGAGAGTAAATGTGCAGTATAAAACCACACTATTTTTTATTAATTATTAGTTTGTATCTGTTGATGTTGCTGTATTTGTTGTATAAGGTATTTATTTTTTTCGGGAAGTGTGAAAGTACATTTTAGTACATTTTCATTAAAGGACCAACCACAGAATAAATTCTGTTCTTAATTAGCTGGGATTTTAACATGATAGAGAGACATGGACAGAAACATGGATAAGACAGTTATTTCTAATTTGTTTTTAGGTTTATTTCTTTTTATGTTTAAGGCACACACACTATTTTCAGTCACAATAAATATTGTGCAATATATTATACAGTCCTTGAAGTACAGGCCACATTTTAGGATTTTATAGCATCACTACGTAAATACGTATCTAGTGTTTATTTTTGCCTATGTAAGTATCAATAGTGGCACTTCCCAATGTTGTGTTCACCTGTGTTGATTGTTGCTGTTGTGTTTTGTAACTGCATTAGCTTTAAATGGATCTTTTACCTGCTGTAGGATTAACAACTCTAACTTATACATTTAGTTTCAGTCAAAGGTTGCTTGTAAAGAAGGGTTTAATTTCAGCACTTCTAAGATTATTATCACTTCAGATTTTCTTAGAGGTAAATAGCTTGGACTTCTTCTATCATAAAACTTAAATCGCATAATGTCACTGCTCTAATACTCACAACCCTCTCTCTTTGTCAAATAAACTGATACAGTATTGTGAAGGAACTCTATTAGTGCTGTTCATTATTAAATATACTGTGTACATGTGATATATATTTTGATATTTTATTACAGATTTACACAAATTCACATTTTGATGACAAAAGCAGTTGTCACATTCATAACCCAGAAATGTCTGTGCATCAAGTTCCATTAGCTTTCTGCATACTTCATTGTCATTTTATAATTTGGGACAGTTTATTTCTAAAATCATAACCCTCCCGCCCCCTAGTGGCAGCTTGCGCTCAATACTTTAGGAGTCCCTGATCTACGTACCTTTACCTTTGCAGTTCTAGTTGACACCTGACAGTTCACATAAACTCTAACTACATATGCTAATGGAGCTCGGCAAAACACAGGGATGACGCAGACTATTTGAAATATGGGGAAGTGTTGACAGGTGAAAGCATGAAGCTGCCAAAACTGAAGGGGCATTTTAGAATGCCTGGGGATGACCTTACGTAGCCATGGCAACAGTTGCGCAGTAAAAGAGAGATGGCAGCTCCAGTGAGTCATCCTTTGGGTGTTTTGGCCATTCTGATAAAACCAGTTTATTTACTACTTTCAAAACAGGATCTTCTGCTTCTGCTTTTATTTCTTCTGCTCTGATTGTTAATTCGTCAAAGTAAATAACTTCGTGCACTAAATGTAATATTACCTCCTTGTTGATTTAACTGGCAACATCGACAAGACGTTAGCATTTATAGTTTCATCAGATTTATTACAGAGGCGAAAGCAGCTAAAATAAAATCCACCTTTGCATTCTTGCAGTTACCAGTACATGCACCCCTGTTCTAGGTTATTATACTGTATTTTCAACCCCGGTTTATAGTCCATCAAAGAACTTATTACAGCATCCACACCGTAGGGAGACGCATGACAGGCCAAGTAATTCAGATTAATAATGCAGCTGTAGTTTGTCACATTGTAAAGCTAAAGCTTTATTGAATACATTCCTGCATTTTGCTGACCTATACCAAGCTGTCAGTGGTTGAATTATCGTGAACAAGTCAGGGATGAACTTTCCATCGTTGTTTAACAGAAATGATCTGAGCTCAGTTACATTTTTGCAACAGCAGCTATTGTATGTCATCTGTTTTCTCCTTTTTACTTTGTATTCCCGTGACATCAATCACAAATCCCATAAGTCATTGTTGTAAAGTTTTCAGTCTTTAAAGAATTTTGCCTGACCCTGATTTTCTGTCAAATGGCAGAATAACTTTCCCACCATCAAGTCTTCAGACAGAATGTCTTTCATACTGATCACATTTGGACTTGGTGACCCACGCACAGTGCGCTTGTGCAAAACTCCCTTAACAATGGAGAATAGTGCACGAACGTACGCAAACTACGTAAGGCGGAAGTAGAGCGAAATTGTTAGTAACACTGGGAATACACGTCAGAAAGATAACATGTCTCTGTTAAACTGTCAGCCGAGCTGAACTGTGACAGGACAAGAACACGTCCTTGTTCTCCGCTGACTAATACCCCGCTGCTGCTGCTCCCTCACTGGGTTATTCCACATACATTAGCAGGTGAGTTGCTGGAGCAGCCTGTCGCTTCTGCGTCATCGTGTTATTGTGGGTCAACTGGTGTTTTAGACTTTTACAATGTACAGTTCGGCTGTGACAAACGCTTGTAAATATGCTTTTGTTTTCCATTTAAGGACTTTGTGTTTTGCTGGGATTGTTCCTGCGGTCGCTGCGTCTACTGTTACTCAAATATATGGACTGCACATGCGCGAACCAATGACTATATATATATTTTTTTTTTCTATAAACGTGTGTTTATCTGTGTCGACACCGTCTGTTATCTACAAACGACAACGAACGACAGTTAAACTGGTGTTCTGGCAGTGACAGTAAGCATTGACATTAGTGAACAATCACAAACGTCGCTTTTTAATCGTTTTTCCCCCCAGATGAATGTAGCGATGTCTTAAAACATGTCTCACCCAGGAGCCAGTGGAGCACCAGGCTGGTGAGCAGCACCTACACAGTCACAGTGTTTGTTAAGCCATCGTCCAAACCCACAGGAGTGTGTAATGCAGCGGTATTGACTGGTGTGTTTCAGCCCCCACGTCTCTGAGCTGTACGCCAGTGTTCCGCGGACATGTCTGCCCATCGTCTACCACCCTGACTACAACATCACTTTCATGGGCCTTGAAAAGCTTCATCCATTTGATGCAGGGAAGTGGGGCAAGGTCATCAACTTCTTGAAAGGTAACACTCTGAGCAGGTCCACTAGTGGGCGCTGCAGGTTCCCAAGTTTGATTGCGATATGATTCTCTTTTTTTTTACACCCCAGTCTTACTTACAGAGTAAGTAGGTTCTTAAAAACTTGGAAAATTCAAAAACCTTGAATAAATGGCTTTACACCCCAGTCTTACTTACAGAGTACCTCCAGGTTCTTAAAAACTTGGAAAAGTCCTAAATTAAAAAAACCTTGAATAAATGGTCTTTAAAAGTTTGAAAGTACTTTGTAGTTATAAAATATAACAGTGAGGTTAACTGCCAGGAAGCCACCGCAAAGGTTTTTTCTTTAAGAGATTCAAGATAGCATTCCTACTTAATTATATTTTTTCTCAATTTTTACTCAATATCTATCATTTAAAATGTTCCTCCTCGTGCAATGTGTTGAGCTGTTATAATGGTAAAACAAGTTTCTGATTTTCCCTCTGATTGGCTCAGAGGAGCAGTTTCTTACAGATGATAATATTGTGGAAGCTCGGGAAGCTGCTGAAGAGGATCTGCTCATAGTTCATACCAAACGCTACCTCAACCGATTAAAGGTAGTTTTTGTTTTTTTTAATCATTGAACGCTGCCAGGCTCGTATTTTGCAATTTGCAAAAGTTAGATTCATAATCTTCCTTAAAAAAGTGATAAAAAAATGATTTTAAAATAAAAACTCAGTTTTCTGTATATAACTGTAAGTGGCATGTAGTGTTTAAAAATGTTGGTTTTTTTTACATCACCTGTTTACCACCTTTAAACAACAGAAAAATCCAACTGTACAACGGTGTATTTTTTATTTCAGTGGTCTTTTGTGGTGGCAACAATAACAGAAATTCCACCACTTCTGTTCCTGCCTAATTTCCTGGTACAGCGAAAAGTGTTAAGGCCTTTACGGACACAGACAGGAGGAACAATCATGGTGAGTGTCTGAGGAGTTTCTTTCTCATCACTCCACTGTCTGTGGTTTCTATTTTCCTGTTCACTCATTTGTGAGTAAGAAAGGAGAAAAGATGTTAAAATGAACTGGCGGAACTTTTTCTATATGCTATATTCTTGTCAATGGATTAGGCAAAAAATTGACATCAGCAAGTAATCACGGTAACCAAAAAAATGGGAAATCAGAATCGGCCAAAAAGAAATTGGAGTTAGTGCAGCTCCACTCATCATTGTGACTTAAATGGGAAAATGATGGTTTTCAACTCTAATACAATCCTCATGTACGCAGCTCCTCCCTTTTATAAAGTAGAAGTTAACCACAGAATTCATGCAAAACACACAACCATCCGTCCTACTTCATCACTCCGTCTTTAATTCCCAGCCTGCACCAATCTCTTCCCTGTCTCCTCTGAAGACATCGTCTACAACTTGGTGCAGCTCCAACCAGAGTCTTCTTCATCAAACTGACATCCAGATGCACTGACAACACACCCTCAACGTCCGGCATTAAACCCCTGACCCTAGCTGAAACGTACTCCCCCAGTACTAGACACTCTTCACCAACTGTTCTTTTACTCCATCTCTCTAACCGTCTGCTGTGGAACTGTTTACACATTTCTGGTGTCCTGAAAAACACACAGTTTGATATACAGCAAAACATAATGATCAATATATTGTTACTCAGATAAGTCTAAAAATCAAATCCACATTTCCCATTTAGAAAATGTTGGTTCTCAAAGGACAAACAGAATGATGACAGGTGGTGGTTTATTTTCCTTTACAACTTGACTTCATTCAACATTAGTCAAAGAGGCCTATTCTCATACATGAGTAAGAAACTAAATTAGCATTTTTTTACATAGGCAGGCAAGTTGGCTGTTGAACGAGGATGGGCCATAAATGTAGGTAAGTCATCAGTAAGTTGAACATTTAAATTCCACTGGCTCCTATCACCTCCTCAGAAGGAGGCATTGATAACCAACTGGTGTTGTTGTGGTGTTAGCTGCAGCCCACAGTAGGCAGGTTACTACTGGATGCTTAAACCGTGAGTCAAAAGTACTTGGATAAGATGCTGATATATTTATAATTCATCGGTGAATTATCGGTGTCAGTCAAGCCGATAACAGTACTGGTACCGATGTTCCAGAACTCTAACCTATAGGTAAATCAACTGTAGCATATTTCTAAAGTGAACAAAACATCAGTCAATTGAAGATAAAACCTCTTTATTATTATTATTGTTGTTATTATTATTAAATATTTTTAACAGTGGCTTTAATTACTTCTCTACCAACTCCCTATCAATCCAGCATTTACTGATTTTTTGAAGAAATAAAAAGTCTTATCTGTGCAGTGACCTGCTTGGTCGGCATTTTCACTAACTCAGGGAATGATCTGTTTCCCAGGGGGAGGATTCCACCATTGCTCCAGTGACAGGGGAGGGGGATTCTGTGCCTACGCTGACATAACCTTGGCCATAAAGGTCAGAGTTGTTTTAATTTTTTTTTAAGATAGTTTGAAATAGGTATACAGTACTATACTGTACTGCCAAAGAGAAAAAAACACATGATGTCGTGTGCAGTGAAATGTCAGATGTCAGTGAAATTAGTTACTGATTAGAAAGATTTCCTAAAGAACACAATGGAAGACTTGGAATGGATGGAATAAAAATGCAGTTAAAAACTTAAAAACTGAAGCTAATGAACTGAAATCTTCAAATCTGGGACTTTTTGAAATGATAATATTTTCCTTAGAATTTTTTATGTGATCGATTTTTCAGTTTCTGTTTGAGAGAGTTGAAGGAATCTCCAGAGCTACCATCATCGATTTGGATGCCCATCAGGTGAGCTCCTCTCTCTGTGTCTCTGTCTGCTGCTGAGGAAAATACACTGAAACAGTGAGAACACCCATTGGTCACATTCATCGGTTCATAGAACTGTTCTATCCTAGTCATTTCTGGAAGAAGTTTACTTTACTTTCTCTCTGACCACAGACAAACCAATTCTTCTGGGTGGCTAGATTTGATTTGGATGAAAAAAAGGGAAAATTAAAAAGTGATTAAATCTTCTGTGCAGTGGGAATCATTGACAACCATAGAAAATACTGTAGTGTTTGAATATATGCACAGAGCAAAAACATTATACAAATGCTGCTCTACTCTGTTGAAGGGAAATGGACATGAGCGTGACTTCATGGAGGACAGGCGGGTCTTCATCATGGACATGTATAATCGCTACATCTACCCAAGGGACGGCTATGCCAAACGTGAGCTCCATAATGTTTCTACCATAAACTTTGTGTAAGAATTCAAAACAAAAGTCTGGTTGAAGTGAAGTGAAATTTCTCCTTGAAAAACTTACAGACTTACATTATAGTATTGAAGCTGTGTCCAACAAAGGTACTCTTTTTGTCTGTATTTCAGAAGCCATAAATAGGAAGGTAGAGCTCGACTGGGGTACTGAAGATTCAGAGTACCTCCAGAAGGTAGAACTCCACTCAGAGGGAGCTCTGAACGAGATCCGCCCTGACATCATAATCTATAACGCAGGCACAGACATTTTGGACGGAGACCCTCTCGGAGGACTCTCCATATCGCCACAGGTAAAGTGTTTCAATCATGAGTTGGCCTTCATTTATTTTCTAGTTCATAGAGTTGCACCATAAGCATGAAAAACAAATCAGTCTTAATTATAAATAACCAGCTCAAGTAATATCATTTAGACCAACTGACTGTTCCCCGGTTTCTTTCCAGGGCATCGTGAAGAGAGATGAGTTAGTGTTCAGGGCTGCGAAGCGGCGGAACATTCCAATACTAATGGTAACGTCTGGCGGATACCAGAAAAAAACAGCCCGCATCATCGCAGACTCCATTCTTAACTTGCACCGTCAGGGCATGATTGAAGCAGAGTCACTGGAGGGAGAGGTGTCGTCATCACTGGTGACTGGTATGATGAGGCACTCTGGGAACGCAGCATCCAATGTCGTCTGATGTTTACAGGTTTTAAAGAACGCACTGGTAATATGGGGTATAGAGTGTGATTGTACATGTCCAACCAATAATTATTCACACATTTATGAAATGGTTTTATACAGAAAGAATCAGCTGGTTAAGGGCGGTACTAATCATTAAGTTAACAGTGTGATTACATTTTGTAGGTTACTGATAAATCAGATTTACTTGAGCTTTAATATCATTAAATATTAAAACTGAGAACATTCAGTTCCTGCTTTAGGATTAAATCAGTGTTTCTTTATCAGTTTTGGTGTACATGTAAAAAACAGGTGATTTTCTCTTTACTTTAATTTACTTTCTCAGTGTGAAACTTTGACTTTTTTTAGTTGAACACAACACTGATAAACTCACAGGAATTGAAGAAAGACACACATCTTCATCTGCTCTGAGTCTCTCTTTTTTTAAGTCTTTTTAGCCATCTGCTGCCACCAATCTTCCTTAGTACACCTGCCGTGCCACACTAATGCCTTGCCACAGTGGTCTGGAATCACAAGCTTACACTGTGTGAGTTAACAGGTCCATATGTCTGTGATGAGGGAATATTGGAACTTGAAGAAAGTCTGTAGGTTTTGAACCTAATTAACTATCGCTGAAGCGCGTGCAGCACTTTAAAATTCCTCACATATCTGTAGTTGTTATTGTGTTATTGTATATCTTCAATCATCACATCTAATTAGTGTAATAACTATCAGCAATTAACAGGTTTAGTAGATTATGAAACAATAAAATGAAGACTTAAATAATGCTCATTGTTATTCAGTTAAAGGTTTTGTTATTTTTCTGAATATGACGCTTAAAGTAGTAAGAACACTATCAATCTCTGGAACAGGTTAAATTGGACAGATTCTTTTTAGGGCCTTCAATTTTATAATGAAAATCCAAACTGGAACCCTAAACCATCCCATTGGTTTTTTGGAGGTTTTAAGACGTTCGTCCGTTAGCCTGTTTGGAATGGGTCCACCTGGGATAGTTGGGAAACCAACTGAAAGTTTGTTCAGTCAGTTCTACAGCCATGAGATTTTGTTGAACGCAGTGTCAAAGCATTAAATTACATATAGAAATAAAGTGGTGTCATGTTTACTTTGAACCTAAAAAATCATTGTTTAATCAGGGGAAAGGCATGCTGGGATTGGAAAGACTGCCTGAAAATACAGGGATTTTTTGAGGGACATTATTCATGAGAGATGGAATTTGGTTGAAAAAAAGAATTAAAAGCAATAAAATGGCGTTTAAAACAATTGTCTCATATCTGTTGTGTACAGAGGATATTGGAGATATTTATAAGCTGATTATGAATGGTGTAGATAGGAAGAGAAATGGAGTAGAAATAATAGAACTCACTGCATGTGGAAACCTATTTTATTTTCCTGACTAATGCTCATTGTAATATTCAAATGATACACACAGACAAACTGTGTAACCATATTTTTTGCTTATGAAAGACAATATTATTTTCTAATCTGTGTAAGGAAAAAACAAGTTTGTATAACTGACTACCCCAACATGGCGGCCGAGCTGACGCATCCTCGAGCATTCGAGGCGGAATCAACGTATGTGTGTTAATATACACGGCAGGGTTAAGTCTGACGACCATTAGTCGACGTTCACGCTTTGTACTGTATGTGTCAGTTTGTCTAAATCCTATCAAAGTGAACTGGGGTCATGTTTCAAATTTCAGGATTCGTACATCGATAGCGTTGGCTATAGCATGGGTGCCATCTATAGTCATGGTCTTGACCATACTTTCAGTTGATGACTTGTCGAAAGTATTCGGGGTAAATCTCCAGGGTCCAGGTGAGTGACACTTTGTTGCTGGTTTGTTGTAGACAGCCGTTTTAATGTAGACCTAAGATGTCATTTTAAAGTTCTGCTACATAGAAGAACACGCTCATCTTTCTACCCTGTCTAGTACCACAGAGTCTGAAGAATGTTTCCGTGTGCATATGTCCTAAAACATAAACATTTAATTAGACGTTTCTTTCTTAACTACCTACGTTTTTGTCTTGTTACTGTTACTGTACTAGGATTTATAATGCGCCCTCGCGTGTTCTTCGGAAGTTGATATCTTCCATTTGTGAAGTCGGAGCCGCAGAGCGAGTGTTTAATAGTGATGTGACATACTGTACGGTTCGGCGTTGATTGGGTACCAAGTAAAATTTAAACTACAGTGTTTAAAAAGGAAATAAAATAATGATATCTGTGACTAAACTAACAGTTGTGATCCGCATTAGTAGTACTACAGAGTGTCTGTCTATGTAAACTGAAGAATGACATGTTGTGATCTGATCTACAGTGTACTGTAATAACCATTATTCCACCCTGAAACCCATGCTCCGTGTGTTGTGCTGTGCATTTCCAGCACAAACCAAAGACCACATGTTGGACTGTGACACTTTAAAACAGCAGTGACAATGATGGAGCTCCCCAACTACAGCGCCAAACTAATGCAGCAGCTGTGGGCCATGAAGAATGAGGGTCACTACTGTGACTGCACCATCCTGGTAGGAAATACTCCTCACCAAGCACATAAGCTGGTGCTGGCTGCCTCAAGCACACTGTTCAGGTAATGGTAGAAGGTATGCATGTTCTTTGTCCATTCTTTTTTAAGTGAAGCACAAAGCTTCCTCTAGATGTCATTAAAGATTAATAATACTCCAAGTGCAAAAAGAATGAAGAAACAGTTGAAACTAGTTAATCAGGTTGTACATACCTGCACAGGTACCTCATGTACTTCAAATACACTCAGTGGAATAGTTTTAAAATATATTACATATTGCCAGGTACTTTGCGATAATAACGTAACATTTTGCTCACGGTAACGATAATATCACGATACATTGATTCTGCAGTAATCAATATATTGCAATAAATCTGGTCCACGATACATCACGATATCTGTGTCACTTAAGATACTCAATGACTACACTGACAATTCTGAAGAGATCTTTCGGCTCTCAAATGTCTTCCTAAATTTTTTGTTGCAAGACGAAATATCGTGATATATTTTCTCACCGATATTTTGGCACACCCTTGCTGTATCTGTATCCAAATTAGAGACATTTAAAGAGAATTTATTTGATAAGACTGTTTGGCAGTCTGCCAGTGTTGGACTCAATGTGAGATGAGGTCATTTTAATGAATTATTGTGGATATTTAAAAGTTTGGATTCAAGACAAACGTCATGTTGTTTCAGATCTCTGCTTGACGACACTGACACCATCTCTATTGACACAGCAGTGGCCTCCTCGCAGGAGTTTGGCTGTCTGCTGGAGATGGTGTACACCGGGAAGCTGCCTGTGGGCAAACATAATGTCACCCGCATAGTTACTGCGGCAGACAGTCTTCAGATGGTTGATATAGCCGTTGGTTTTAAAGATGCCCTCAACCGCCTTGTCAGTCAGCAGCAGCCTGCAGTCTTTTTGGCAAAGACGACAAATGTTAGCGTAACGCAAAAATGCCACAGCGTGACAGTCAATAGACCGTCCTCCTTCAACATGGACCGCTCCACTTCGGACAAAACAGAGCACGAAGACGAACGAGCAGAGGAGCAACAAGGTCAAGAAGCTTGTGCGGAGGACTTTGCTCACTCTGGTAAGTTCCAGTGTGAGAGGCAGAGTAAAAATAGACGTTTGTAACTGGTGTTCATTTATAAATATTGTCCATGCAGAGCCTAAAGAATGCAGAGACTCAGAAACTTCAGCTGAAGAAGTCAACAGACCAGCAAGTGAGGAACAAAGTGCTACATCTGTTCTGGAACATTCCTCTCAGCTCGTAGAACTCCTTGCCAATGTGTCCTCAGCCCTGGAGCTGCTGAGACAGGAAGCACAAAGACACCTGGGTGAGCAGGAGAGACAGGTACTGATGATAGGTAACTGCAGTTATATCATAGAATACAACACATACTTCTTGTTTTAATCAGTCTTTCACCGAGCTTGACTTCGGCTCACATAGCCCAAAATTAAATATTTGTTTTTACATTTTATTATGTTTTATTGACATCGGAGGAAAAGGGAGAAAAATGAATATGACTTAGCGCCAGTTCGTGTTTAAGTGTTATAAATTTGATGGTTATGGTCTATGGTTGTCAGGAAAACATGTTATCTATTGAATTTGCAATATGTAAATGAAAGCTATTTTTTATGCCTCGATCCACCTGTTAGATTGTGTGTCAGTGCTGTGAGGAGGCAGATCCCAGCGCAGCGTTGGAGAAGCTGAAAAGCAGAGTGAATGAACTGCAGCTCAGTATGGATGGGCTCCTGGAACGGCTGCGGACAGTCCAGGAGAAAGCCTTAGCCTCCTACAAACTGTCACTGGTCCCCCTGCTGGAGGACAAGGGAAGAGAGAGGAGCGACGAGGAGTCGACCAGCAGTCAAAATACAGGTGGAAACTATTTTGTTGCTGTTTTTTCAGCTCAAGTTAAACCCATGTACCATCCCCACAACTATACTGTATATATTTATTTATTATTAACATATTTCGTCTTTTTTTTAAGTCAAATATTTATATAAAAAATGTACTAGACCAAGGTACACACCAAACTGTGGCTTTCTCATACTGTTCAACCTCTAAAATATTCGTGTGTGTATTTTTCACAGTGGAGTCTGTGAAGCTGAATGCCGTCAGGATAGAAGAGGAAGAGAAAGTGGACATTCAGGAAAAGGAGGAAACTAAAAATGATGAAAAGGACATCGACAGAGTGGGAACGTCCTCAGCCCTGTCTTCTACCTCTTCTAAACCCTACCCTTGTCGTTGGTGCATGAAGGGTTTCACCTACAAATGTCGAATGATGGCCCACATGAGACGTTGCTCCTTGTCCCAGGAATGTGACAAACAGTGCTCACAGTGCCCCAAGAAGCTGCCCAACCTGCAGGCGCTGCGGCGCCATCAGGCTGAAGTTCACCACATTGTCACCTGTAAGAAGAAAGTGGCCTGTGATGTTTGTCATCGAGTCTTTGCCCATCCATCAGGTGAGAGTTGGCGACCACATGACTACCCAGCAGCCTTCACCAGTGTCAGTTTACACACGCAAAACGAGGCGACTTTTCCATATAAATGTTTTTATCCTTGTATGTCTTGGGGTTCCATTTTCTGGTTGTTTCATACTTTTTGGTTCAATATTAAAAGGTTTTAATTTTTTTGCCCTTCCTGGTCACTTGACAGGATTGATTTACCACAAACGAACAGAACACTTTGAGGAGAAGCGGTTCACCTGTCAAGTATGTGACCTGAAGTTCGGAGCAAACTCTTCACTGAAAAATCACATGAGACTGCACACAGGAGAGAAACCATACCACTGCAAGCACTGCACCATGAGCTTCAGTGTGGCTGCTGCTCTCGCGTACCACACCAAAAAGAAGCATTCTGAGGGTAGGAGGAGAGAACACAAAAATAAAAGCAATATTTTTTGACCCACCAGACAATGATTGAAACCTGAAAATGAATGCACCCTTGAAGTAAACCCAGTTCACTTTGTCTTCTCTCCAGGAAAGATGTACGAGTGTCAGTACTGCAAGGCTTCCTTCGCTCAGTCGATTGAATTGACACGCCATGTGCGCACACACACTGGTGATCGTCCGTATGTGTGTCGGGAATGTGGCAAAGGCTACAGTCAGGCCAGTGGACTGACTGTCCATCTGAACAACTTCCATAGTAAGTAATGTCTGTCTGTCTGTCTGATTCTGTTCTATTCTAATCTAATCTCTCCACCTATCTAACCTGTCAATCATACTTGTGCCCACTGTCAGACATATCCCAGAACCATGACTGTCAGAAGTGCTGCCTGAGCTTCTCCTCGCCCGAGGAGCAGCGACAGCATATCGAGAGGCTCCACTTGAACGACTTTCACAAATGCCCCACATGCAACAAATTGTTCACCAGCAACAGTCTCTTACAAAAACACATGGAAACACACACTGTAGCCAAACCGTATCGCTGTGACCTCTGCAACAAGACATATCAGGTAGGAGTTAGTTTTTTTTCTTTACTACATTGTTAGAATAACAGCTTTTATCCTTTCAAAGTCCAAAGTCAATAATAATTAATAATAATTAATCAAAACAAATGTCACTTTTACAGCAACTGTCAGGACTGTGGTATCATAACAGGACTAATCACCCTGATGTATTTGCCAGCCACACTCGGCAGCTCAAGATATTGGTCCAATGCAATGTTTGTTTTAAGTTCTTCCCCAACACTGCCTGTTTGGCTGAACATCAGGCTTCTGAGCACCAAGGTGAGAACACAGGCCAGAACGGGGGTCGGTGACCTCAAACACTCTTAGAGCCGTTAGAACCCTTTCACAACCAAAGATAACACTGCATATACAGTATTTATATTTTAACTTCATGCATGTGTATAAAAAATATATTTGTGTGTCCTCTCTTAACAGCATCAATCATACAGTTTTCCCTGAGTCCAACTGTGGTGGGAGAAGAGAAGTTACAGGAACACATCAGCAGTCAACAGGTCACCCACAGCACTGAGGTATTGTTTGAAACCTGTTCTTCACCTCACAGTCAAGATTCAGAACCTCTGGTTTCCACACATATGAAGATAGAAACATCGCTCACATCACTTCATTTAATAGTTTAAATACAGATTTGATGGCTTTTACCATTTGAACTCCATTTCTCGATCAAACGATACACAGAGTTTTGAGACCTCTGATTAGCGTGTTGCTAGTGTTTCAATATTTTGCTGTAAAACAGGATATTACTGTTAATGCGACCAATCTGTACCAAGCATCAACTGTCTGGTCAGAAACATAGTGAACAGAGAAGTAAAGGCTGAAGCTACGATCATTCAGTGAAACTATTTAAAGTTATGGAATGCTCTTTGACAATCACTCACTCAGTGTTGAAGTATTTGAAAGTAAATGAAAGTGGGATGCAGCGACACGACCCTCCAGATTATTGAGCTAACGGTAAAAATAAAGTGTTTTTACAGACGTCTGTAACTGTGTCCCATCAGTGTGTTTTCTCTGTGATCCCAGGTGGTTCCAGCAGACAGTGCAGATGTGGAGTCGGAGCCGCTCCAGTTAGCAGCTGCCCAGCAGGTTTTTGTGGCTCTGACAGGTGGAGAAGATGGATCATCCACAGGTGTGGTGGAAGTAAATGTGCACAGTTAGATAAACAGTGCATTTACTATAATCTGAGGACAAAGAATCTGAAACTCCTCCTTAGCTCCTCCACCGTATGGTTTAACTTATTCATTTACTGTACTTTAAATAACAGAAGTATAGAAACTCACGTTTGCTGCACTATGTTTCCAAGGTTAAGAACATTTCTGAAGCCATAAACTTAATCATGTTGACCTTGGTCATATTTGTTTGGTTTAATATTTTTTTGAATACATTTTTTTTACACAGTGATGCCTTTTTATTTGAATGAGATGTTTTTCAATCTCCTCTGTGTTCCTCTCTTCTCTGCCCTCTACAGTAATGGCATATGAAGCTGGTAGCCTTGTAAAAAATTGTATAAATCTGTAAACCAAGGAATCAACAGGTGCACACTGGTTTGATCTTTCTTTGAGACTTGTTTAATAAATGGGATAAATAATGGATCTCTATTTTTAAGTATTTAGTTTGTAAATAATCCGTTTGTGGTTCTGTATTCAGATTCTGTTCTGTTAACCACATCTTCATATTGTTTCTTTGGGTGAAACATCTATTTTATTTACTAAGAAATTAACATTAAATTATGAAAGCAATCAAAAATGAGAAGTCCCCATTGTAAACTGAAACCTGAAGCAAAATGATACTGGTGTAATTGTGTTCTTTAAATAAGAAATATAGTTCTGACCAAGCTAAAAACACTCTAACAGTGTTTCTTTTTTTGTTGCATGACATAAAGATCCTATATATTAATAATATATATGCTGAAATCCTTGAGAAATCCTGTGTTGTGGATAAATCTCTAAGTTAAGATAAGTCTTTGGGAAAATTTATTTCAGGAACATAACATGTATAAATGTAGAAATTGTACAGACTATGTAAATAATACTCAGATTTTTATACCCCAACATCTGCTGATCTTTTGTTGTTGTCATTTAAATGTTTTTATTAAATAGGAAGGCTTGGCTATTAAAAGCCAAAGGTTAACAAACAACAATAATAAAGCCCATTATCAGTCAAATGTCCTTTGCTTTATTTGTTTAGCATGTGTAACTATGATGTCTTGTAATACCAGGAATCTAACCTAAGCCTGCCCCCCAAAACTAAAGCCTCTATATATATTTTTTTAGTTTGAAAAATTTGGATTTCACATTTGACACCAATTAAGCGCTACAGTAATCAATTTAATTTTTAACGCAATGAAAAACAGTCACTCTTACGCACAAGCGCAGAACAAATCTTGTCCGTTTGTTGTTGAGTAGCTCTTACTTCCGTTCAGCCTTGACGTTCACTACCAACGGCCAATCAGATAGCAGTTCCTCGTGCGCTAATGGGACTTCCCCTAACACTGTCACAAGCCCCACCCTCTTTCGCCATTTTGCTTTAACTTCAGTTCGGGAAACGACAGTCAACCGTAAGCGACAATGAAAGTATCTTTAAAACGGGAAACGACAGTCAACCGTAAGCGACAGTGAAAGTATCTTTAAATTTCCTAGTTTTGTATTTTTTTAAACAATAATCCTGAAACTGGTAATTAACCATGCACACTCTTGTTTATTCATTTGTGTTAGTTTAATGTGAACTCTACTTATTACAAAACGAGTGATCATCTTTTTAGGTGGCTAAAGCTTTAGGCCGCCGAGGATTGATAGCAGGCCTGTTCTATATGTTAAACCCGTTTGAGCGTTCGCATGATAAATTCGGAGTTGCGTTTCAAATTTAAACAATATTTTACGGCTTCCAAAACCTTCTTATATGGTGAAAACCGTTAATCGTTGCGATATAACTGTAAACTTCCGCTACTGCCGACAAGCGTTTGTATATGCTCTTAGTTAGCAATTGGCGTCTTTTTGTTATACCACAGTAAGTATATGAAATTACTTGTTTCTAGTTTATAAACAGTGAAATTCACCATTAGCACCCTTGATGATGTGTTTGGCTGATTGCTATACCTGAAAGTTTTTTTTGTTTGGGTGAAGTACACTTGTAAGTGTTTTGGTGTGTGTGTTGTGGTCTTTTGTTAATTCAAATGCCTTGTTGTCCAATCTGTTTACTATTGTAAACCCTGGATTAGGTTAATAGTAGTACTTCCAAATGCAGCCCAGATGTAAATTTCAGAATGTTGCACTTATCTGTATTTTTGTTAAATAGATTCAATTGTTGAAACCCAATTTCATAGGGTAATGTGTTTAGCAAAACAGTATCTCAAATTTTGGGTTGTCTTAAAAATCTATTCTTATCTTTGTCATGATGATGTGCCTCTTTGTGGAAAGGAAAAAACAGTCTCCTGAACAAATGTCTGTCTTTTATTAACCCCCTCTGAGTTCTGTCAGAATTTTTTTATGATTGGTCTTAGGTTTAAATTCACACTCTTGGCCATTTGTGATGGGATTCCTGCGACAAAACATTGAAGATAATTTTCTTCAGTGTTGATAATCTACAGCTGAATGTCTTCTCCAGTTTTCTACTGCCATCGACAAATGTCACCAAGTATTCAAAAATCTTCCAGGCTCAAGAAGAAGATTTTTTTATACACCTGCATTCTGCCCCAAATTGCCACAAAAGTTTAGCCCTTTTTGAGTTTTTTGTGTGGCTGTATCCCCCCCGTATATATACATATATATTTTTTGTATGCAATATCATGCAACCCTAGTGAAAAAAAAAATCCCCAAAAGACTTTTGCAGCTACCATCAGTAATATTTAGTACTCTGGTGGAGGTAAACATGTCTGAGAAAAAGGATATCGTAGGAAGAAGTATCTGTGGGCGATCCATCCCTTTTTTCCTCTTATCTCATGGATCAAGTGTTCCTTCAGGACTCTGCTATTATTGTTACGGGGACACCCTACCAGCAGTGCTTTCAAAAGAGACGCAAGCATCTTGGCCACCTCAGGTAAGGAAGGTTTAAATGCACAATCTAAAATAGACTGCCACCCTCTATTTTCTTATAATCCTTATCTAGCAGCCGCTTCCATATCATATCAGGATTACAGTATGATTGTGTAATCATGTTTGAGCATGTGTCGTTTCTGATTAACACTTGAATAAAATAACATGGAAGGTTTCTTTTATATCTGCAGATTGTTGGATTGCCTATATTAATGTGATTTTGTTTTGTCCTGTCAGGGAGGGTCCTATTGTTCAGGAGAAGAACCAATTGCTGATCTGCTCCAATTAAAATCTGTGACATCTTCGCCTTCTCCAGTTAAGAGTCTACAAGGAATAACATGACGAACCATGGAGATGACTGCTACTTCTTTTACTATTCCGTCTGCAACAAAGTAAACAAACTCTAAATATAAACCTTTTTAGAAATATGAGTGTTCACCCTTAAACTCTAAACAGGAGGGAGAAAGTTTTTAATACTTCCACTCTTTTCTTTAGGGAGATGGGTGTCCTTTTAGACATTGTGAAGCTGCTATGGGCAATGAAACCGTCTGCAGTCTGTGGCAGGAGGGTCGCTGCTTTCGAAGCATTTGCAAGTTTCGCCACATGGAAATCACAGTAAGTATATCATTTTCATCTGATGGATACTCTTCTGCATAAGCCTTGCTTTCTGCCTCCTGAGCAGTTATGCGCTTAGTATACTTTAAGGCAGTTACATGTTGATTTTTTTTCTGTTCACCAAAAACAGAAAAATAGGAAGGAAATCCCTTGTTATTGGGAAAACCAGCCAGCAGGCTGCCAAAAACCACACTGTGCCTTCTCACATGAAAAACCCCGCTACATTGAGGGCGTCTTTGTCCCACCTGATAAAAGTGAGTAGACCTTCTCTACCTAAAAAAATTTAAATTACCTGTCAAATGTCTGCATTTTAAATACTTGTTATTGTTTTAGTTTCAAGCCATATGAGTGAGCCGCCAACCGAGGAATCACCTCCATCACCAGGCGTTCCCCTCCCAACTGCAGCCAACTCGCAGCTCAGAGGTGTCGTTAAATCTGAAAGTCAGGAGCCAGTACCCAGCCCAGCCCACCCCCCTGTGGTGATTAATGCAGCAGATGATGACGAGGATGAAGATGGTGAGCTGAAATTGTATATTTTACTGTTAGTTTATTTTTGTATGATGTTTTGAAGCCCAGCAACAACACCACAAAAGTTTATTTTTGTATGATGTTTTGAAGCCCAACAACAACACCACCACAAAAGAATTAAACTAAAAACACTGTTTCTTGAACATTTGGTTTTTAATTTCAGATCAGTTTTCAGAAGGAGAGGATATGAAGAGCGAATCTTCTCCAAGAAAGCTACTGAAGTCAGGTGGGTTTAAAAGAGTCGTAGCATTCAGTGTGCCTATTTTTATTAAGTGTGAATTTAATTTGTAAATACCCAATGCAGAGTGTTTGCACTCACATTAGCCGTAGGATGCACGCTTTTAGTCTCATAATTGTCCTTGGCTTGCATTTTAATTTGCATTAATAACAGTTTATCCTTTCAAATAGTTTGGTCATTTAATAGAGGTTTTGAAATATTCTTATACTCATACTAGAGATGGTTAGATCTGATATTATAAAAATTAGAATTTGACAAGAGTACAGTTAAAACTGTATTCGTTCATGCATTTGTGTGATTTTTTTTTTTTAAATTAATTTCTTCTATACTTGTTTGTCTCATAATTTTAATCCAGTCCAATCCAGCAATTCTGTAAAAAACAAGCTGACCATTTTCTTTATTGTGAATCTAAGGTTGTTGTTGTTGTTGTTGTTGTTCTTTCCTCAGGCGATGCACTTAATTTTGGAGTGAGCACCTTGGAGGAGCTCCGACTTAGAAAAGCTATTAAAGCAAACATGAGGAAAGCAGGTTACCCTCTTCATGACCCTGGAACTTTGACCAGTGGAAAAGAAAATCTTGAGTCATTCTCACGACCAGCGCTCTGTGTGACCAAAGAAGGTAAAAAGCACAGCCATTCTGCCGTAGATATTATAGATTACACAGTATTTTTAGGTTTAATAAACTCAAAAATACAAATATGTTTAAAAAATCCAATGAATAAGTTATTCCCAATGTTTGGAATGTTTTTTAACTTCCACCATTTTTCCCATTTGAAGAAACGGGCAGACTACGAGGCAGTATCGTTGAAAGACTTGGGAGAAAGATGCCCTTCACTGGTAAATTTGCATTCTTGTTCTATTTAAAGGTTGAACTTCAACATTGATGTGTTTTAGTAATGGTTACAGGACAGAAAATAAACAATTTACTTCTTTATATCTTTTGAAGGCGGAGAAGGCTTGCTAAAGAGGAATCTTTCTGAGCGTCTTGGCAGAGTTTGTAATAAGGAAGAACCAAAGAGAGGTAGAAAAAGGCTAAAACTTGTTATGGAAGTTCTTGCTGATGTCCAATTGTATATTAACCTGATTATTTGTGCTAAAACTGTTTACTTTATTCTTTTGCTTTTAAGATCCTAAACCAATTAGAGCAAGGCTTGGTATGCCTGCTGACTTTGTTGATCCCACTGACCAAGGTAAGAATTGGACCTTTATATTGGCCTTGGCTTCACACGAGACATAATCATTAACACTGAGTACGTTTCCCAATAGCAGATGCACTCACAGAACTGAAGAAAAACCCTGAACAGATCCGCATCAAAACTTTGGAAGAGATCCGACAGGAGAAGGCAGCGAAGTCTCAGTCTCAGACCCATGCTGATAGCCCTTCATTTGTGGGTGGAGCAAGTAAAGCTGGCAAGCGAGCGATGACGGTCAAAAGTGACTCAATTGGCCATGAAATCTTGCAAACCAAGAAGAAGAGAGTGGAAGACCAGCAGGAGCACATCCCTTGTCTTAACAAAACAGATCACAAGTCTGAGAACATTTTGGACAAGGGCCAGGCTGAGCCAAACACAGCTAAGGCTGAGACCAAAAACTCAGATGAAGTCAGAGTCAAGACACTGGAGGAAATCAGAAGAGAAAGAGCAGCAAGAAAAGCTCTCCAGGCCACAAAGGCTGAAACCACCAAACCCAAAGATGAGGAGAGTAAAATAACAAAGCCTGGCCTACTTCACATCAGCAAACCATCTTCTCCAAGTAAGCCGTTGTCACAGGGTGAATGTGTCACTTTTGTTAATGTTACTGTTGCAAATATCCATTACATTTTAACCTTGTTAGTGTAGTGTCTCACAATTTTCTCTTTTTTGTCTCCCATCAGACAGCACCAAAACTGAGGAGGTCATCAAGCCTACTCCAAAATCGGTGAAAGGTGCTGCCTCCGAGGTACTGGAAATCATTGCGATGTTGTTGTTGTTTTGTTTTTTCTTGCTGCCTGTATGTGATTGTGACTTTTTTTCTTCTTCATTCTAGTCTGGCCTCTCCGTAACCAACAGCATCAAGGTTAAGACATTTGAGGAGATCATGCGCGATAAGCGTCTTCGAAAGCAAGAACTGGAGGAGCAGAAAAAGGCCCCTGAAGTCTCTCATAAACAGACTGTTGAAAGTGCGGTGAAAAGGAAGGCTGACAGTTCAGTATCAACAGAAAGCTCGCTGCCAGCTCCAAAACGAATCCAGCTCAAAGCAAAGAGTGCACCAACTGTGAACAGTCCTGTTTCTACACTAGTTGACTGTTCTCCACAGATACAAGAGCACAACGTACAGACCTCCAAAGAATCCACAGGAGTCCTAGACAAAGCCATAAGAAAGCCCATTGTACTGTCACAAGCCAGACAAGCTTCTACTGCTGCTGATAAAACACAGAATTTAGAAAAGAAGAAAAGTCCTGAACATTCAAAAGGTACATAACCAAACATTTTGCTCCTTGCACTTTTACATCTTTGTTACATTTAGTAAAATGACGTGTTGGAGTTGGTGACTTCTTCAGGATCAGATTTACATTTAACAACAGAAGAGGAAGAATATTGAAATCCAATACTTACATATTTTTTGTTGGCCTAAATTGATCGAAGTTTCAAAACATTTATGGTTTTACCCTCATTTATAAATAAAAGTTGATGCTTGTTCTTCTCCACGGTGCTGTAAGGAACCTCTGTATTTTTTAAGTTTCAAAGTGTCTCAAAGAGTCTTAATTTTTTTTTTGTACCATTTTCAGTGAGGCCTAAACTGAATGTGAGGCCTTCTGTTGTAAGACCTGCTGCGCCTGTTAAACCAGACCAGAAAAGGCAGAAGACAGAGCGGTCAATGGTGGCTGCTGTGAAGCCCCTGAACAGCAGCTCCGCAGAGGTCCCGGAGCTTCTACAGGAGCCGGACGTCATGGATGAACAGGTAGATTGAAGGAAACTTGTGTTCTTTACTGTCTGTTATCGTGTCAACTGGTCTGTCATGTAGTTTTTGGGTTGAAAAATTGTCCACAAAAAAAAAAGCTCTAGGTTAAAATGATCTTACTGAACACAAACATAATCTGCTACATTGGGGTACATTCAATAATTACGGGCATAAAAACAAATGTCTGTCTATAAAGAGAGAGAGGGTCAGAGAGGAATTTAAGTTATGGGATACGATTGACTGACTGTGTTATAAAGCATCAAATGAACCCTTTAGTGCTGCTAGTGACTAATTGTGACCTTCTGTTGTCAGGTTTCGCTGTCTTCCAGCAGTGAAGCTCAGCTGAGCTCTGCTGATTCTCAGAGTCCCACGCCCCGATTGGACTCCAGCTCCAGCAAACCGAAAGAGATCCAGAGTGTTCCAGTCTTCAAACGGAGTCAAATCAAAGAAACCAAATCAATCCTCACTGCAGCTACACCTATTGAGGCACCTACTCTCCTCCAAGGGTAAATTTGTTTCTCATTCTAAGGCAATATTTGTGTTCTGCCTTGACTCAGTTTCAGAATCACTGTTGTTTGGAAGAGCAGTAAATCTTTCTTATTTTTATTAGGTTTATTTTTCAGACTTTTTCACTTATCATGTCCAACATTAATAGTGGAATTTCTTGCAGAATTGAAATTTGACAATTGATTTGACTCAGTTAATTTGTATTTCTCAAAGAGCTGAATTCTGCTTTAGGTAACCTCTTGATGAGTGCAGTGATACAATATAACAACACAGTACTGCACAGCATACAGTATTTGTGAACCCTTATTTAGTGTTAATTTTAACCTGACAGTTTTTATGACCAAGGAACAATTATATATTACTGCAACAGAAAGACAATAGCATCTTAAATTAGTTTTACACTAGTTTTTATATGAATATTTCAACTAATGCAATTCCTAGTATTTATACATTTTGTAAAAAAAAAGTATTCAGAATAATTGACATGTTCCATGCAAAAAGGCAGGATTAGTCAATGTGCAGTTTCGTTAGCCATAGAGTTTAGTTGTAAGCAGCTGGAGCTTGAAAGATGTTTCGTTACAACTAAACTCTATGGATAACTTGACGTGGATGAATGAGAATCTTCACAGACAGTTTAGTAAGGCTCTAAATAAATAAATAACAAGTCTTTTTCATGTTTTTCATCAGTCATCCTCAGAAGACTTCCACTCAATCGAAAGCACAGAGACAGAGCACCAACGGGTCCCGTCACTCCTCCACCTCCAGTGCTGCTTTCTCCAACTCAGCGATGGATGATTTTGAGCAGCTGATGAACGAATTCACTGATGACCACCTGGAAGAAGATGTAGACCCTGGCATTGGAGAGGATGACCTTCTGCAGGAGCTGTCTGAGATGATTGACAGCTGAGCTGTACATTGTTTAAACAGCTTCGGATTTCTTTCTGCTACAAACGTGGGCCTGAGTCTCAGAACATTTGTACGTGTGTTGTCATTTAGTATTTTTGTTTTGAATCATTCTCAGTTAGTTTTTGTTGAGTTGTTATTTTCTTTCATCTACTGTTATGGGTTCATTTCTTACCGATCTTACCAAAGTCTGATTGGTGTCACGATGCTTAGTGAACAGCCGCCATAATCTGAACCTGACAGTTAAGAATAGGAATATATAATGTTTGCTGCACAGATCACTGGCTCTACTGCAAACTCTGTTTTGTGTTAGTTGTGTTTATAATACTGCTGTTGCTCATGAATTTAATGATAATTTTAATGTTTTACCTAATTTGGCACTCAAAATCAGCAATAACCAGAAGCTCTGACCAGTGCCCACAAAAACACCTAATCACAACAGAACAAGTTGTCGTGTATGCGTGTGTTAAAACAGGTTGGCACATGAGATTGTGCTCCGCAGTTCTGGTCTGGTCTGTCCCTTGCTCTCATATTACTTATAATGGTTGTATATTTTTATAGGTAAAAAAACAGAAAACATTGTGTTAACTGCTCATCTCAGGGACAGTCATCTTTGTGTTTGTATCTTGTCAGTGCTATTGGGTTTTTGGTTTTTAACATCTCTTTGAGCAGTGATTGTTGAGTGTCAGTTTAAGTCCATAGCCAAGTCGATCTACAGTCGATGATTGACTGGTTAATTTAATCACACCCTTGGTTTCATCCCATTATAAAATAATTTGTTCTGTGAAAATAATTTATTTGCAGAAATCCGCCAGTGAGTGCCGTCCCTCTCTTCCCTCCATGACAGAACCGGTGTGGTTCCAGTTGATCAGTTTGCAGTCATCAAGTGACAGTTTATTAATTTCAGTTACTGGTGTATTTTGTAAATTATATACATGTTAGTAGTTAAAAGACAATTCTCAGTAGTTGGGTCATTTTGGGGCAGACTACAATGTTGATCCTGGGGTATATCAACAATTGAACAAAGTCTTGGCAAACCTGTGTCTGTTTCTTTTAAGTCGAACCAGGGAAACATTTGTGCAGTGTCTGTTCCAGTATACTATTCAAACATACGGAATTGAATCCATTTCTTGGGTTGTTTGCTGGGATTTGGTTGTTTTAACTTGAGAACAACCTGTTTTACACACATTTTGAGAGTCTACCAAGCTTTTTTAAGGATCTGTCAACACTATTTGTTTGTTCTTCCCTGATGTTTTTCTTCTTGTTCAAAAAGATTTGTACATAAATATTTTACTGTGTAAATAAAAATTTGAATTAAAATTCAACACGAAGAAAGCTGTACCATGAGGCTCGACTCAAATGTTTTACATTATTGAGGAAGTTAATTTCAGACCAGCTACTTAGGATAGGATATTTTATTTTTTGGCTTTCTATTTCATTTTGTTGAACAGTTTAGTTCCACAAATAAATAGAGAACCATTCAGTTCCAAGCCACATGATGGATTTAAGACTAATATAAAATATTGAAAAATTATTAGATGAGACCTAATTTCTCTAAAATAGAAGTCTTTAAAAAAAATCTAGGTTGTAGTTCTAACATTGCATTCAAATATATACACGATTGATAATATTCGGATAATATACTAACTACCGAATTTCCCCCGTGTGGGATGAATAGTCTTATCTTATTGGATCCAGCAATCCACTGTCCACTTCAATACTCCTGTTTTGTCGAGAGTACGTTAAACCACAGGCGACTTTACAAAGAGGTTTTGTTGTTGTTGTTGTTGAACAAAATCATTAGCATAGATAGTATGGTCTCGGTCTCTTCTTGAAAGTCCAAAAATCAGCTAAAGTAAGAGGTTTAGTCAGTTTTACTAAAGATTTGATTGGGGGCATTTGGAGCGCTGTTTTGTTGCGGGAGGAGGGAGGGACGAGGCAACCGCATAATAAATGATGATTGGCTAAAGCAGAGTAAGCTTCATGATAAGCCAATCGGAGTCAGCAAATCACAAACACACAACCATCTCACGCACCCTGAATTAGCAGAGGTAAGCGGCTGCAATGGAGGGAAAGTTGGCGTTTTCAAAATGGAAACACAATCCCCTACAGGTAAAAGACACGAATGTACATGGGAAGTGAACTTTATGTCTCGGAGTGAAGTGTTGGTCCACGTCAGTTGGAACTATAATCTAAAGAAGCGTCTCTCAGGTGAATTAAGCCAGAAGTAGCATTAGCCGTTTGTTTTGGAAATAATGATTCAGTGGGTACGGCAGAAAGGCACAGAGGAGGGTTCATCCATGTTTCTCTGAACACCCAAGATGCAACACTCCCAGTATTCCCTCTGATGTACTGACAGTGGAGTTTATTCATTCGTTTTCCATAAACATGGACGTGAGCACAGGTCCACGGAGTCTCATTCGTCTTCTGAGAAAAAAAAAACCGTCTGCGTTTGGTTAAAATGTAATTTTATTCTGAGTTCTCACCTAGCGTCCAACGTTGGTACTGTTATGAAAGCATATGTTTTACTTGTGTGGTCTTAAAACTCAACAATTTTACCCTTAATATTTCCGAACTTTCTCCATTGGCACTCACCGCCGCCATTTAAATTATTATGGTCATAGTTTTATTCTGTAAGTCCATTTACTGTAGCTCATCTATTATTAGGGACAGCACAGCATTTCAAAAAGTGAGGAAAGATTCAAAGATGAGATATAACTCTGTACAGTCCATCAACTCTAAAACATTATTAAAACCCCGAGAACATTTCAGAGCTAGGCACTGCACTGCATCATCAAATACTGCCATATCAAGTACCAGGCTGACGAGTATTATTTTTATTCTTTAGTGTCACTAATACCTACCACAGGATGTACAGTATTACAGAGTGCGTCCTGTCAAGACCGAGGCAATGTGGTGGCCCTAAACACATCATGATTATAGGGTCAAAGCAACGTCCTAGTGCAAGCAAACGCAGTATGTTTTATTTTCCAAAGTATTATGAGTTTGTTGTATTCACTTCGTCTGTTGTCGTTGCACTTCTTACAGTACTACTGAGCACTACCTCCTAAGTTGTCTTTTTGAGTCCGATATTAAAATGTTTTTTTAAGGTAAAATCCAATTCTTAAGATTTTTAAATTCATGCTTTAGAGTACTTAAGTAAAAAACAAACAAACTAAAACAAAACAAAAACGTGTATTTGCTGTGGTGTACAGACACTGTTTTTCTACCCAGGCGCGTAACTCTTCTCCCAGAATGCTGCTGTTAACGTGTCCACAACTCCATGCACGAAAGGGTTAAATAGGTACCACCCCAGTTTGAAGAGCGGCTGCTTGGAGCTTAGTTTGGATGGTGCGCTGCAGAGCTCGAGGATGCGTCGTGCGTCCGGAGAACTTCAGAGCAAGGCAGCGACCAGTACCACACTGAGGAGCAATGCTAGATCAAAGGTTAGCGGACAGATTTAGCAGCTAATGACGGATCGTTGACAGCAATTGAGGTGTGCTGCGTCTCCAAGCTGGTGGATATCGCCTTCATGGAAGGGGAGGGGAGCACGGCAGAGAACCCCAGCAACGCTGCCGAGTATCTCCAGGAGCTGAACAGGATCATCCAGAGCCAGCAGGAGCTGCTGGAGAAACAGAGGGGTCGGATCGAAGATCTGCAGCTCCAGGTGACGAGTCTTTGCACGGAAAACGCGTGTCTAAAGGATGAGCTCCAGCAGCATCTCACCAGCTGCCGACTCCATCACTGTAGCTCGGGGGCCGTCACAGAGAATGTCACACAGGAAAAGTAAGGAATGTGCCCAAGTGATGTGTTTGGTGCTGCACGATGTGGTGGAACAATGCGCAATCATCGGTTTATCTGATTTGGGAAAAATACGATATTTTCAAGGTATCACATTAACACACTGCGTAATATGGATCAAGCCTAGAGCCCAGATGTCCAATGAGTGGAGACCAGTGTAGAACCACATGAACCAGTGTTTAGATGCCTTTCATTCGTAGTAAAGCAGAGCAGCGTGAGAAAGGCTGATCCACTGGGCGTAACTTTCTTGTTAGCCGTACATATTGTCGGATTTAGCCGCTTTTGTACTCTGCTTGGTTGAGTTTTGCTTTGTCGGAAGAGAGGCGTAGATGTTTTTTAAAAAAATATTATTTATTATATTTCTATAGCGCAGAAGCATATGTAATGTGACATTCCATCAATCTTATACATCAATCAGAGTTCAATTAGAAGTGCTCACAGACTCGCATAATTGAGCCTAAGAATGAAAAAAAAAAAAACAACAACAGAGATCTCAGTCAGTCCTTTTCCAGAATGACATTCTTAATAAATTCATTTAATTTACATTTTGTAAATTAGGACCACAGTCGGATTAAATAATACCGTTGGCCACAGTACCATTAATACAAGTCGCGATTCAAGTGACACTATTGGTGGACGTGGCCTTTTAGCAGACTCCTAATCAATGGTCCAGATGTTGATGGAATCCTGTGTTTAATATATACACAGGGGCGCAGCCAGCTGTTCTGGGGCCCACGGAGTAATATGATAAGACAACATAACTGGAGAATTCAGAGCAATGTTCAATTAATATTATATATTGATAAAGTATTATTATTAAAAAGTAATATTTATTGGACTTCTGTCAGTCAGAGACTCTTGGAATGATCTTATCTCTGGCCCCCCATGCAGCACTACTGTATATACTGTATGTATATGCCATACGTGTGTGCTTTATTGTATCCTCCTGACTACCAGGAAAAATAGTCTGGAGATTATAGACATTAAAGGAGACGTGAAACGATTTAGAGCACACACTATTCAGGAAAGTGTTTATTAGCATTATGAAGTTTACATTTTTTGAGATTGAATTGAGATTGAATTGAGAAGGCTTCTTTTTTAAATAGGCTGTTATTCAGGTGTTCAAGAACGGAATAGGGTGCTTATATAATAATGATATTGACATAATGTTGATTTATTTCTTTCTACTGCCTGCAGTGCCTTACAATAACATTTCTAGGGTTTTATCAGAGGGAGGAAGTCGTGTTCAACTAATCTGTATTGACAACATGTCCATCTTGCCACTGCTTGTGTCATTATAGGGACACTTACTCTGCCGTTATGAATAATCGTCACCGCAGTCCCCCGTTAATGTGATGATATTCTGAAGATGCAGTGACACCAGTTATGCTGCAACCTCTACTAAATTCACAAACTTGTTCAAATCTACTCATGTGGGAGAAAGCTGAAGCAGGAAGTTGTCTGTTCGTTTGTGCCCTTTTTTAAATCCATAACATCATTACCATATTTGCTCTCTCATCATCTGCAGAGGCTATAATTACAGCAGTTATTAGTGTTAAACAGAGTGTACTGCCCATTATACAGGCTGTATTGGTTTTTACACCTCAGAAAAAAGTCACAAATAATGTTTTTCTCACATTTTTCTCACATATTTAAAATAAAGTGAATGCTTTGTTGGAAACCAGACCAAGGTGTACTATCACATCTATCGGCTGCATACTAAAAGTGTATTTTCAAACTGAACCTGCATGCAGCACCTCATCTTGAATGTAAAACCCATTCAATGTGTCAATCACACAACTGAAGGGAGGTTGAAATAGCTTATTCCGGCCTTTAACCAAAAGTATTTCTAGTACTTATATATATATACATACATATATATGTATGTATATATATATGTATGTATGTATATATATATATATATATATATATATTATTCCAATCACATTCTCAGAAAAGACCTGAAAAATGCACTCATCTACCTGCTGTACAGTATCTCTCTCACTCCTACTCTCTCTGCTGGGATAATTAATGGTGTACAGTGTAGTACAATTATTTTTGACTGTAACAATAACAGTAACAGTGGTGGCTGGCCGCCTCACCACCTGTATGACACTGTAGGAGCGCTGAGCAGCTCTTTCAGTCTCAGCCTGCTGCAGCTGTACTGCAGGACTGAATGTTTCTCTCTCCTCTCTGCTCAGCCATCAGACTGGTTAATGCAGCGCGACTTACTGTGTCTTCAACTGTATGTTTTTCACAGTGTAATTTGGCTATATTCTCATTTTATCCTGATATTCTATATTCACATTCCACTTTATGGTCACTGCCACTTAGACGTCTATTTTCACCTTTCTGCTCTCTGGGTGATCACAGTGTGTTGTTGTTTTTAACTTTGCTGTACAACGTGGGCATGCTGAGATTTTCTGAGAGATTGTTTGTTCAGTATTCATTTCCAGCCTTGTAAAGACTATACCTGCGATAAGGGAAAATAAATCATCCACAAATCCGGCTTTAGTAACATTATAACAAACTGTCTGACAATCTGGGGGGAAAAGAAAATTTCTGGGGTCACCAGAAATTTGTGACGTCAAAATTGAGTCACAAGGTAAAAAAAACCGTTTAGAACCAGTGAATTACAGAGTCGTGCTTGCTGACATGGCGTTTTGTAAGAGGGGATCTACAGTATATCGAAGTACACCAGCGCTCTAGGCTGCTCAGCATGTACTTTTACATATTCTGTACCAAACCAACCACATACACATCTGTAGATGTTACGCTAAGTCATTTCAGAAACTGATATTACACAGTGACATACTAAATATGAAAACTTCTACATACAGGGCTCTACCTCAAGATTAATGAGCTGAATGTATTTGCACTTTAATGAGGATAATTCATTCTACTGTAGATGAAATCACTCCTGAGGGCTGTCTGAAATGAATTCCTTCATATGCTGAGGTAAAGGTAAAGAGGTAAATGGGGTTTTTGTATTATCAAAATGGCAGACAGTCAATGAATGTGTCCAGGTTTGTCAGAGTCATTGCTGGTTCATATTTGATGTCTTTATTTACTGTAGTCTGTATTTGACAATGGAGGGTGGGATATGGCAGTGTTTTCAAACCTTTTTTGAGCTACAGCACATATTTATCATCAGGAAAAAACCCACAGCACATCACCAAACAAATATATGACAAAAAGTACATAGTATGTAGTATGTTTATGTCCTGTTACTGTTGTGATGGTTTTTCTTTTTCACTGGTCAAATCTGAAAACATGTAGTGGATTACAGTGTCACACTGTGCAGCTGTACGATGTAGCACCGTGTCAATAGTGTGAAAATTAATTATCCAAGGAGCAGGAAATAGAAAAGGTCAGGTGTAAGGAACTGCAGAGATGGTAGACACAGAAACAGGGTGAACGGGAACACACGTGGAAAAAAAATGGAACACTAAGGGAAACGAGAGAAAAGAATCAATAAAGGGAAAAAAGAGAAATTAGCTGTTGGGGACGGACATGTAGCATAACAAAGCAATGTGTTTGTTAGGGTGTTGTGTGATGAGGGAGGACGTGGGAGACAGAGTGTACTGGTCATCATTAGTACCCTTTATGATGACATTTGTCTTCGGCTGAGATTAGATTCAACAAGATGTATGTGTGTGTTTTATTTATGGCCAGTCATTTGTGTACCAGACAGCCCTGTGCTCCCTCGGCTCTGGGTGACTTGTGTTCAGTAGATAAAGAGCAAAGAATGTCACCTAAAACGCAAGGTTACTTTTAAAACTTTTAAACCAAATATTTTGTCCCAGCAGCTCAGGTTGGCTGTGAGTTTATTTCAAGTGTCTGTGTGAAAAAGCACTGTTTAACATTTGGAGGTGTTAAACTGTGAGTTTTATTTGTGTTGATTTTAATGCTAACAAATGTAGACCAACATATATTTTTTTAATGTTTCAGACGATATGCCATAGAAGTCTCAGACCCAACTGCTCCTCCTCCCAGAAGTCTCCCTGGTGGAAAATGGAGTTCTGCATCCTTTGGGTAAATTACATTAAATGAAGTTGCATTTTCCCTTCATCAGATCATTTATTCATCCTGTTTCCCGCTCTTTAGAATATTATCACATTTATTACTTAGCTAAGGCATCTCATTTCTCTCCTTGTCGTTGCACATACAGCTGCAGCGTCAATCTTTTTTGTTTTCAGTCTTTGCTCTTTAAAGTTTTCACCCCCTGCTGTGCTCCCCCAGGCGGGTGGTCTCTTCATTTTCCAAATCGCCTAGAACAGAAAAATGAACAGCTATTATGATTGCAGTCAGAGTAGCAAAGCAGATACGCCGAAGAAAAAAAAATCCAACTACTTTTTCCAGAATAGAGTGGGCCCCTGAGAGAACTGTCAACTCAACTGTTTTGTTTGTGACACATGAGTTGGAGATAAGATTCTTTCCTGAGGCTTTTTCTCTCAAAAAAAATTAACCTTAACGCACGTCATTTTTGTTTCTCCACAAGTAGTTGTTTAAAACAGAGAATAATAGGTGGTGATGCAACAGCTAAAATGATGCCTCTGTCTAGCTGCTGATAGGAGGCGACTGTGGGCGATTATCATGAACTGCACTGTGACAAAAAAATCTAAATGGATCCTGGAAACTGTACTGGTCGACTGAGGAGCTTAGAACGTGTCTCACTGAAGGTCAACTGCAGTATTACTTGAATTACATTTAGTGCATGGGTCACTAAAGGACTTGACAAAAGTATTTGTACTTGTTTACATTTTAGAAAGAATCAAGTGTTTGATTAAAGTTTGGCCATTTGAAAAAAAAATTGAATTCAATGCAAAACTAGTGCTTTTCAAAATAAATAAACATGGAAGGTTTGCAATTCATTAAAAATATTAAGAATGTTTTATATGACAGTAGTGAGACCTGCTATGATGTATGGTTCAGACAGTGGCTTCGTCTAATAGATAAAAGGCTGAGTTGGCGTTGGCAGAATTGAAGATGCTGAGATTTTCTCTGGGACTGACCAGGATGGACAGGGTTAGAGATGAGCAGATCAGAGGGACAGAGAAGGTGGAGCAGTTTGGAGCTAAAGTTAGAGCGGAGAGGTGGAGATGTTGGAGATACAGTCTGTTGAGGAGAGATAGTGAATATATTGGACAAAGGACGTCAGAGATGGAGAGAAGATGTGTGGATGCCGTAAATCATTATCCTCATTAAAGGTAGTTGTTGTGAGAGGAGAGGAGGCAGAGGATCTGCTGCGACGACTGCTGAAGGAAACAGATGAAAAAAGGAAGAAGGATTCGATGACTCGAATACATTTTACACACATACCTAATATAAAGCTGCACTTCACATCACACTACGAGCTGTTCTGTGGTCCTGGACTGGTCATATTGTTGGTGTTTTAATTTCAAGTTGATCTTTGAAGATTGTATTCACTCACAAATGCCAGAGAACATCCATCAGTGTCTTGTCTCCTTCTGGAGCGTTGTCCTGGCAACCAGCCAGGGCTTTACATTCATGTGTGTGCGTGTGTGTGTGTGTGTGTGTGTGTGTACACGTGACCATGTGCATTTGTGAGTCTCTTGGGAGCCGGCTTCACCCCACTTCACTGCACACTATTTGCTGCTGCTGATTAGCTGCTATGTGAGCGGGCAGGGGCGGAGCAAGTTTTGAAAAAGCCTAATTGACACCACCTAATAGGCCGGCCTTTGTGTGCTTTGTTGGCCTGAGGAGGGGTCTCAGTGTGCTGCCTGTCAGTGTGGCAGCTGTAGTTATGGAGACCAGACTTGTGCCATTATTGACTGATTATGGAAGAACAGAGAGAAAAGGTGAAGGCTGCAGCAGAAGGTGATGTAGCAGAAAAGACCAGAAGCCACAGAGCTGCACTGGTAACATCAGGTCATTCAAAGCCACTGCACCAGACAGTGCAGGGTCTACAGAGGCATCAGGGGGACGCAGGTCAAGACCCCTCAATCTAACCTGGATTAAAAAAAACAAAACTCCAATCTGTGAAGGATATGCAGGATCTAATCTTCTTAAAACAAAATGTTAAAAATAAGAGGTTTTTGTTCGGACTATTGGCAGTTCCTCTGTCTGCAGCCTCTGCACGGGGGTCATAAAAGGTAAGGAGCTTTATTTAAAGTTAAAAATATATATTTTAATAAATTCTGCAGACGGGACTGAGTAAATGCTTTTTAACAATTCCCTGTGGCTGCAACATGTGCAAATTATAGGGTTCTTTTTGTCTTTGTGAAATGTGTTGTTTAATCCAGGCTTCGGTGGTGAACAACTCCTGTCCTCGTTTTTTTATTCAAATGCCTAAAAACGACTAAAATGAGAGTGAAGCCAGAACTGCCAGGGCCATTGTTATTGTTTGCCCCTGACACTTTCCACCATAGTTCTCACTCCATTGTGTGTGGTCCCATTTAAAGTGAGTGCAGGAGAGGACTCACATGTTCTGCTCCGTCAGTCAGTTTTATTACACTGAGTCTGTGCTGTCGTTTTAATAGACTCCTGCACAATGTTAATGTTAAGAGAAACATAATAATTTCCTCTAAATACGTTTGACGAGGGATGTAACGATGCGCTCAACTCACAGAACTATATGATTCACAATTCTTTGTTCATGAAACAATTTTTATCCTCCAGCCTCATAAACTGAAGCTGTCATCATAAATAACAGAAACACTGGAGTACACCTCACCATTTATCATCTCTTATCAAACTGGTCTGGTACATATTTACATCGCTAACTGTTAGTATATTAGACTGTTTTACTGGTTGTGTCTGTGGAAGAAGTTCTTCCCACGTTCTGTTTGAACACCTGAACGTCACTTAGTCTATGTCCAGACCTGATGTCTTGGTTTAATATCATGTCAGAACCAATGTTTTTAGGCGACTACTGCCACCTAGTGTACTAGAGTGTGTAGTCTCATGGTATGACCACTGACTTTTTGAGGTAATGCGGCCTACTCCTTATGCCTTGATTTTTTTTATTTTAACAGATACAAATTGTCACAGATTTATATCGATTAGATTTTTAACTGATTCACGATGCATCGTAACATCTCTGTACGTATGACTTCATGTCCAAGACAGAAAGAAATATTACTGTTGAGTGAAATGACATTTGTGATGAAGTGATAGACTAACTAGATGAACACACGTGGCCACATTCAATAATAGAACAGTAATTATCAGAAATTATAGCAATTTCTCTGACATCTGTCGTGACACTGTTGCTTAAGATGGGTGTTCTGTAACAATATTTCACAGTACTACATGTTGAAGTAGAAGGGACTGGCCCCACTTCATTATTATTACATTATTTTCCTGTTGTAGCTCCTCTCTGACACAGACAGCACCCACGGGAGCGGTCGAAGAGCACAAAGTCCTGGTTTACTTAAGAGAACGCTTATTAAAAATAAGTGTTTGTGATGTGGAGAGAAGCATCTCTGGAGATTAGCTATCACCCCCCGCGCCCCCCGACCATCTTTATTCATCAGTTCACCCCCTCCTCCCCCGCTAGCTTTACACAAGGCTCCTGTCATTCTATGGCCTACGAATGGAAAGCTATTTCATTAGGCTCAAAAGTGAATCTGAAAGTACAGTGACCAGCCGCTCACATGGTCAGTTTGACGGGGGTGAGGTGCTTTAATGATAACACGCCTCCTGTCACTAGGTGGCAGCAACTCATACAGTGGTTTGTACAGATAAAAATATACATGTTTGTTTTGTAGGAATTTAAGACGTTTTTTCCTACCGAGCTGGTTTTTACACACAGTGACAGTCTCTTCCCCCAAAATTCAAATAATTTCACCTGTGAATGAAAATCAAATTAATAAATAGTTAGCAGCATCATTATCTACTGTGGTCAACAAGGAGGTCATGCTAACCCCCCCCCCCCACACACACTTCAACCTTAACCACAAACCCACCAACACACACTAATCACATCACATTTCATTCTGCTGATGGATGGACCCCTGTAGTCTGTCCAACCTCAGACACACAGCTCCTCATCACACGGAGGTTCTTTTAGAGTTTGTCATTTGACCTGCAGCTTGTGTTTGTTTGTTCAATTCTGTTTTCCTCATGGTAGGTTCAGGCCCACAGAGCACGTGGAGGGTTTTTATATATATATATATATATTGGATTGAATCATTGACCCGGTCCTGTCATCTGTGTTGACTTATGACTCAATCAATGAGGTGTAGACCTTGACATGGGCAGCCAGGGGAGGGAGCCACCACCTGGAGCCCTGCTCCATCTTTTGTGCTTTTATGTGAGGCTGACCTCATCACACATTTATGGCTTCTTTTTGCTTTGAGGGTAATCTCTCTGTCAGAGGCCAACCAGGCTTGACCCCCACTGGCCAGATTTCTTTCAGACTATATTTCTACTTGACCCCCACTGGCCAGATTTCTTTCTTTCACTCTAATAACAGACTGATTATATGCTAATGTTCTCCGGTGTAAGAGAGCTGTGTCTGCAGCGATCTCACTGGTTAAAGCCAACTTGACTTAATTGCAAATTGTATCTATTCTGGGAGGTGGGACAGCCCTGACATAGAGCTGTTGTCCTTGTCGACTGTTTATCCATTCAATCTATATATTATAATTACCAAGAAAGAGGAACTGATCTCAACATATTTATGCCACAAACTGTGAAGATTTGAAGTGTAGTTCATTGGAAATGCAGCGTTTATTTCCCCTCGTACTGTAGATGTAAAGTTGAACCTGGATCTCTTGTTGAGCCAGTGATAAACCAGTGTTGTCAGCTGATGTATGTGATTGATGTTGCTGTCTATAGAAGCACCTGAGCTGCCAACATTTCTGCCATAATTACTAAGTCATGAGCATTCAAAGCTAAAACATCAGTGTGGTTGAGGGGACCAGCTGGTGGACCACTGGTAATTACTAAGAATCAATGCTGTTTAGTTACTGGTCCCCAAACACAAATCTGCCGTTATCTGGCCTGAATGAAAAGCTTTTAAACATTTGATTAGTTTTTAATGCCCTCCGTGTGTGTGTGTGTGTGTGTGTGTGTGGTATACATGAGTCTGCACTCCAGAATGGTAAGAGTGTCTCTGGCTTTCCTAATGTTTTTGTGTTGCAAAAGCCGGTGAACTGCATGCTAATCACTTTAAATGGATCAGCACTGTTTGTTACGTCACTCTGAATGGTTGCCAGTAATGAGTAAGTAATAATACAATAAAAAAGAGGAGCTCATTTTAATGAGATGCTTGCTAATGATACTAACAACTAGTGATGGGCCATGCCAGAAATTTTTATTCTACTTTTTTTTATACCAATACTGATATCAATATCTTGTGTGATTTTTTTTTTCAATCCAATAAAACACATGGCAAATACTGTCCCTTTAACAACTTTGATATGTATTTTTCAATATATTAGTCATAACAAATTAAGGGATAAGGATGTCTAGTGGACTTGGAGCCACTGCCCTCTTCTGGTCAGTGGTCACAAGACATGAATGGATCAGTTCAATATGACATTACCGGGTGCTGTTGCAGCAATAAAAGCTGTATGTAGTAAGTCACCACAAAAGATGGGGAAGTGACACGTTGGTTTTTGTGTGTGTAGTGTAGTCAATACTGAATCGATAGTCTTGTGATGGAATCAATACTCCCATCACTAGTAACTCTGTGTTTAGCCTGAACATCTTTTTGCAAAGCTCTGAACATTTACAAAGGTCTTACAGATAAATAGACACTTTATTGTTATTTTAGTTGAAATGGATGAGCAATTATTCAGTGTTTGTCAGTGTGTCAGTTATTGTTCACCAAGGACAGTTTGACATGGTAAAGTACCAGCTATGGAGTCTTCATAGATGTTAGATGTGCCCCCCCCCTCCTACTTTCTCCCTTTCTCTCTCTCTTCTCATGCTCTTTCTGGCTCAGTGTATCCATGGCACAGCTGCTACCTGCAGCTGAGTCATTTCTTTTTCTGCTCTCTTTATAGACAATCCTTTACAAAACAATGAGTTGATGAGTAGATGCCTTAAAAGGACCCGTCTTTAATGAGATGATAGTGTCCAGGTAACGCTGGCTCCTGCATCTGAGGATGGAGATGAAAGTTTGTTCTTGCCAACTCATTCCCGCTTTTTCTTCTCAGTGGCAAAGAAGCCGGGGTGTCTCAAACAGTGTCAGCACAACACCCAGTCTGGGTTGCAGGCCACTCTAATGAGCTCCCCTGAGTGGTTAGCAGGCGGACGGAGAATGCATTTTTCTCTCACTCAGCGTGTCTGCCTCTAATTGGTGGAGGAAGAGAGACGTTGGAAGGCTGGAGGAAATACTTTGGACAACATACAGGAAGAAGAAAAAAATCGGATACCCCTCCACCCTTATTAAAACATGCCTCAGGATCACCTCTGTCAACTGGTCATTGAAGCTTGAGGAAAAAGTGTACGTGTTATAGCTTGTAAAATATGTTAAACTTGATATTTGAGATGTACCACATATATCTCAGGAATTGAAGTAATTAGACTTAAATCAAATTAAATAACTATAATAAATAAAGCAACAACTATTTTTGTTGCATCTGTTATAGTCTAAGGACATTAATACTAAAACCGGTCGCGTTCTAAGTAATGCCTCTAAATCCCAGCGACGTTTGTACAGCCTGGAGTTGAGCTAAAAGGGGACACCACCTGTCAGGAGGAGCCACGAGTATGAAATCCCATTAGCAGTAATCCTATAGGCCCAGTGGTCAGACGACAGTTACTGGTCCCTGCTCTTGTGTTTGGATGTCCTGGCACTGCCAACAGTTGTGTTAACCAATCAGTCATCATTGCAGCAGGCCTGGAGGGGCTACAGCATGGAGGGACCAGGACCACTCACACACTTCCTCTTGGGTGAATAGAAAACAAACTTTTTAGTGAAATGTGACTCATCAGCAGCAGTTTACAGTCGGGATGTTTCTGCTTCTGTTCATCTGGCTGTGGTTTCTGCTTGATTCAGGAAAGCTGTAGAAAATAAAGCTAACGTGACGTCAGGTGAATATGGAAGTTATATCGCAGTAGGAATTTGATACTCAAAGATGTATTGATGACAGTGACGTTTACTGACAATATGGACACGAGGATATATGATTGGCAGGTTGGCATCTGCCTTTGAACTGCACACACACACAAAACGATGTCAGTAAGTTGTTAATGTCTAGTCAAACGTTGGCGTTTTGGCAGAACGTATTGTGAAAAAGATGTTTGTTGTTGGTGTGAAGGTAATCTGTGAGCTGGGTTTAGATCACTCAGATAATGTTTTCAAACTCAGGTTTTAATCAGCCAATATGACTTTGTTTTGCCTGCCGTCAGATCAGCAGTCTTTGTGTGTAGTCTGACACTTCTTGGATTATTTTAATTCTTGAACTTGGACTAGAGATTATTATTATCTCCATCTGAAAACAGCATTCCTACCGTAGTGTCAAGAGACCTGAAGAATTGAATCAGAGCTTCTGGCTTCATCACATTATCACAGCATCAAAATGTTGTCTTACTGTAGTTCTATAATTAAATACTACTGTAGTACAACTACTGTACACAGATCACTCTAGGAATCACACTGGTTTTGCAGTTCCAGGTGAAAGTTATTTGAGCCAGGCTTATGAGTCCTGTCTCAGTGCATGACTCTCTGATCAACTGTCGTCAATTCGTAGTAATTATATTTTTATATATTTCAGACCTAAAAATGTTCTATGCTAACTCAGATTTTATGTTAAAGGGCCATGTTCCTGAAAGTTCACTTATATTATTCTCATGATTATCATGGTTAACATTCTTAATTACATACACCTAAAAACTCCTGATTCTTATTTACATTGTATCCAGCAAGTCCAGTTCAGTTCAGTTCAGTTCAGTTCAGTCCAGTTCAGTCCAGTTCAGTTCAGTTCAGTTTAGTTCAGTTCAGTCCAGTTCAGTCTAGTCCAGTTCAGTTCAGTTCAGGTCAGTTCAGTCCAGTCATAGGGTCTGTTGTTCTCAGTGTGCAGGTGAATCAACCTTCTCACATCTCTTATAGATTCTCCTTGATATTTTTGTAGTAAAACTGCAGTGTTTTGTAACCGAAAAAGTCTGTTTAGCAAATAAAAAAACAAATTTAACTGAATTTTAACTTATCATCAAAGTTGGGTTTTTTTAGACCGACTGGACTGGACTGGACTGGACTCCAGTGGTTTACGACGTTGGTAATAATTTCAAAATAATCGTTAATAATAAAGAGTAACTCAGAGTGCTGGAGCAACATGTGTTCGAAGTATCATTTTTCTCTAACTTTGGTGAAACTTTACTCTTGTTATGATCGTATCCTTTAAGATCATTTGTGTTTAATTTTTGGACACGAGAAAAACAGGAACTAATCCTCATCAACTTGACTTGATTGATTGACTTGTGTTTTCACTGCTGCTGGTTGTTTACAGTATAATTCTCCTTCAATCCACTTAACATCCAAGGGAGGAAAACAGCAAATTGTGAGAAGGTCTTGGATTTGTGTCTCTGTCAGCAGCGAACGGGGCTGCAGAATCCTTGACCTTGCATCAGCACCAGTAAGAGCTGAGCACTTGCCAAGCTGCGTCAGGCTGGACACAACCCTGATGTGAGTGTTTGTGACGAGGGGAGGGGCAGAGGAAGTCATGTGCAGAGTAGGAGATAGAGAGAGGCTCAAAAAGCACAGATGCAGATGGTGAGGTGACAGACCGGGCCCTGGTCGTCGCCCTCCTCAAAGCCTGGGCGAATGTGTCGGTCGGAGCTCAGCTGTCCTGTTACCTTCGTCCAGAGTGTGACCGTTTGCTGTTGCTGTGTGTCGGTAGGGCTGCTGTTCTTCCTTTCTACAGTTGTGCGCTTCATTTTTGTTCTGTTTGTCACATTTTTCATCACTATCACCTTCATCTCTGGTCTCACGTTCTGCTCATGTGTTCACTGCATGTACTGTACACTGAAGATGAAAGGGAGTAGAGCTGCAGGCTGTTTATGTGTACACCCGCTGTC